CAACCAGGCGGTTTGAAAAATCCTGGATAGGAGCTTTGACTGGATTGTGGCGACCTGTGGGCATTCCAACAGGACTGTAAGGAAGCCGGAAATAGATGACTGGAATGTTGCATTGTCGTCCGAACTGTGTGAGAAGCCAAGATCTGGGCTTCCAGCCCAGTTTCCGGGCACTCTGTGAGGGGACTTGGCTATTGTTCTGCCCGCTCTCGGTCTTCCTGTTTCTGATCCCCTTCCGGAAGTCGTTACAAGGCGGAAGGGGTAAATTGCAGGCTTCTTGTGGTTGATGCCCAAGCTCTATCTGACTCTGAGGGCGGCGGAATTGATTGCAACATCATAAGGCAGGGCTTACCTAAACAGAAAAGAGCAAGGCATGAAAAGCGTGAACAACAGTGTCCAGGCTGTTAAGTGTGAAGCAGATGGCGATGCGGGTTCACGACGAAGAGGCAGTTGTGGTGAACAGGAGAGTAAGGCAGGCCCTACTGTGTGCACCTGCAGTTCTGACACACCGCTTGGAGCCCACAAAGGAGCTGCCCATCTGTCCTTGCCTTCAGTAGACTTTCGCATGTCACGTGCTTTAGTCTGCTCCCATGGCGTTACAGCAAGCATTCCAGTGCCCAGTCTGGTTCAAACTCAAGGCACAGCGGCGGTGGGACGCTGTCCTCCACGATGGTCCGTGCATGTGACCAGCACACGTGACCACGCTAGAGCTCGCAACCTCGTCGATGCATCTGGCGACGAGGAGACGCTCGACTCAACACCAAGGCTCTATCTTTGGATCATCACCATACCCCACGACATTGATCAGTTCCAGTATCCATTCGATGCTCTAGTGATATTGCAAACCATTGCACCCACTCGTTCAGGTTCGTTCATTTATTATGCGCCCGTGTCAGCTCCCTTGTACCCTTGCTTTGTCTACCCTGGTGTCGCAAGCAACACTCTATAGCTCGCGACTGACCCATTCCCTCCCGCCGTTCCCCTCCTCTGCATGTCTGGAAAGCTAACACAAAAGCTCTCTAGACAATCGTAACGGCCCCAAGCTATTCAATCTTGTCATTGTACCCTGGCGTCGACGTTCGTCAGTTTATCCAAGTCTTCCTGGCCTGTTCACCTGAACCTTGTTCTGACTGGGTTTCTTGATCAGCGCGGCTCGAAACCTTCGACAGCAGCCCGATCGAAACTGCTCTATCCACTTCCAATCGAGAAACACATGCCATCGTAGAAAGTGCATGACGCAGACTGCGGCGCTCGAACCCAACTCGACGCGACCTCCCTCTCTTCAACGTCACTCGATGCAAGAGGACGCCGCCTTCGGATTCCATGCCCAGACGCGCGATACCCAGGTTTTCCTTCGTTTCCAACTTGACGTGAGCTGCGCCAATACTGGCGACTGCTTCACGCTATCCTTATAAGACGTCAAACCCCTTCTCTCGTGCATGGTCTGTCAGGTGGCCGATGGTTACCCACACTTGGAGCAGACCGTTCGAGAACCCAACATCATCCCACTTCTACCGCCGCAACTAAGCACCTCCATCCACGACTCGCCCCAAATCGAACCCCAAACTCCTCGACTCCCGCCCCTTCCGTAACCTCTTCGAAACGACAACCGGCTTCAAGGCCGCCCAGACACGCGGCATGTTCTCCCAGAACCACCAACAGGGTCACAACTCCCGCATGAACGGCACCCTCGGCGGTCAGCGCATGCCTGTCCAATTCAACTACCAGCAGGGACAACACCATCAGCAGGGTCATGTCCAGCATCACCAGCCCGGGCAGCAAGACCATGCGGGACATAACGGCAATGGGCCCGTCCTGGGGCACCATTCATCCTACTCATCGGGCGTCATGTCGAGCGCAAGCCCTTTTACCAATGCCATGCAAAATGGCCACACATCGACCACCCGTGGGGGTCAGGCCCAGCCCATCAGTGAACACTGGGCCGAGCAGCTTCGCATGCACAAGGAGGCCGAGCGTGCCCACACAGCCATGACGGATCAGAACCAGCCACATTATTACGCTCGACTTAAGGCGGCCGAGAATAAGGGCATCGGCTATCCGTCTCCTCCCTCTGGCAAGAACCCCTCTGGCGATACCGACACGGACGATAGGAGGCGCCCATACAGCGTCGAGAAAGCAAGAGGCCCTCAGGCGTGGCACAATCTGGACATGAGCGGTCAAGGGCTGCGAAACCTAACGCCTGCCTTGTTTGCCTATACTTTCTTGAGCGAACTGTACATTGCCTCGAACAAGATCGCGCATCTCCCCGCCTCCATCGGCCAGCTGCGCCAGCTGCGCCTTCTCGAAGCCTCGTACAACCAAATCGAAATTCTTCCCCCTGAGCTCGGCATGTGCACCTACATGAAGGAGCTTCTCCTCTTCAACAACCAGATCAAGGTCTTGCCGTTCGAACTGGGCTCCATGCATCTTCTCGAACAATTGGGATTAGAGGGCAACCCCCTTGATGCCACCCAGAAGAGCACTCTTGCGGAGAAGGGCACCAAGACTTTGATCCACATGCTCAAGGAGAAGGGCGAAGGTAGCTACTTCTACCAAAAGAAAACGGGATGGTCTGGCCGCTGACTGACACTTTCCAGAACCCCCCGAGCCGATCGAGAGGAAGTTTGTTACGATCCAGGAGGACGTCAACCCCAGCCTGGAGAGAATCAAGGTCCTGTCGTGGAACGTTCTCTGTGACAAATACGCAACACCCCAAACCTACGGATACACGCCATCGGAACCGCTCGGATGGGAATATCGCAAGAAGCTGATTTACAAAGAGATTGGCGAGAAGAGGGCGGACTTCCTCTGTTTGCAGGAAATCTCGACCGAAGCCTTCAAGGAAGAGTTCAGCCCCGAGCTGGCAAAATACGAGTACAGGGGCGTACAGTGGCCCAAGACTCGTGCCAAGACCATGAATGAGCGAGATGCCCTCGGCGTCGACGGGTGCGCCACCTTCTTCAACGCGAGCAAATTCATCCTGCTCGACAAGCACGTTGTTGAATTCGCGACCATCGCCATTAACAGACCAGACATGAAGAACCAGCATGATGTCTTCAACCGCGTCATGCCCAAGGACAACATCGCTGTGGTTATCTTCCTAGAGAGCCGGCAGACAGGCGCCCGTTTCATCCTTGTCAACGGTCACCTGGCATGGGAGTCGGTTCTGGCCGACGTCAAGCTGATCCAGACGGGTATTCTCATGGAGCAAGTCGCCAAGCTCGCAGAGCGTTGGGTGCGTATGCCCGCCGTGAAGGACAAGAAGCCCTTTGCATTCTCCGGATCAGGCGACAAGGCATCCCCTGTCGTGGAGCCTGCGCCCAGCCAAGAGTACCGCAATGTCACCGATATACCCCTTCTCGTCTGCGGCGACTTCAACTCGACACTCGACAGCTCCGTGTACGAACTCTTGGCCCAAGGCCGGGTCTCGCCTGACCACAAGGAGCTCGCAAGCTTCCAGTACGGCAACTTTACTCGCGACGGCATTGAGCACCCCTTCAGCCTGCGCGACGCCTACGCCCCAACGCACGGCACGCCCGACCAGCTGCCGTACACAAACTACACGCCAGGATTCACTGATGTCATCGATTATCTCTGGTTCTCAACCAACACCTTGGAAGTCGTTGACCTCCTCGGTCCTCCCGATGCCGAATACCTCAAGCGTGTACCGGCGTTCCCTCACTGGCATTTCCCGTCGGACCACATGCAAATCATGGCTGAATTTGTTGTCAAAGCAAGGAAAGACAAAAAGGCAATCGTCGAACCCGACTTTGGATCAGGAAGCGGCAGCGGTGGTGGCAAGCGCTGATGACGGAGAAGCAGCTTTCCCATCGTTAGCCCGGTTAACGTCATTCGGTTGGTTCAGGAATGAGTTCTTTGGTCGGAGTTCAGGATTGCGAGTTCGTCGTCTGTGTTTCAATCGCGCAACGTCTTCTTTTATCGTACACTCGCAGGTGGTCGGGCGGGGTGGTCCGGGCGGATGAGGTGTCGGTTGTAGCCTCCGCCCTTCCTTTCAAGATGGTCTGGCGCTCCTGGAGCCGAGGAGGAGGGAAGGGCTAGCGGCGCGTGTCCCGCGCCTCAGCAAATCTCGCCGTTCGCAATGGGTGGAATGGGGGTCATGGCTGGTGGGGAGAGTGGAAATGGTTCACCCAACGCAGGACAGGGGGAGCTCTGTAGATGGAGTGTGCTCACATATAGCTAACCAACTGCGAATCGTCTTTCGTTCTCATCATGCTATTCTGTTCTGATCCGGTGAATGCAAGGCAAGCTGGCAGCGGTGGAATTCAAAGTATGAAGGACTCGTTTGTACGACGTCATCATATGGCGAACCTCAAGGGCTGACGTGATGATCTGGACAGCTGCTTTGTAAAAAGGGGTATTGTATCTTGATCGAATTCGCCTGCCATCGTCGCAAAGCTACCGTAAAGGGCCATGATCCGGTCGACAAACCCTCTCTAGTGGTGCCCTTACGACGTTGATTATTCCCCACAAACGCCTTCTGAAGAAGTTTCCACCGCACAGCACATTCACTCTGATAACTTCTACTCGATACTGGGCATCCAGCATTCAATATGAGACATGGTGGTTTAACCAGCTTCTCCAGACCACAACATGGCTCTTCTCGTGCGCACGGGATGGCAAAGCTTCGGTCAACTCCTGGAACCGGCTATCCTCGGACATGAGACGACACGGAGGATGCCATGAGCAAATCTCCTGGTCCACCTTCGTGGAGCCACACCAGGCAGGCCGGGTCGGGTTGAAGTGACGCTACGAAGCTATGGCGGCAATGCCTGAGAATGGTTAGCCGGCCACATTGTCCGCTCCAATCTGTCTGCCGATGGCGGGTTCCCCGCATTTCGGACCAGCTACGAGAAATGCACAAAGTCCAAGTACTGAAGTAATGAGAATGCTGCTGGTTCGGGCATATTGAGTGAAGCACCCCTGATTGCACCATCTGCGTACAGCACTCACTTGAATTGAATACGATACCGCCCAGCCGCACCATGACGCACACTATCCCGCAGACCATGTTCGCTTGGCGGAAGCATAGGGGCAACCCTGAGCCCGTGGGTGACTTGAGCTGTATTCCATGTCATGACCCATGCCCATACTGACGTGCTGTTTGATTCTCTACACAGGTCTGGGAGAAGGTCCCCGTCCCACAGACGCCGCCGACAGGGGTTCTGTGCAAGATCTTAGCTTCTGGGGGTATGCCTGCAGCCACGCCCTGGATTGCTTCAATGGCTGTCGTGGACTTACACATCTGCAGTCTGCCGCAGTGATCATTCGCTCGTCACCATCGAAAAGCAGCCTGCATGGTTCCAGGAATCCTTCACGCTCGTAAGTCCAGACCCTCATTTCCCTAAGCCTGAAAATCAGGTTCAACTCACACCGCCGACTAGGGTCATGAAGGCTGTGGAGAAATCGTGGATATTGGGCCGGAAGTCAAGGACCCCAAGTTCAAGCTGGTAGGAAATCACATGACCGATGGTTTTTCTACAACTTCACTGTGCTGACGGTGACAGGGCGACGTCGTCGCAATGCATGCTGTCCCTGGATGCGGCGGTGCTGACTGCAACGAATGCTCTCGTGATTTGGCCCAACTCTGCGAGATCGGCCATCACTCGGGAATCGGCCAGGACGGTTTCCACGCCGAGTATGCAGCACTCGATGTGAGGGGTCTGATCCATGTACCAAAGGGTGTGACACCCGCTGAAGCAGCCGTATCGACGGATGCCGTAGCCACGGCCTACCACGCTATCACCAGGCGGGGAGAGATCAAGAGCAACGAGACTGTGTTTCTTTTCGGCTTGGGCGGTTTGGGATTCAATGCGCTTCAAATTTTGAAGAACCTTGGATGTCGAATCATCATCTCGGAAATACGCCAGCAGCTTCTAGACAAAGCCGTAGCTCTAGGTGTCTCGCAGGAGGATCTGGTTCCTGTTGGCATGTCGGTTACTGAATTCGTGGTGGACAAGGGTTACCAGATCGATACGGTGCTTGACTTTGTTGGTACTCACCAAACATTTGATGATGCACAACACATCGGTAAGTCTTATTCCCGCACGCTTACTCAGGTCACTCTATGCTCGCTTTTGCTAATACCTTCGGCGTCAGTCCGGCGAGGAGGCAAGCTGTTGTGCATCGGCAGCCTGAACACTGAGAACACAATTCACATGAAGATCGGCACACGCAAGAGACTCGTGTACATCTTCTCTTACGGCAGTCAAGTCCGAGATGTCGAGGAGGTCCTACAGTTGATTGCCGAAGGCAAGATCAAGCCTCACGTGGAAACTGGCAAGCTCAACGAGTTCGACCAAGTATTGAAAGACCTGACGCAGGGGAAGATTGAATCTCGCTTTGCGATCATTCCATAGTTTTTCATGGAAAATAAAACTCTAATTCATCACTTGGCGACTATTTATGCATTGACGCTAGCGCTCTTGTCCATGCCAATTCCTACAGCTGCTGTCGTGCCAGCATCGACAGGAAGAATGACGCCAGTAATCCACCTCGCGTGCGGGCTGGCGAGGAAAACAGTCGCCGCAGCAGCGTCCCATCCAGTTCCCTCGGTTCCGAGCAAACTCCTGCCTTTCCTTGTTTCTCTCGCCTGCTCACTCATACCTCCTGCATACATCATGGGCGTGTAGAGCATCTGACTATGATGTTAGCCTCATTCTGATCAGATTAACCAGATGGATCAAATCTTACCCCTGGACAGACGCAGTTCACTCTGATTCCGTCTTTCGCATGGTGCGCTGCCATGGCCCTCGTCATATTGACGATAGCACCCTTGCTGGTGGGATACAGGAGGTGTGGCGTTCCACCTTTCAGTCCTGCAACACTGCCCATGTTGATGATGGCGCCCTTTTGCTCTCCCTCGTTCTTTACCATGGCTGGGACGGCATACTTGGCCATCAGAACCATGCTAGAAACGTTGACGTTCAGGCTCGATGTCCACTGTTCCATGTCGACGTCCACGGCAGTCCCAGACGCGCCTGCAATGCCCACGTTGTTGACCAGGATGTCTAGCCTGCCAAAGTTTTCCAGGGCAAGCTTGACCACAGCTTCGCAGTCTGCTGCAGAAGTGACATCGCCCTGAGCTGACAATGCCTTCCCGCGCCCGGCCCTGGAGTTGGCCATCTCGGCCGTCTTGGCAGCCCACGACAGGTCGCGATCTAGACAGACCACATTGCAGCCTTCGTCTGCAAGCATGATGGAGATGGCGCGTCCATTACCGATGCCGTCACCTGCACAGCCTGCGCCGGTGACGATGGCGACTTTGCCTTTGAAAGATCGAGAAGGGGGGTCGGACGATTGGTGCGACATGATTGGCAACAAAAGAACCTAGTCAGGATTGTATGATTCGATGAGTAACTTGATCTCATTCAGGACGTATTCCACTAATCGGATCAATGTAGGGATGCTTCTAAGGTATAATACACCATTGAAGGGCTTTGGCCCGAAGCCTCCTTTGCCTGTGTTGCTGCTGTCGATAACACGGCATGCCTGCATCGCGTCGGGTATCCGTACTCGGTATGGCGCACTCGGCGGCATACCGAGGCACACGGCTATGACCGCATAGGGCGGGGTCGAGCCTCAACAGACCTACCGATTGCGGGGAAGAACATCTCGGTGTATGATAATTAGCACGGTGGAGGAGAATTGTTTGTAGGTTGCCGGAATGGCGTTTGTCACCTGGTGAACTCAGTGAGCAGGAAGATCCACCAGCTTTTTGAAGGTGATGCTCTGACCCGAACTCGACAAGCCTGCCTGACACCCTTGGATACACGCAATTCTTTCTACCTACTATGGCCGACTTCTCTCAATATGGAGGCGCAAGCGACGAATGGAGGGCTACCGAGAAGACCATCGCATTCTCTTCGGCGAGCGCGGGGATCTCGCCAGTAGATCTTCAGAAGAAAATGAACGAGACCCGTGAACAAGCCGCTGCAAAGGCGATGGAATCGATGAAGGACTTGGTCCAGATCCAAGACTATTCAATCCCAACCAGAGACGGCTCGGCAATTGAGGCTCGCCTCTATCGTCCCTCGTCAGCGTCTCAGGATGATCGGCTGCCGGTCTTCCTGTTCTTCCACGGCGGCGGCTTTCTGATGGGAACCCTGGGCACAGAAGACGCCACCTGCTCCTGGATTTGCACGAGTGCTCAGGTTGCTGTTTTGCACGTGAATTACCGGCACACACCCCAGTTTCCATATCCAACTGCATGGGACGACGCGGAGGACGGATTCATCTGGCTTCACAAAAACATCAACTTGGTGAGGGGAGTTGCTGATCAGGTGATTGTCGGGGGCATCTCCGCGGGAGCCCAACTCACAGCGTCTCTGGTTCTTGGGAAGAACATGGGCGAATCTTCAACAAAGGATTATCCGGAGATCGCCGGCCAGGTTCTCATGATTCCCTGTCTGGTGGGCTTTGAGGCATACGAGCCGCAACTCAAGAAATTGAGGGACCCCTCGGTATCGTCATACAAGGAGAATGAGAATTCCGCCCTGCTTCCGATGCGGACTGTTCGCATGTTTACCGAGCTGCTCCAAGTCGGTACACCCGATCCTGCGGACCTTCGTTTGTGCCCCGGGAATGCTTCAGTGGCCGACGTGAGAGGCTTACCTCCGACCACCTTTGGTGTTGCCGGGCTGGATCCCTTGAGGGATGAGGGCCTGCTTTACTCGCAGCTCTTAGTCGAAGCTGGGTAAGTGAGTGAGAGAAAAAATAGTGGTCAGAACTGACGTGGTTTGATTTCGATAGAGTACCTACTGATACTTATGTATTTGAGGGCGTGCCACACGGTTTCCGACGATTTGGAGACCTATCCCAGTCGAAGCGATGGGACTCTGTGTTAGCACATAGTGTCGGATGGTCCCTGTCGCAGCCAAAGGCCAATGAATTCTTGGTCAAGACTGAAGGACCATGATGGTTGACCCCACCTTATGAAACTGCGTCCGCGGAGAGAATGGAATCGTGTGGAAAACCTGAGATTGAGACGTTTGAAGAGCCTACCTATGCAGCCTCGCAAGATGAGATAAATGAATACCTTGAATAGGAGCAGTTCGGATGTTCCATGTAAGAACGCGGGCCGGAGTTGGGATGACTGTGTTGCCCATGGGATTGACATTACAGGGTAGATGAGGAGCCTCCGACCTAAATGTGAGAAAGGAGAGAAACTGGGCAATTCACGGCTAATTTTCAGTTGAGCCATTCATACTTTTTACACATAAAATAAACAATAAAACTTCAAAAGTTATGAGCGCCCACGCAATTTATCATGCTAATACAAAGTCCGAATAGCTCCTCTCCTTCACCTCCTCACATCGGCCCCTGTATCCAGGTGCCGGACCGTTGTATCTGGTCATCGACCTCTTTTGCTTGTGCGCCAAGTTCTTGTTCACACCCGTCATCCAAGAATCAACTTCATTCGCGAGAAGTCCTTCGCCACACTTCCACACATGCTCCGTCCACTTGGCCATTCCCTCCTCCGTGGCCTCGGCGTAGATGATATTATTGTCCCGAGCATAGCGGATGAACCCTGAAACCCACTCCACCGCATACTCAATACTTCGGGGGATGTTGCCGAACATTTGATGCGGGCCCATGATCATGAACATGTTGGGGAAATCCTTGACGGTGAGACCAAGGAAGGTCTGAATACCGTCACTCCATACGTCATTGAGTTTGGTTCCGTTCAAGCCCTCAAAATCAACGGCCCGGAACGATCCCGTCACGGCGTCGAAGCCCGTGGCGTAAATGAGAATATCGAACTCGAAGTCTTCGCTCTGCGTCTTGATACCCTTTGCGGTGACGGTCTCAATAGGGTCGTCCTTGATGTCCACTAGGGTGACGTGGGGCTCGTTGAAGGCTTCGTAGTATCCGCTCTCAAGGGGCACACGACGAGTGCCGAAGCCGTGATTCTTGGGGATCAACTTGTCCGCGACCTTGGGGTCGCGAATGCGCGCGCGAATCTTCTTCTCCTGGAAGTCGCTGTACAGCTTGTTCGCCGCCTTGTCTGTGTAAATGTCGCCAGAGATGCTGAGGACCTTGGCAAAGCCGCGCTGGGCGTAGAGCTCCTCCCACTGCTTGTGGCGTTCCTCTTCCGTCATGTCGAAGACGCTCTGGCTGTTGCCGACGTGGACGAAGCACGCGTACGACTCTTGGCACTTTCTGAAGATTTCAGGGTAGCTCTTTCGGATCTCCTTCATCTCCTCTGGGCTGATCTTGCTGTTCCTCAGTGGAGCAGTCCAGTTTGCCGTTCTTTGGAAGACAGTTAGGCTGCCTACGGACTTGTAGATCTCCTGGATCGTCTGGATGGCCGTTGCGCCCGTACCGATGATGCCGACGCGCTTGCCCTTCAGCTCCTCCATAGAAGCGTGTTTTGGCCACCTGGCGGTGTGCCAGGCCTGGCCCTTGTAGTCGTGCACGCCGGGGATGTTAGGCAGCGTCGGCTCGTTGAGAATGCCCATCGCTGTGACCAGGTATCTGCAGGTGTATTGTTTGCCGTCCGTATCCGTCAAGAGCCACGACTGTGTCGCTTTCTGAAAATGCGCTGACTTGATCCTGGTGTTGAATTGCATGCCTCTCTTGAGGTCAAACTTCTTGGTAAGGTATTGGATGTATTTGAGGGTCTCCGGCTGAGGAGAGAAGTGCTCGGTCCAGTCCCACTCATCCAGAACCTCCTGTGAGAATGAGAAGATGTATGAATAGCTCTCGGAGTCGAATCGCGCGCCTGGGTAACGGTTCCTGACTGCATGTAAGCAGGGGTGCAATGCGGCTGCTGCAGGTGAGATCTGCCGTCTTACCAAAACCATGTTCCACCTTCCTCGGGGCCTGCTTCGAGGACCTTGGTCCGCAGACCAAGTTCTCTCATGCGATGGAGTGAAAAGATGCCACTGAGGCCGGCGCCGACGATGAGAACATCGTAGTCGAGAGCTTGATTGGCGTCTCGGAACAATTGCTCCTTCGACAGATCTGGCTGGCTTCCCATGGTGTGCAGTGGTGACTCCCGATAGTAATGATTTGATGAGGAATTGAGGTCTACAAGCGTTCAAGATGGGATTTGCTGTGTTGTTGATTTGTTGTCGAGCCAATGCTTGTCGTGAATGTTGATCCGACTCAATTGTACAGAATGCTCGTCATGATAAAGATAGAAATTCGGATTGGGGATCTTCCCCGCAACTGCAGATTCAGAGCATGCGTACCCCGCGGGGTACCGCCGGCTGGCCACGTTCGTCAACCCCGGCCGGCTCGGGATTCGAGCACAGCGCCAGAGACTTGCGGGAGTCGAGGAGTCATCGGCAAAGCGGACAGCCGGTCGTCGGTAATCCCAATCCAGAAAATCCCGAAAATCCTTTGCCGAAACAAACATGACCCCATGGCGTCGACTAGCGGGCTGAAGTCTCTTGGCAAAACCTCAGCTAAGGGAGTGGTCTGGGTAGTCTGGCAATTCCCGACTCAGGTTGAGATGCTGTCAGGCCCACATATTGGTTCGGAGTTTGCGAAGCACGGAGGGTTTTTACAGAGTCTATTGACAGGTTGATTGTCTAAGCGAGGCCCTTTGACTCCCAGTATACTTTCAGATCTCGAAGAAAGGCCCATTTCACAGCCTTGCCCCATCCATTCTTCTTCCACTCATTCAGGTCCAGAGGAAAGTGAGGGACGGCATCTCTAACCGTTGAGTCATGTGCAATGATCACGAAGACGTTGTCATTGCAGTCAAGTTGCTGCAGTGACCCGATGGTTCGCATGGCCAAAGGCACGTCTAGTCCGAACGTGGCCACGTAAAGGGAGTCAGTGGGCTGCCGGCCTCGAGATCGCTGCAAATCATCCCAAGCGCCGCCCGGGCACAGCATGCTGTTACAATCCTGCGGGTGGCAAGGGTGTGGTGAGATGGACTGGGGTACGGGGAGATACTCTGAAGGTCTCATGATCCCGGCATAGTGACAAACATCGCCACCCATGAGGATAAACGTCGCGGGTGATGTCGTTGTACGGGCCAACCCACAGAGATGACCAACGGCGTGTCCAGGACTATCCAGCAGGTAGAACGACCCGTCTCCGAAGTAGTCAAAAGCTGGGAATTCACCAATTTTGAGATGCCGAGCGTCAGTACCGTTGAATGAGATTTCCCTCAGGTTACGGCCCCTGAGATGTTAGTAAAAAAGGAACTGAGGTCTGGGCTGATAGAGTTTGGAACCCACGTATAGTCACTCTCCAGCAAGGGCGAGTCAGGGTTGGCCGGCGCACCCGGCAACATGGCATCCTTGAAACCTGGACCGACAACCAGGTCCGTAGTAGGGGGGAAAGTAGATGGGTCGCCAATGTGGTCCCAGTGCCAGTGACTAGATAATTTCGTCATTTTGATCAGCAGTTGATGTCCTGGCACGCAGCTTTTCGGCTGCGGTTGAGTCGACGGAGATTTCCCTTACCTCCAAATGACAGCCTCAATCTCCTTTGCCGCTATGCCGTTTTCCTCGAGGGTTTCCGCCACGCTCTTGGTGACCTCAATTTTGTAGCCAGTTGTTGGAATATAACCGGCGATGGTGGGAGCGTAGTTGGCGTAATCCTTCCGAATGCCCAAGTCCCAGACCAGTTTGCGACCAGAAGGGTGTTCAATGAGGAAGGACAATGATGGAGATGTGGGGAAGGTTTCGAGGCCTGGTACGTCTGGTGCCATGAATCTCTTGAGAATTGCTGGTCCAAAGTTGACCGGGTTGATCATCTTAACCGACACCGAGGTCTGCCCCGAGGGCAGCTCTAGCTTGGGTTGCGACATGTCCGCTGTCATGGGCTGGCCAAATAGAGAACAAGAACTTTGCGCCTCACGAGAATGATCGGTGCTGAGCAACTGTTAGTCAATTTGAAGTTTCAAATTATCGGCGATTCCTACATTTCGGTGGGTAAGCAAGGTCGAACGCAGCGCCCCGTCGTACCCCAAGCCGGGTTCGGGATGAAGCCAGGTCTCGCCGGAATGTCGGGGCCGGGCTAAGCCCGTCACGGACACCCGCCCACCCGGCTATACCCTTGGGGGTTTACCGTTGACCCCAAAACCCCCCCTCTTCATCTTCACTATTGTTTTAGGCGCAGGCCTAGATGCAGGGCCCAGGGACGCCAGCGCTCTGGGCGCCACCATGCCCGATTCCAGTCAACCGTACCACACGTGGTCCCCAAGTTCCTCAACACACTTGGGACATCGATGCCGGTCCAATGGGCACAACGTCCAACTCGGCTCCAGGTCCATACCCCAGGTTTGACAACAATCCGGGGCCCCGGGGGGTTTGAGCTGCATCACATCGCAAGTTCGAGATTCTTGATATCTAGATCCTCGACCCGCCGATCTTTCTGATCTTGAGTTCTTCAGTCCCGACGAAGTCAGCGGGAGTCGAACACGGAAACGCCAGCTCCAAGTCTCATAACCCATTTTCTTTCAACTTCACTCACAATCCCAACTCTCCACTCCCACCATGGCCTCAGACAAGAACTCTGAGAGCATCGGCCATGTCGAAGGTCCCGATGACTCCGGCGGCGTCAAGGAGTTGACTCCGGTTGACACGGTGCACAATGACGAGGCCCTGAAGGTGTTGGCCGACTACCACGGTGACAGCGAGTGGACGGAGAAGGAAGAGAAGAGGCTGCGCCGCAAGGTTGATTGGAGACTTATGCCTGTTCTCTGCGCAACCTATGGCTTGCAGTACTACGACAAGGCCATGCTGTCCCAGGCTGTGAGTCCATTCTCCTCGCAACCTCCTCGCCATTCTCCCGTGTTGCTGACAGTTTGTGTCCCTGCAGGCTTTGTTCGGGCTGAGGCAAGACCTCAACCTGACCGTGAGTGACCGTTACTCTTGGTCAGCGTCCATCTTCTACCTGGGCTTCATCGTTGGTGCCTACCCGGCCATGGTCCTCGCCCAGAAGTTCCCCGTCGAGAGGGTCGCCTCTGCCATTGTCACGCTCTGGGGCATCTGTCTCATCCTGACGACGGTCTGCAAGGACTACAAGGGCATCTATGCGCAGCGTTTCTTCCTGGGGTTCCTCGAGAGCGGCATCAGTCCCATGTTCATGCTCATCGTCGGAAGCTGGTACAAGAAGAATGAACAAGCCATGCGCATGGGGTATGTGTCGACCTCGACCGCTGATGAACGCTTGTGGCGGGCTCCTTGCTAACGCTGGCGTGTGACAGAATCTGGTACTCCTGCACGGGCTACGTCTCCATGTTCTCGCCTCTGATCAACTACGGCTTTGGCTCGATCAACCCAACGGGGTCCTCGTGGCGCTACATGTTCTACTTTGCAGGCGGCCTCACCATTGTCTGGGGCATCGCCCTGCTCTTCGTGCTGCCGCCCGACCCGATCCGCGCCAGGGGCTTCGACGAGCGCGAGCGCTACCTGCTCGTCGCGCGCCTGCGCACCAACAACTCGGGCGTCCGCAACAAGCACTACAAGCTGGACCAGGTGGCCGAGCTGGCGACGGACCTGAAGTTCTGGATCGTCTTCGCCATCGCGTTCCTCTGCATGATCGCCAACGGGCCCATCTCGACGTTTGTGCCCATCATCATCAACGGCTTCGGCTTCAGCACGCTGCACTCGCTCCTCCTCGTCATCCCGGCGGGCGCGTACGCCGGCACGCTGATGCTCGTGTTCCCGTACCTCGCCATGCGCTTCCCCGGCATCCGCACGTGGCTCATCCTCGCGGCGCAGATGGGCACGACGCTCGCGGCGCTGCTGCTCTGGCTGCTGCCGCTGCGGCAGAAGGGCGCGCTCCTCTTCGCCGCCTACATCCTGCCGTCCGTCGGCGGCGGCTACGCCGTGCTCATGAGCCTGCAGATCGCCAACACGGCCGGCTACACGAAGCGGTCCATCGCCTCGTCCGGCCTCTACATTGGCTACTGCCTCGGCAACTTTGTCGGCCCGCTCGTCTTCAAGAAGCAGGACGCGCCGCGCTACGCGCCCGGCTTCACCGTCGTTGTCATCACGTCCATCATTGCTGGTCTGCTTGCTGTCGTGTACCGCTTCGTGTGTGTCTGGGACAACCGCCGGCGTGACAAGAGCGGTGTCACCGAGGGCTTCGACCATGCGTATGAGGATGATCTCACGGATGTCAAGGTAAGCAGCCTCCCCCGAATGTTTCTCTCTCGTTGGCAGTGACTGATTTTGTTGTCGACAGAACCCTCAGTTCCGCTACATCCTGTAAACTGGGTCTTGTTTGAGTAGCTGTTGTGACCATGGGGTTGCTTCATACCTATATGGAAATGGAACGACGGTCTTGGGTCAGAGGACGTTGTTGGGCGGCTTATTCGTCTTTCGTAGATAGTACCAACGTGGGAATACGAGGTCATTACCACTACTGCCGTCTTCCCTGGCCACCGCATTTTTCGTGAAAAAAATAGTGTGACTTGTTGGGGGTCAAGGGTCTGAGAAAGGTGTTGTTGCATTAGGAAGCTATTCTGTAGGCAGGAGGGTGCCTGGAACTAAGCTATGGGGGCTGCCAGGGCACAGGCCACCTGGCAACAGGTGAATGGCACTGAGTGAATGCCCTGGAAGCCCCAGGTGAATACCGCCAACATGACTCAGGCGTGCGGCTCAGATGCGAAGGTACCTAGGTACCTAGGTAGGTACCTAGGTAGGCACCTAGTCACTGGACTTGGCTCCAGCAGCGCGATGTCGTGTACGTTAGTGGCCAAGACGCCCCTGCGTGGCATGTCCCAGGGAACCCTCCAGCGCCCACGCCACACGCCGCCAGCGCGTCTTAGCGCTCTTTAGGGCGTGGGTCTAGCGCTCAACAGGCCCTGCGTGGACCCGTACGCACAGGGGGCTTTAGGGGGCCTGGGACCTCTGGAGCCTCTGAGGCCTCTGAGATCTCTCGCGAGTGTCCTCCGGCCTCTCCCCCGCGTGACCCCCTTGTCCCTTCCCCAACTCCCCGCACTTCCTCACACTGGTGCTGGTGCCTCTTCATCTTGGTAATACCTACACCACGCCCCCCCTCCACGCTCTCGCCTATCCCTTCTCGTCATTCAACTTTTTGCAGAGCCGGCCATCCCGAAGTTTGCCTGTGCCAGCTCGACCCTTGGAGTGTAGAGAGCAAACGAAATGCCAGGCGATGCTGTCACAGACTGGCTGTCCTTTGACGCCCAACAGCCCAAGAAGCGTCGAGCCGAGCTGGTGTGCTTCGGCTGCCACAATAAGAAGATCAAATGCGACCTTCAGGTATGTGCCATACACCAACACACGCAACACGCAGCAGCTTGCAGTTGCAGATGCATCAAAAAAAGATGGACGGCTTGCTGATGCACCCGACTGTGAGCAGGTTCGCAAACGACACGGCCACGACAACTGCACCCATTGCGCCACGGCAGACAAGCAATGCCAGACGCGGCCGTCGAAAAGGATCAAGCGACGCCATGCCGCACCTGTGACGCCGGCACACAAGTCCCCGAAGCCGCCAACGCCGAGTGTCCCTCCCATTGTCGAGATGCCGGAGGAGGTGCCCCAGGTGCCCCAGGTGCCCCAGGTGCCAGAAGATGGCCATCATCATCGCCTCGACGACCTGGCTACCGCCGCCAGTCTACCCATCTTCGACACCATCCATGTTTCGCCGCCAAATCCAGATGTCGCAGCAACAGACCCTGGCCATCGCGAGACGAGTGTTCACCTGCCGAGGAGGACCTCCACCCACCACTTCTTCGCGCAGTCGCAGCAGGTCCTGTCTCCGTCACAACGCTCAGCGGCCAGCACCACGCGCAGTGACGCTCTGGCCCAGAGCCAGAGCCAGACGGGCGACGTCGATACCGGCTTCCTCCAAGTCTTCGGGCCCGAAAACCAGCACGATGCCGAGAAGCAGGCCATCGAGGCCTCTTTTGAGCCGAAAGCCGGCTTTCCGAGCCTGCAACAGCAGGATCTCCAGGAAAGCTTCATCGACACGTACTGGGAGTATTGCTACACCTGGTGCCCCGTCCTGGATCGCGAATGTCTCCCAGAAGAGATGGCCCAATCCCCTCTGCTTGCCAATGCCCTCGCGACGGCCGCCAGCCATGTCCAGCCGCCGTTGCTCCCACACGAGGGCCCTGCCGAGTATTACCGGAGGGCCAAAGCGCTGTTCTACGACGACGAGGAGCTCGACGGCATCACCAGCATCAAGTCGATCGCCCTGTTCTACTGGTGGGCGCCGCGACCCCCTACCGTCACGCACCGCCACTCGTCTTGGTGGTGGACATCGGTGCTCATCCGACACGCCCAGCAGATGAACATTCACCGCGAGCCAAGCGCATCCCAAACCACATTATCGGCGCAAGACATGAGCCTCCGGCGTAGGATCTGGTGGACTGCTTTTGTGAGTGGACGTTGAGCAAACGTGGGCCGTCGCTCGTCATCGAACTAACCACCGAAAACAGGCCCGAGAACGACTGACGGCTCTCTGCCAGAGCAAGCCCGCCATCATCGACCCTCGCGACTGCACAATACGCGAGGCCACGTTGGAAGACTTCCCGAGCGACCCGCAGAGTCAGCGCAAAGGCGAAATCTTCATCCACTGGGTACGCCTTTGCGCCATCATGGGCCGCATCGCCAAGAGCTTGTCTCGATCCGGCGGCATCTCGACACCCAGCGTGCTCGAAAACCACCGACAAGAGCTCGTCAACTGGGTCAACTCCTTGCCGCCTCATCTCCAACTCCCCATCGGAGCAGCGAGGACGTATGCTTTCGACAAAGACGTGCATCAGCTTCACCTGCCCTATCTCACCACCATCATCATTCTCTACATGAAACGGTCGGCACAGACCATTCCGGAGGCCCTGCCACCCGCCATCCTGGCCGCATCGTGCATCGTTCGCATCCTCAAAGACATTTTGAATCGAGGCAATGTGCGGTTCTTGATGGCCATCACATGTTGGTACACAGGCACGGCATTCATCGCGCTGCAACAGGCCCGCTCCATCGAGCACTTGGCCCGAGACGCCGACGAAGGCCTCGACGTCCTCGTGCGGACAGCAGACCAGCTCCAGAAGATGTGGGCTTCCGCCAACGTCATCCGCCAGGGCTTCCAGCGCATGCTCAACGTGTCGAATCTCTCTGTGAAGCAGGGCATGCCAAGGCAGGCACCCGATCTGACTGCGCCGGTGCAGGCCGTCGGTACTGCTGACTCTCACGCCAACTTCATTGGCGTTGACGCCTTGCACGGGCCCGAGTCCACCGAGGCGATCCCCGAATACTTTGGCGACTTTGACTGGACGGCTCTGTTTCCGTTTGTCACGCGCGAGACGAGCAGCATTGCTGACAGTCTGCTGAAGAATAAGGCCGAGGGCAACGAGACGAGGGGGTTTCCCTCGCCGACGAACTTCCTGTTCCATGACTCTCTGATGATACAGTATGATGACCTGTTTGATACGGCAGCGGATTTTGGGATGAACTTTACGATGCCGCAGTAGGATCATGTAGAAATGGTATGCGATTCACTCCTATTCTGATGCGTGATGTAAAAAAGAAAAAGAAAAACTTGAAATCAACACGGTATCTATGGTTTCCATCTACTCAACACAAACACCTTGTTCCCTTCCACACAAGCCCTCATTGTGACGTGCTGGACTCCTCATAAGGCACCTCGGCCTTCTCCACATACCACGACAGGTCGCTCTTGGGATCCATCTCCCACTCGGTGAAGCCGTTGCCCATGAAGCGGAAGGGGTTGGCCGTGTTGTACGTGACGTCAAAGTCCTCGCCGCGAATGTCGCCCAGCATCCTGTTGAACAGGTGGGCGCTGCCGCCGAACAGGGCCGTGACGCGGCCGTCGACGCGGTTGCGCTTGTACCAGCTCTTGCAGGCGCCGGTCCAGACGAGCGTCTTGTGCACCTCGTCGCCGTAGCGCATGAAGGCGTCGGCGACGGCCTGCTTGGGCGTCACGTACTTGATGTCCTCGGTCGCCATCTTCTTGATCCACTTGACAAAGTAGTCGCCCGTCCAGTTGAGCGACTCGACGAGCGACCCGTGGCCGCCGAGGCAGTTGGGGCCCATCATCATGAAGTAGTTGGGGAAGTCGGGCACCGCCACCGAGAGGTACGAGTCGGGCTCGTCCGCCCAGCGCGCCGCGAGGTCGACCTTGGACTTGCCGATGACGGGGTAGCGGGGGCGGTGGGAGACGTCGAAGCCGGTGGCGCAGACGACTGGGAACAACATGTTAGCATCGGGCTTTCTTTTTTGTGCCCATGAAAGACAATGAAAAATACTGGACTTGGGGGGGTGTTACGTACTGACGTCGCACTCGTAGAACTTGCCGTCGGCCGTGTGCACGCCGTTCTCGGCAACGCGCGTGATGCCGCTGTTGGTGACGTTGCAGTTGGGCCGCAGGAAGGACTCGAGGTAGCCCGGGCCGGGCGTGATGCGGCGGCAGCCGAGCTCCCACTTGGGGATCAAGGTCGCGCAGAGCTCCGGGTCGTGCCTGAGCTTGTCGGCCATCTGCTCCGCCGCCATCTTCATGCCCTGCTGGTTGTTCTCGCCCTTCATGAAAATGTAGAACGACTTGTTCGTGCGCGAGATGATGCCCTTGCGGTGCTGCAGGTGGTAGTCCGGGTCGTGGAAGCGCGTCCGCTCGTCGTCCGTGTAGCGGGGGTTGGGGTCTGGGTCGTCGCGGCCGAGGTGCTTGGACGGCGGCGCGCGGTAGTACACCCACGCCGGCCCGCGGATGAAGTTCTTGACGTCCGTGCCGGGAAGCTTGGCCATCTGGGGCACGATCTGGATGCCCGAGGAGCCGTTGCCGATGACGGCGATCCTCTTGCCGGCGTAGTCGTAGTTGTGCTCCCACGCCGCCGAGTGCGTGAGGTGGCCCTTGAAGTCCCGCAGCCCGGGGACCTGGGGCCAGGACTCGTGCACGAGAACACCCTGCGCCGAGATGAGGACATGGCAGTGCTCGACACGTCGCACGCCCTCGTGCTCCACCGTGACCTGCCACTGGCCGAGGTCTTCTTGCCAGATGGCGTCGACAACCTTGGTGTTGAGGTGAAGATCACGATCGAGATTCCACTTCTTGACCGTGGCCTTGATGTACGCTAGAATATCCGGGCCGCTGGCGTAGAAGCGCGACCAATCTGGGTTGGGGTCAAAGGGGAACGCCTGTCTCATGTCAGCATACACACGCCGCGAAGCTCAAAGGCCGCCTCGTTCAGAATGCCACTCACGTAGATGTGTGCGGGCACGTCGCACTGCACGCCAGGATAGTCATTCACGAACCACGTGCCGCCGACTTCAGACCTGGCCTCGAAGATCTTGTGCTCGACAATGTCCCTCATCTCAGGGAACCTGTGCTGGAACTTGTGGGCCATGAGAAGGCCGGAGAAACCTGCGCCAATGGTGATGACCTTGATCTTTCTTGGTGTGTAGGCGTACTCGGAGCTGAGCTTGAAGGGATCCTCGACGACCCCGTTCGTGGTGCTGTGGCCATTGGTGACAGGCCGTTGGAAGCCATTTGTCAAGACTTCTGGCAACTCTGCTGCTGGCATGCGGGGAATCTCTGCGTCTGTCGGGGTACTGATGAGGTTGAACGAACTTGGGTTGACTGGCGGTGCCACTGGGACTTCAACGGGGGCTGTCATGATGGCTGAGGTGGAGGGAGCTGGCTCAGATGGGGGTGAAGGAGGATTGAATTGCTGTCGTGAGTGTCGTGACTTTCAATTTCAATTCAAGAAGAAAAGAGACAACCAATGCTCCTCTTAACAGAAACTAGTTGGAGGGAATGCAGAAGTGAGCTCCATCGTCTTTCCGCTATTCGCCTTGGGGTAGGCGCTGGAGCCCGCATCGCGCCATGCTGCCCTCGGCAACCAGGTACAGAGACGGGTGCCCTCTTCGCCTATTCAACGTGGTTCGATCAGCTTGCCCACACGCTAACTGTAGCTCAACGACAGCCGCATTGCCACTCAGGGAAGGATTGCCGAGAGAGTGTGGCCATCTCGACCTTCGCTCGGCATGACTCTTCCCCCGCAGTCAGGAGATGGCAAGCAATGCCGGTGGCCCAGCTCAGGTGACTTCGGCATGGCACGGTTATCCCAAAACGGCTTGATGTTGTGTCTCGAGGACAACGATGCCGACTGGAACGCCCCGCCCCCGCTTCCCCCACACTCCGACCCCATGGCATGACAGCCGAAGATTCGAAGACGCGCGGGGTTCCGTGTCGCCGTGTCGGCGCCGCAACGCTTCTTGTCCCGAGGATGCGCATGAGGGTACATGTATGAATGAAAACACCGCTGTACACGAGAAGACTCCGATCTGGCCATTCCGCACCTCAATCACCATTTGCCCCCAACACCCGTCACCAGACCACCCACGATGCCTCTTCAGCCCTACAAATACACCGGTCCCATTGACCACACCGTGGTCCCGGACCGCAGCAAGGTGATCGGCAAGTCCGTCATCGTTACGGGCGGTGCAAATGGCATGGGAGAAGAATGCGTACGCCAGTTCGTCGCCGCCGGTGCTTTCGTCACAATCGGCGACGTCAATGATCGTGGAACAGAGCTCGAGAAGGAGCTCAATGCCAATGGCGAATGCTGCGTCTTCGTCAAGTGCGACATTCGAGACTGGGAGCAGCAGAAGGCCATGTTCCAGACGGCCAAGGACCGCAGTCCCTCAAAGAGCGTCGATATTGTCATTGCGAATGCGGGCATCAGCAGGAGTTCCGGCGACAGTCTGTGGAACCTCGACGATCCGAATTCGGAGCCTACCAAGCCAGATCTGAACATTGTCGACGTAAATCTTCGTGGCAGCTTGTATACGTGGAAGCTGGCCGTGCACTACTTCCGACAGCAGCCTGACAGCGAGGAGCGGGATCGATGCTTTATCATTACCGGAAGCATGGTGGGCTGGATTGACTCACCGGGCAACTGGGAGTACACGTCGACAAAGTATGGCTTGCACGGCTTCATGCGCACCGCGAGACGAAACAGTTGGGAGCAGGGTATTCGCATCGTTTATGTGGCTCCTTGCTGGATCAAGAGCGCTATCAGAACGGCAGAATATGAGAAGTGGCTCATGGACAGGGGCGTTGAGTTTGGCGAACAAGAAGACGTTGGAGGCTGCATGATGCGTGTTGCTTGTGACAAGTCAATCAACGGTACGTCATTTCTCTATATCATGGCTTGTACCCTGGCCAAAAGCTCCGGTCGCTAACACGGCATGCATAGGGCGCTCGTTGATGATCACACCTCGGTCAATGGCCAAGGAGGGCTTCATGGACATCAACCGAGACGACTATCTGGACACACCAGAAGATGCGTATCTGAAGAAGGTGCAGGAGAACCAGCTGGTGATCATTGAAGACAAGTGGAGAGACGATTTCAAAGTGCGAATCTACAAGGAGTGAAGAGGTTTACAAGTTCACAAGCATTTTGGCAAGACTGCTCCAGGAAGCACAAAAGCGAACCACGAATAAGTACAATATGCTCACGAGCGTGAGATTGAATTATGAGGCCCTCTCTGCTGCACAATTTAAAACAGCCCAGACAATGCAATGATGCTCACCCCTGTGTTCTGCTGCCGTGTCAATTGACACAGCTTCTGAAGGGATCTCTGCTAAGTCATGGGCGAGTTTGGCTGCATAGCAATGCAGGCAAAGCTTTTTCAAGAGCGTGTTCGGTCTCTCAACTATTTGGCCATACTATCGATAATGCTAGCGGTTCCAAAGTACTGTTCACCTCGAAAGGGGCTCGCCAGAGCTAAAGACCACGCAAAAGTTCAAACGACGACAGAACAAAATGGTTTAATTCAATGCCAGGACTACCTTGAAATGATAATGTTCTTCAAAAGAACGTTTGGTTCAATTCAATGGTAAATTTTATACAATGCCTCTTGATATGCAGTGGCCGGGGCTACGAGGGCCATCTCAGGGGCGACCACTGTTGGATCTGCCATGGGCTCTCTCACAAACTACTACTTTGGCGAGACCGTCCAGGACACATTAAATATCCTAAGAGCCTCACCAGCACATATGCAGGCCATCATTGCTAAGTAATCCCTTGTTCACCTTGTCCCATTGACCATATCTGTGCTCCCGTATAAAGGGCACGATGCTAAAAGCTTGATCTCCTGCCTGGGATGAATGTATAGTTCCTGGCCGAAGAACTAGACATCTACACCAGGTCTTAGCACAACTGTCTATTTTGAAGTTCAGCGATGACTATCCTCGCAAACCAGCTCTGATGCAAACCACGTACGTAGGAACCCTTTTAGAAACCCCGTCAAAAGAGGGACGCAGGGCGTTCGAACCAACTTCGGGCTTCGATTTGGGCTGCGAATGAAGAATACGGAGTATAGAGAAAGTTTCATCATCAATGAACAATATATTTCGACTGGTACAGAAGAAATTCAAGTGAGAGAGGGAGCCATCGACTGCAACGATCTGTCGTAGAAGCTGTCTCGGTGCGCTTGAGCCACAGAGTGGTATTTGATAGCCAGGACAATGCCAGCTACTCTTCAAATTTACAGACCAATACCCTCAGGTGCTACATATATTGATACATTGCCTTAAATGAAGGAAGTAACCTTCCATCAGGTTTCTGGTCTCAAAATACTCAGCCGCCAAAATCGTATGGGTGAGAGCTTCTGTAGGTATCTTCCCAGGGGTTATCTGAGTTTCTCTAGTCGACTCAAGTTATTTGACTCAATTACTGGGTTAAATACACGTCCTATATCGACTTCACATACGCTAAGGTGCATGGATGGATTCCAGAAAGCAAAAAGCTGGCCTGTACTTTGTGCGACTATATGAGTCTAGCAATATAGTAGTGGATGTATAAATCACGAGCTTACAGCCTCTGAGCTGCAATGAAACAGTTCCCATGACTTGGAAGAGTATCTGGGCAACAGACTTGTATCACTGTAGTTTCAGGTTATATCATGAGATGCTCATAAGCATCGGCACCCCATGCGAGGAGGCCGGTCGTGTTCTATTTGGTACAAAGGCACACAGTCATGTACCTGATTTTGAATCTCAAGGCTTTTACTCCATTTGAAGTCAGTGAAACAGATGTCTAGACCACTCCTGTAGGCAATGCCACCCTCTCAACATGGTTGAACCGATCCCTGGGTAACCCCAACCCTGAATGATTACATAATACACCATCCATCCCCTGTCCCCAGATATGCTTCCCCGCGTCAACACCACGTGATTGTCCCATTGGACGTCGCATCATGACCCGGTCCAGCTGGCCGCTTTCGTCTCAAGTACGTCGACCATCTGCCTCATCATCTCTCCATTCTTGGACATCCGTTCGCGGCATAGAATCATCTCTCTTGAACTACTCAAACTCGAGAAAAGCATTGTACTCGTCGGGTCTTCGTTTGTCGACCTCATCTCCATTGACTCCAATCCACAAGCAATCCGGCTTCATCGGAGTACAGATCGTAACGCGGCAGCCAACGTCACAACTGACCTCATCGTCCCTCCACAAAGTATCACGGAAACATCACCTGCCACGCCAACACAGCCTTCTCCACAATGGTCGCCAAGAAGACAGGCTCATCGGGCGAGGCCCTCCCCGTCCGGGTCGTCACCTTCAACGTCCGCTACGCTGCACCGAGGCCCATGCCCAACGAAAAGTCCTGGCAGGTCCGCTGCCCGAAGATCTGCACGCAGCTCGACTTCATCACGCGGGGCCACGACTCGCCGTTCCTCTGCCTCCAGGAGGTTCTCTACCCGCAGCTCCTGGACATCCAGGCCGGCCTCGGCGAGGGCTGGGGGTACGTCGGCATCGGCCGCGACGATGGCGACCGGCTCGGCGAGCTCTCCCCCGTGTTCTACCGCGTCGGCACGTGGAAATGCGAAGTGTTCAAAAACTACTGGCTCAGTGAGACGCCCGACCGACCGTCAAAAGGATGGGACGCGGCGCTGCCGCGCATCGTCACGGTGGGCGAGTTCGTGCATAAGCGAACGGGCCAGAGGGCTGTTGTCATGAGCACGCACTTTGACCACCTTGGCGTAGTGGCGCGCGAGCAGAGCGCCAAGCTCATCCTGCGCATCGCAGCCCAGTGGGCCGAGGAGCGAGCCTCGAGCCCGCCCGCGGCTGTCATCCTCGGCGGCGACTTCAACAGCAACCCCAGCGACAACGCCTACAAGAGCATGGTCGCGAAAGGGTCCGGCATGGCCGACGCTCATGCTCTGGTGCCGGCGGAGAAGCGGTACGGAAACGAGCTGACGTACACTTCATTCGATGAGCCGGACCAGCAGGCTGTGAGGATCGACTTCATCTTCGTAAAGGTGCCTTCCGATGTCAAGGTAACCACCTTTGGCGTTCTGACTAATCGGTTTGATGACGGTGTCTTCCTGTCAGACCATCGGCCTGTCGTTGCAGATTTGGAGGTGCGAGCTGCGAAGGATAGCAGTGCCAGCTCATGAGGCGGAATGAGCCGGCAGGTGGCGGAAGGTGCAATGTCGATTTGTTATCCATAATGGTACATCGTTGACCTGCCGCTCTGCTCCGACAGCCGAGCACCGTGCGAAACAGACTTCGCGTGTGACGTGCCGCAAATCTCGAGCAACCTCGATGAGGCACCTCATGTCTCTGACGTCGAGAGGACCTGGGTTTCACTGCTGACGTCGTCTTGCACTCCCCACGCAGCGCTGGCTGTTCAATACAAGGTGATGACGAGCCCAGGCACACCGAGTCCCGTCGAGATGCCACGGCGTGACCTTTGTACGCAGGGAGAATTCGGCCCTCGTCCTTCATGCGGTGCCAAGTGGCGCCCTTAAGCAAGCTTGAAGAGTTCCCCGCACCGTCACTTCGTGCCGCGATAGCCAGCTTTGTAAGAACAGATGCTTATAACCTATCACGAGGGGAAAGCTCCCACCAGACCTATGCTTTAGAATCACTCACAATACACGAATCTCGCCATCTCAGCCCATAAGCTTGAACCAGGGTCCATCCCTGAAGTGGCAAAGGGATCAGTTCGCGGAGCTCGAAACTAACTGGCTATTGCTGCCGACTCTGCTCGCAAAACAACGTGGCGTCCTCCAGGCATGCGAGAGCTCCAGCCCATCGACCAGCCATCTGATGGATGGACATGCTAAATCTTGATGCCGTATGCGTACAGCTGGGTGAGCCTCCACGAGCAGGTGGCGTTGATGAGAGGGTCTGGAGTCCCAAAGGCTGGTGCAAAAAGGCGGTGTGCACCCCCATCGAGTGGTGTCCAGAGAGAACGCATTTCAGCCTATGGAAAGCCAGCCGAACTTCTCCTCACTCGCAGGACTGACACCTTTAGACACTTGGCTTGTTTGTTAATCCGACAAGCTGATTTTTCGAAAGCGCAGGACGGGTCGAATGTGCGCTAATGGATCAGCGAAGACGCCAGGCGTTCGACGAACCGAGAGGAAATGCAAGAATGGTGTGCATCAGCATCTTGACGATCTGATCACTGGCATAAGGGCCTTCCGCCAGCCGGTCAGTCAACACACTGGCCCTTGCCTTGATCCTGAGGTCCGATCCCGGCCGAACGTCATGGTTTGGCGCCTGCGAACAGGTTCCTCCATCCGTGAGGGTTCAGATGTCGCTGTCTCACGTCCTAGCACGGGATTTCTCGCAGATAAAATGTGTTGGTGGCCAACGTTGGTCGTAGTGCGCAGCAACAGCGGCGGCTACCCGCCAAAAATGGGGTTCGACTCTTGTACACTCCCTCTATCCCTGCAAGTGCGTCAATGCTTTGTATGCATCGTGGCACTTTCTTTGCGCTCCACTGCGCCCGTCAGCCTGGAGCGCTGCATTGAAGCATCTCTTGGGGTTTGGAGAGAGATCCTTGGCTCTGGACTTAAGTGAATGTGCCATGAGGTAATCAGCCACAATTTTGCCGGTGTCAAAAATCCGCCGAGGACATACATTCGATAGTTAGATGACCACAATGAGCAAGTAGCTAAAGCTAGGAACTGGCAGCTACTGATGATGTCGAGCTCCCAGACAATCTTGCCATTTTACCTGACCAGGCGATGGAAGGACTTGCACGATAGCCAACACGGGTTTCTGAAAATATAGAAAATACATAGGGCCTTAGACACCTAGCTCGCGTCATGACTGCTTCGCATGTCGCGTTTTCTCGTTTGGAACACCGAGGTATCCTTTCATTGCAATTCGGATGAGGGTGGCCGCGTGTACGTGACAACAGCCTGTCTGTGACCGAAAATGCTTACCGATGTGGACAAGCTATACGTGACCGAGGCCAAACTCGAGACGCTGCAGCTGGCCCATCATCATTGCAGAGGCCTTGGCAAGACCTGTAGCCGGCATGATCCTCCGGTTGCTCGACATGTTCACGCCAGTGTGTCTAGCGGATGTGCAGTGTCGATCCCTTGGACACGGTCATGGCCAGCCAGAGGATAGGTAGCTTGAAACGAGAGGGTGTCACCTGGAGACAGGAAGAAGACACAGTTGCAGCGCGGTTCCTCCAGCAATTACCTCAAGGAACCACCCAAGATCAATAAAAAGCGAAGAGTCATCGGCAGCTGTTGAGATACAAGACGTGGGTCTTGTCGACTCGTGTGCATACGGGCCGTCTGGGATGGAGGGTCGGCCGAGATCAAGGCAGGGCGATGGGAAGCTTGGCAAAGTGCTTGATAGCAAGAGACGGAATCGATGACTCCCTTCTCGGTCTCCTTATCCAGTGCCGTCTTGCAGTCCTGCAGGAGCGCTCCCGGGGGCTGCCCTATGAGAGGAGCTAGTGGGACTCGGGGGGTGCAGGGAGACTGCATTTCAGCCCGATGCGCCCCCTCGACGATTGGCTCCCAGAAGGTTCTCTCGTGACAAGAGGTGTGTGGGCTTTAGCTGTTCTGCCTGCCAGAGAGCAGCCAGCTGCCTGGGCTGCCTGGAACGGACCACGTCGTACGCCAGTGAGAATGTCAGAAAGTTGAAAGGGTGGGCGAAGATTCAGGCCGGTTCAATCCCCTCGTAGAGGTTGGCGATTCCCGTCTCTGGCTCGGCGTTCTCATGCGCATCGAAAGAAAGGCACGATAGCATCGCCAACCTGCTTTCCGGGTGAGCGACATTTGTCGCTGAAGGAAACGCGCGAAATCTCTTTCGGGGCACCCACAATTTTCTTCTTCCCCGATCTTTTCTCGCCTTGCCGGGTCTGTCAGGTCAGCCACCCCGGTCCGCGTGCGCCGTGGATTGATACCCAAAGGCCAAGATCTACGAAGTCGGGCATTAAAAGGACGAAACGAAACGCGGGAGACGGGGTTACGCCAGGAGAGAGCTGGACGAAAAGGGTAGGACACATACCTCCAACGAGCTACTGACACTCCGTCATCGACGCACGAATTGATTGGCATTCAAGCAGACGGATGTGCCGTTGGTCGAATCATCTCGTGGTACGAGGCTGTTGTCATTAGCCAGCTCGAGTGCTCGAACAGAGGCTTATCGAGGCCAACGGCTCCAAGGCGCAGCACCAGCGACAGCAGCAGCATCACCTGGACCAAAACAACAACAAGCGCCATCCGGTACTGAACAATTGTTCCCTAACAGCTTTGCCATCGGTCATCTCGCACCGCACACCGACCCGCCCAGCCTAGAAGGTGGCACCTGCACAGAAGGTTTTGCCCCCTCCCCCCTCTCACTACTCTCCCTCCAAGTCAAGCTTCTGGGTGACGGGGGGCGTCCATTTCGCCAGCTCGGTCGCGGGCGGGAAGAAACGAAACGTACCTCTCTTCCCGGCAAGGCCAAATTGGGGCTCCATTCCAGGGCAGAAAAGATGGCAAGGTTCTCCACAATTGGGCCTGCGTGCTTCTGTCCGTCAGTCCGGAGCGCTCAGACTCGGACACTGATTGATTTGCGCCGGGGCGGTCCGCAGGTCTTAGCACCGCTGAACAGTCCGTCCTAAAGGTAGATCCCGGTTGGGACACCGTCTTTCACTTCGTTCGTCCGTCCTTCAAAAAGGGACAAAAGCGGCAACCCAGTATCAAGATGAAGAACAGGCAAAGACCAGCAAAGAGAAGAGGAGAAAAATTGACAGAGAGCGAGCGAGATACACCACGTCGACGAGACACGCGGGAGATTACCTCGACGCCTCACTCGCTCCTGCCACCCCATCCGGGCATGTGGAAAGTCTTTCCGCCTGGCTGTCTGCCTCCCTCCCTACCTGTACCTTGCCTTTGCCGTGAGGTACCACTTCCTTGCCCAGGTACCTAGGTGCCTGCCTGCCTGCGTTTTCTTCTCACAGCGCACACGTTGGCATTGGTCTCACACGCCCACGCACCCCTTCCCCCTTCCCCCTTCTTGAACCATTGCTAGGCCCACCCCCATACCTCAGTCCAACGTGGCCGCCTGCCCACTGGCTATGGCTTTGGCCCTGCCACCCAGACCCAGACCCAGACCCAGACCCAGACCGAACTCTCCCGCCGTTTCTCGCGCGCCTACGTATAACCAGGTAGCCTCACTTTCTAAGTGGCCACAACGTTGATGTTGGGCGTGACACAGCCTCTGCTGATGCCGCCAGCTTTGGGCCGAACCGGACAACCAAGATTCGAGTAGCAGATCCAAAGGGAAGCAGAGTGAAAGAAACAGAGACGCGCAGATAGAAAAAGAACTACCGCAGTCCGACAGTAACTCCTGTAACCTGAGGTAGGCGGTGTTCCCTTCCTCGCCATTATTCACCTCCACCTGCACCTACCTGCGTCTTCCTCCGCTGCTGTCCCAAACGAGTCACCGCCGTCTACAGGCACCCCTCTCGGCTGCTTCTTATTACTTTCTGGGTGCCCTGCATCCCGTACCTACCTGACCTGTACTTCCGGGAGGTACTCTACAGTGACTCCGCCTGTCTTCAGGCCTGCTCCTGGAGTCATCCATTCCCCACGATTGGAAACCGTAGCTCTGGTGTGCGCTGCCCACACCCCTCCCTTTCCCCTCGTCTCCTCAGTCTGCCGTGTCTCCTCCTTGCTGTATTGCGGCAAGACACCCACCGACCGGCGCCAGACACACACCCCTACCTCGGGGAGGGAGGTACCTGCCCACCTTGAAAAGTGCACACATACATGGTACACACAGCACATACAGCACCTGGAGAATTTGACTGGCGACTGACTTTATTGCATCGACGGCTTTTTTCTCTCTCTTTTCTTTTCCCCCCCTTCCCCCGTATCCTCCTGAGTTCCTCGACTCCCCATCTCATCAAAAACGTTGATCAGCGCCATAAAAAAACATTGCCGTCATCATCTGATCGGCCACGACCCTTCCATCAGCAAGACGACCCAACGCTGACCCCGTTTGGGCTCTTAAGAAGGAAAGACCCTAGCAGCTTGGACGCCGACAAGGACGCCCCTGGCAACCAGCACGAGCCACCTTTGCTCACTTTCACTCGCCACACCCATTCACCCCATCCCTGCTGGGCTGCTCGGCTACAACCTACTGGCCTGGGGCTGCCTGCTAGACAAGACTTCTCCCCTCCCGCTGTCGCTCCCCCCATTCCTCGCCGCTGTTTTAGGCATCCCCCCCCCCTCTGTCCATCCCATTATTGCGGACACTCCTCTCAGGCCCGCTCCCCAACGCCCATCCCGCATTCACTTCGGTGCCCATCCTGTCGCATCAATATTCCTGATCCCCACCTGCGGAACCAACTTTACCTTCTCACACACACAAAAAGTTCCTAGCTCCCACCTTCCCACCCCAAGACTGCGACTTTTCCTATAATTGTCCCATACCACCCAAGACAGACACTGGCGATACTGCGACTCTTCCGACGTGCCCCGCCTCTTTCAGAGGCTTCTCCGCCTCTCTCGCACCAACATCGACTGGCACCATCCCTCAGTGGCTGCTCTCGAGTTGCGACCCGACAAAATATTGCCCGCCATGAGCAACAGGTCGCCCACCAAACACCACCGCGTCTCGTACGTTGAGGAGGCCAACGACGATACAGGCTCCGTCATTGCCGGCACTGAACGCTATGCCGTCTCCGAGGCCCCGAGCCCTAGCAAAGAGCGCTCCAACACGAGCAAGTCCCGCAAACACCGGCCTTCGCTCCGCCCTCAATCGGGCTCGGGCTCTTCTTCACCACACAACGCCTTGACCGACTCTGACTCAACCGTTCACGCAATCGGCCCCTCCAAGAAGGACAAGGAGGCGAGTTACAGAGCCAAGGAAAAGGAGCGCGCCAAAGAGAAGGACAAAGCAAAGGAGCGGGAACGGGAGCGCAGGAGGGACCTTGAGCGCGAGGCCGCGCGAGCTGCCAGGAAGGCTAGCGTTCGTCCACCGACTAAGCATTCGAAGACGGCCCCTGCTCCTATCCTCCACTCGCATTCGCAATCGCAAGATGCCTATAGGCGACCGACTGGCGGCAATGACGATGCTGCCTACTATGGCGTGAGCCCGTCAACTTCTCACCGGCCCCGTGCCATGACAGCCTCTCGCCCCAGCAGCTACTACGGAGCCGGCTCTCGACCGCCCACTTCCAACACTCAGTGGTGGTCTCAACACCCTGGTGGTGTTGCCCCCCCTCCACTCTATCCCGCGCCTTCGTACGGTTCCAGCCCTGCGCCTTACCCGCCTCCGTCGGCGGCGCCCCAAGTCGACTACTTTGGAGGCAGCGCTATGGGTGGTCCCCAGCACCAACATCTCGCGCAGCGTTTTCAGCGGCCTTCATCTGCAAGTGGTCATCGTCCGAACGTGCCCGCCGGGCAGCCTTTCGACCCAGCTCCAATGTATCCGTATGAGGAGTATGAGCAGGAGAACGACATCAGCCTAGTTCGACGGCCTTCGCTGAAGAAGTACAGTGTGGAGGAGGACAGGCGGCGTATGCCTCCCCCTCCTCGTCCCGTCACTACAGGTCCCAGACGGGCCGCCATTCGAGGCCCACCTCCCCCGTCCGCACCTCCCGTACAGCCCCGGCGAGCCATCGACTATGGCGGCTTCGACGACGGAGATTTTGATGGCGAGGATATTCTGTACCGGGAGATTGCCCCCTCGCGCTCTTTCAGCTACGGCCATGGCGAAGGTGCCCAACTGTCGCGAAGCAAGCGACGCGAGAGCGCTGCGATCGAGGGCGGCATTCCCTACCGCATTGAGCCTGCCGCCAGCTCTGGTCGGCGTCACTCGTACTATGGCAGCAGTGCCGGCAGTTTCGATTACGAAGACCAGGTTCGCGCAGCAGCAGCCTACCAGGACGACATCAACGGTGGTGCCACTCTGCCCCTGACGGCCGAGACCCTTCGCAAGGCCGGCAAGCGCAACAGCGACAAGAGCAGCCGCTCTACACGCAGTAGCGAGAGCCGGGACGAGAGCGACAACCGGCAGAGCAACACGACACGTACAACTCGGTCTTCGGCTGGCCAGGGCGACGATGACTTCACGATCAAGGTGACGGGCTCGGCGACGCTCAAGGTGGGGGGTGCTGAGATCCACTGCGAGGATGGCGGAGAAATCAACATCACCCAGCAGGGCGGTGGAGGTTCCCGTGCCGGCGGCGGCGGTAGCGATCGAGCGAGCACCATTTACGGCGAAGACCAGCGTCGCGGCCGGCTCGAGCGGCTGCCCATCCGGGCTCGCGCGTCCAGCCAGGCACCGTCTTCGATCTACGGTCACAGCCCGTCGTATGAAGCCTACGGCCGGCCGCCATTCTTCTAAGGTATGACGACGAGTATCATGATGTAATGAAGTGGACAGATGGATGATGAATGATGGATGACGGATGATGGATGGCAAGCGAAGGCGTTTCCTTTGTGCGGCTCATCTCATGGCTCGGGAGCGTTTGCATTTACTTTTTCCTTGGGCTATTGCGTTTTCACACTCCACACCAAGTTGTCGGCTCTATACCTCTTCCGTTTCTTATTTTCCCCAGTTTTTCCTTTTCTTCGACCTCTCTGACTCGCTGAAGCTGTCATTGGAGCATGGCAACCCAGACTGATATTGGAACATGGGAAGCCTTTGCAAGAGGGAAGCATGGACATGTGTCTTGGGCAGAGAGCCACTTTCTTCTCACATTTGTTCTCCTTTTCTCTCCGGGGTCTTTCTCAACTTTTGTCTCGATAGTAGGACCAAGCATGTATACTTTCTGGGCAGTTCTTGTATGGATGGAGGGCTGGCAAACCCCTGGGCGAGACTGGTCTTGCTCATGGAAAGGAGCAAGCCCTCTCCCGACACCATTTGTAAAACGCGCCCCCTTTCCCCCTCACCTTTTCCCTCGGCGTTTGTTCACTACAACACTCAACCTTGGTGAAGGGGCGTTCTTGGGCATGAGGCCATGGACGAAATAGGTCGTACAACGGCCTGCTCGATCTACCGACCTCTTTGGTGTTGAGAAGGCAGATGCCAGGGACTGGGAAGGCAGGACTGTTCTTCGCTTTTTATTTCTATTTTTCATCTATGATAGACAACGTCATGTAAGGATGGGCCGTGGGGTTCACACCTCGACGGCTCAGCGATGGGCAGGTTTTTCGTTTGGCAGCTGGTTATCCCGCCTGGTACAGTATATCCAGCAGCAGAACAGCTGATTTGGATGAGAAGACCACGGAGAGAAGATGACCAGTGGTACACTACGATCAAAGACCGAATACTGGAGACATCAGAGCAAAGGGCGTCCTGACCGCCACAGGTGGGACGGGCTCGAATTGAAAAGGCATCATTTCGCTCCATCGTTTTTGTATGGCTCTTGTGACATTTCTCGTTTCTGACAGGGAAAGGCAATAAGCAAATGAATGGCGCGTGTGGACGTTGCCGGCCCATTTCGCTGGCTTGTCGTCTCTCGTGTTAGCACTGACTGACTGACTGACGTTGGGAGTGGAGGCGATGGGCTGGCCTGGTGTGTCGCACATGTGAAACTGACAGGGCCCAGCCTGGGCGGTTGCGGGACGGAACGATGGTTTGGTGCTGACCTAAGCCGCGTTTGTGAAAGTGTGATGAGATGAGCGTGGCTGGTTGCTGGGATACAGAGACATGTTTACTTACGACGTCATTGGACCACACGTCCACCGGCCCCCCCCCCCCTCGTCACAGCCCAGGCGGCCCAGCCACGGGCATTTCGGGGTTCCTTAGGCAACGCCGCTCCTTCCCACGGCGGCACTCTCGTACTTGCTGCCTCCCATCTGTGCCTGCCTCGATGCTCAACTTGCCCTCCATTCCCTCCTTCGTCTTTTCGTCACCTGGCACCCAAGACAAGACGCGGGGTATTCACAACTACAACCACATCAAGACCACCAAATTGATCTCCATTGCCCATTCCAACCCTCCATCGAGAACCCGTCACCTCCCTCATCGCTGGTCTCCCAGCGCCAGCCCACCCAGCCGGGACACGAGCCCACATTCCACGCCCACGACCACGACCACGACCATTCCACCACAGCCATGGCACCGGCCCTGCACACTCTCGCGGCCGCCATGCTGCGGCGTGCCGACGAGTCGTCGGATGAGAAGAAGACGGACCCCCACAAGGGCACGACGGACGCCCACGACATCAACAACACGGTCGTCTTTGTCGTCTTCGGCCTCATCGGCGCCGCCTTTGTCTGCACCGGCATCTGGTTCTTCTTCTGGGCCAAGAACGGCGGCTTCTACTTCAAGGAGAACGACTGGGACGACTACAAGACGACGGTGCTGCGCCGCCGCGGGCCCAACGGCACCCTCCTGACGGGCGCCACGCCCTCGACCAACCTCGGCGGCGGGTCCGTCTACAAGGACTTTGACGGCCAGCGCGGGGCCCGCGGCGGCGGCGGCGGCAGCGGGTACCGCGATGACGAGCACGACGACGACGCGACGACGGCTCTGTCGGGCATCACGGCCGGCGCCTCGGACATCGCGGCGCGCGAGCGCCGCGAGAAGAAGCGCCGCGACAAGAGCAAGGAGAAGGAGCGGCGCCGCCGCGAGAAGGAGCACAAGAACGAGAAGAAGCACCACGACGAGAAGACGGAGTTTGTGCCCGCCGCGGGCCAGGCGCCGCTGGAGCTCGAGGAGGACGCCGAGCGCGAGGCCAAGCAGCACCTGCGCAGCTACCGCCACGAGCGGCCCGCCCGCGTCGGCGGCCTCAACGCCGCGTCCGAGGCCAGCGAGTGGGATGGCAGCACGAACCCGGCCGACTCGACCGTCAGCTCGACCCTGCTGTCCAACACGACGCCGCCGCCGAGCAGCCGCAAGAAGGCCGGCGGCATCCGAAAGGTGTACAGCACGGCCGACCGGACGGCCGACCGCGAGCAGGAGAGGATCCGGGCCGAGGCGAGGAGGCTGGCCGAGCGGGGACGCGCGGCGGGCTCCGCGCGAAGGGACTTCAGCTACCAGCGCGCCGACAGCAACGTGTCCGAGAGCGACGTCGGTCTGCAGCGGGGCAGCCGCGTCGGTCTCATTCGCGAGGAGAGCGAGAGCGACATGGGCACGAGGAGCTACCGCAACGGCATTCCCGTGCCCAACAGCCCCAGCGCCGTCGGCAGCGACTATGCCGAGGAGAAGCGCAGGAACAGGCGCGCCGGGTACCGTCGCGAGAGATAGAGGATTGCCTGGGACGGGGTTGGTTGAATTCGACGAGAACGACAAGCATGTCTCCTGACTCGGCGCGTCCTGGAGCAGGAGGCCTCTGCTGACACGGCAGGGCACTGGATTGAAGGCTTGGGGCGTTGGGATTTGCTTGGGATGCGACACAGGCGGAATGAGCCTCACATGAGACGCGAGCATGGACTGTCACACGTATGTAGAATAAATGAATACCTATTGCATCATGAGTATGTAGCTTCTTGGGAATCGTGATCTGGTGCGATATGTCCGGTCTGGGCTGGCACATTGCACTGCTGCTGGTTGTCGTGAGGCAGGCCCCTGCATGTCACTCTCATCCCTTGTGAGGCAAAACATCAACGCCAACTACTTTGGCCGAACATCGTAAGCTTGGTCACAGAGACTGAGGAGATCAAATACTGCGCCCACATTGTGGCTTTTGGGCAGAGCAGCCGAAGTGTCCGCAAGGCTGGACAAGCTGAACAGACGGACACTTGCTGCACCCGACTGGGCATGAGGCACTGCACGCTGGCAACAGCCTGATGCTGCTGCTGCGCCTTGCATCAGCTCACGCCACCCCCAAAAGCCCGAGCGAGTACTCTCACTGCTCACCGACGAACCAACTGACGAAGTCGGCCACTGGTCCGGAGGCCATGTGCATCTCTTTCTCGAATGGCCTCCACTCCTCCTGGGCGTTTCACACCGACGGCATCGTCGTCTCACTCGACTTTGCGCCCCCCGCCTATTCTTGGCACCTCACTCCTCTGTAGGTAATCACAAAACAAACGGCGTCAGGACCCAGCATGCGTCTCCTCGACGTCAGGTCGAGGCAGCTCGTCGACCGCAAACTCTTCGACAGCGCGCGAACGCGCTACGCGATCCTGTCGCACCGCTGGCAGGACGCGGAGCTGACGCTGCAGGACCTCGCGCGGCCCGACCATGCCAGCCTGCCCGGCTACGCCAAGCTCTCCGGCGCCTGCGACCTCGCGGCGGACAAGGGCCACGACTACCTCTGGATCGACACGTGCTGCATCGACAAGACGAGCAGCGCCGAGCTGTCCGAGGCCATCAACTCCATGTTCCGCTGGTACGAGCAGTCGGCCGTGTGCTACGTCTATCTCGCCGACGTCAGGGCAGGCGGGCGTCCCGCGGTCTCGGCGGCGGCGGCGGCGGCGGCGCCCGAGATCAGAGCGAGCGAGTGGTTCAAGCGCGGCTGGACGCTGCAGGAGCTGCTGGCGCCCAAAAAGGTCGAGTTCTACGACGCCGACTGGCAGTGCATCGGCACGCGGACGTCGCTGCAAAAGGCCATCAGCGAAGCGTCGAGCATCCCCAGGCGTTTCCTGTCGGGCGAGAGCCATATCCGTTCCGCGAGCGTCGCGCAACGCATGGCGTGGGCCGCCACCCGCCAGACGACCCGGCTCGAGGACCAGGCGTACTCCCTGATGGGCCTCTTCGATGTCAACATGCCGCTCCTGTACGGCGAGGGGAGGAAAGCGTTTCTGAGGCTGCAGCAGGAGATCATGAAGAACTCATCCGACCAGTCGCTGTTTGCGTGGGGCAAGATGAAGACGACCGTCGTGGATCGCGAGCACTGGACGATCACGGAGCTCGAAGAGGTCACGAACACATCAGGAAGCTATTCGGGCCTGCTAGCCACGACACCGGCGCGGTTCACCGGCTGGGCGGACCGTTCCATCGCCGCGACCTTTGGCCCAGAGTCGAGGATTGATCTCAGGCAGACGAGCTCGGGGATTCAGATGCGTGTCCCGGTGATCCGCGGGAGTCAGGAGAACGTCCGCATCGCGCTGCTCAACTGCCGAAACGTGGATGACGACAAGCATTCCGTCATGGGTCTCCTCATGGCGCGGCAGCACGCCGCGGCCGAGTGGCACCGCGCGAGGCCCGTCATAGCGCCGGCCGGCGGCTCGGATGACCCCGTCTACGTGGTACCATGGGAAATAGCTCAGTATGCGGAATACGAAACCATCGAGACGCTGTCCACCTCGACCTGGCACAGTGCCCTGCAGTTTCCCACCCCCAATATCGATGGAACATGCGGCAGCATCACCCTGCAGCTTGCCGACAACCTGCCCGAGCGCCTCCACGCAGTGACGCCTCGAAACCGCTTCCGCAAGGCCGATCGCTCCGTGTTGCCGGCGTTTGATGACCTTGGCCGCTGGAAAGACGTCACGCTGTTCTTCGGACCCAAGTGGTCGCAGGACGTCGAGCCAGAGGCCGAGCGAGGATTCGCCGTCGTCATGAGGCCGCGCAGCTTCAGCGAGGCGTTTTGGACCCTGTCCTGGCACTCTTCGCCCTTTATAAGTCAAGTCGTGACGCTTCCCGGCGAGAACTACGTGTGCAGGTTCACGAGCCTCCACGTCCAGTCGGCCCTCCACCAGAGCCACGGCCAGTACGTGCTCGAAATCCGGCCTGGAACCCCGCCTTCGCTCACAACGCTTGTTTACGACGCCTTCTTCCGGACATCTACAGATTACAGAACCGCCATCACCATCTTACTCGTGCAACTCTACATCCACGCCCGCACGCCCAGCTCGGAGACATGGTCGAGCAACCTAGTGTTCCTTCTCGGCCAGGTCTATTTCTGCTGCGCCGCGTACTGGCAAAACTCGTGGCTCAGCAACCGCGTGCAGCTCGGGCGCTTGCGGCTCCTTGTTTTTCGACCCATGAACGTCCTCCAACACTTGACCTCGATCGGGGTCTGCATTCCAGGTCCCTGGCTTGGGCTGCCCAATGGCTACAACGCGGACAAGGGGTGGCCGGGGGTCGATGATCTGCTGCAGCGCTGGGTGTGGCTATCGAGCTACTGCCTTGCGTTCCTATTCCTCTTCAAGTCGCGGATGGCTCTGGAAAGTATGTACCAACCGGGCAGTGCAGCGTTGCGGCCGCTCATGCTGAAGGGAAATCATTTTGCCGTTCTCGCGACGTATGTGTCTTGCTTTGCATACTTTTCCCTTCTGGGATACTTCTACCCGGAAGCAAATACCGTGCCCCACGTCAAGATGTTGAGCGTGGGGCTTGTGGTCTTCTGGGCGTGTTGGCCAGTTAGGGCGGCACAGAGGGTGATCAGTTAGGTAGATAGGACAGCCAACCTTAGAAGATACCCTGCGTGACCTACCAAAGGCGCATTCCCGCATTCCGAACTCTCCCTGATGTTTGGATGATGGACTCAGTCTTGTAACACAGGCAACATCGGCCTGCAATGATCGTCAGCCGTTGAACTCTCGTGAATGGACATGCATCATTAACCAGCATTTATTTACTTCATCTAGTACTGGTACACCGGTCATAGCCAGTAAACGTCGACGAAGCGCCAGGCCCCGCCTTGCCATGTTCGTCGCTTAATCGACCGTTCTCCTGCGGAACAGCAGTTCGGCGTTGGGATCTGGCATTTTGCTCATAACCATCATCATCCCCTTCGGTCGACCTTCCCCTTCCTTAAGCCTAACCTCATACTTCAGCAGGAAATAGGCCAAGACCATCTTGATTTCGTTGCCTGCAAAGAACCTTCCAGGACAGGCATGCCGTCCAGCGCCGAAATTGACATTGGTGTCGCCGATGCTTGAGAATTGCCACCTGTGTCCCTCCTCCTCGGATGCCTGCCTCATCTTATAGAAGCGCATGGCATCAAACCTTTCGGGGTCTGCGAAGAATCGTTCGTCATGTGAGATGCCGGCTTGTGGTGTGAGAAGCTTAGTGCCTGGCGGAAGACGTGTGCCGTCAGATAGTGTGATGGGCTTCAAAACCTTGCGAATGAAGCCAGCTGCCACGGGTCAGCATCGGTCAACGAGGATAGAGCGAGAGAAGGGCTTACTGATGTTGCCGGCGAGGCGCTGTGTCTCCTTCATAAAACTGTCCAGCTTCTTAAGCTTCGCCATGCTCTCTTTACGCAGCCAACCTTCTTCAACTTCCAGGACTTGGTGTGCTTCTTCGCGAAGCATCTCTTGTACCTCTGGATGAGCTGCAAGGTCGTACATACAGTCCGTGACGAGGTTCGTGGTCGTGTGAATCGATGCTGCGGCTAAGACGAGCTGGATATGCGCCTGTGCTTCGTAGTCCGTCTTCTCCTCTGTGGGTAGAGCTTCCACCAACCACTGAATCAGGTCATCCGGCTTCTCTTCCGCCGAATGCATCTCCATATCGCGGAGGCGCTCCTCAATGACTGGCTTCAACATCTTCTTGGCGACATCAATATCTTTCCGAATTTGCCTCAATTCTGACACGAGGTACTGCGCTGCTGGACGTGACCATTCAGGGAAGAACTGCAGCTTAACGACGGCAGTGAAAACATGGATAGCAAAATTGATGCTCGTGTCCATCCATTGCTCTGAGCGGTTGATGCTGGGACCGACAAATGCGCGGCCGCTGATGCGCGAGATGGCGCGTAACGCAAAAGGTTGGAACTTGACAGGCGTCCAGTCTGTGCTCGTCAGTCTAATGCTTAGTGTAGAGTGATGATTTTGGGCCTACCATTGCACTCAGGAAACTCCGTCGCGACAATCGACTCGAGTTCGCCTTTCAGCTGGGGCACGAGTCGTGCAAGGTTTTGAGAGAGGCGGACTCGAATGAGCGTTGACAGCATTTCAGCGTTGTGTCCTAGACCAAACTTGGTGTATTTGGTCATGAGAGCCTGGAAATAAGCATCACTTCTTGCAGTGTCAGGCAAAATCTCTCACCTCGCTCACGGCCTCCTGTGCGCTAAGTACATCCTCCGGCAATCCCTTAAGCTCGGGAAGATACTTCGCAGGAACCAACACCTGCACACCCTCGGTGGCCCTGATCTGGTAGATGGTGTCGCGAAACTAGGTTGTTAGGCGGCGCATACAAATCAAGGACGGTTGAACTGACCTTATTGTAGCTGTCGAGAATGAGGCTTTCAGCTGCAAAGATCCACTTGGTCTTTGCCGCCTTGTAGAACGGAACGTCAATCTGCCCGTGCTTCTTTGACTGGAAGAACCAGGCTACGCAGAGAATGGCGCCGAGGCCGACGTAGTAACTTAGGTTCTTGCTTCCATGCACAACACGCGGCAGCTGAAAGTCTACTATGTCTGCGGCTGATGCCATCTCGGATGACTCGTTCATGTCGTGGTGGAAGATGCGAATAGCGCTGGCGACTGAGGTTATGAGGAGTTGACTGAGGCGATACCCAATCGAGGGTGCAGGTCGAGGGATGTATGGAGATGGTGTAAGTTCGTCGTCAGGCCATGGACCATGAGTCTATGGGGTTCTTGGAGTAGGGCAGTCGCGCAGCAGCAGACGAGTAGTCCAACAGGGCAGAGCCTGTTGCTAGTCGCAAAGAGCAAGATCGACACGCGCAGCTACCGCATCAGAATCTCGAGAAACAAAGTTGATCGCGCGATGTAGTACAGCGACAGCATCCACTTTCGACGCAAGAGAGAAGCAGGAGGAAACAAGTCAATCCAGCGACCAATGCTTGGAAGACGAGTCCCTAGATGAATGTCAAGAGGAGAAGATTCAAGAAACCAAGACGTGAAAGAAATCGGGATATTGAAGGCCGGGGAGGGTTGTCCATCGGAAACAAAGACAGCGGCGTGAAAGAAGCGTCACAACAGGTAGACGAGCCATGGTAGGCGGATTGGTGCCACAAAGAGTTCCAGGCGAGGTTCCAGGAGCAAAAGCACAGGCCAGAGGGGACGTGAATTGGTGATCTGCTTCTTGCTGCTCGCTCTGTCTCTGTCGCGAGGGTCGTTCTGGGTCTGAAACGTGGACGATCGCCAGGAGGCTGGCGGCTGTCTGAGAAGGTTGCGTCCGTGTTGCCGATGGTCAGTCCGAGTGGCTAGTGCTTTCAACACGTGTGAAGGTTCAGCTCTGAGACGGAAGGCCAATTGGACGGGGTACTTGATGGCGATGGCGATGATGATGATGCATTGGCCGTCCCGAGATGAAGTACCTAGGTAGGGAGAACAAGTTGCAATAGCATCATCTGCACGGAGAGAAAGGCACAGGAAGGCACCTTCTGGTAACGTACAGGCCAGCAGCACCTTCCGAGATGCCTCTGAAGCCCGTGCTGTTGCAGAAGGCGCCACATAGCTTACCTAACATCACCAACCTCCCTGGGCACCGCTCCTCAACCCCCCCTGGCCGAGACTGCCCAAGTTCCAGGTCCTTGACATCAGAGGGGCTCCCAATGTGCTTGGAACAACCCCATCACAGCACTGCATTTCCAACTCGAGCGCAGTCTCCGCCGTCCTTCGGTTTCGATGCTCCTCTCGCCGTCGCATCGCCTCCACATTCGTCCCAACTCCTTGTACTATCTCCCACTCAGCCGCCCAGAGGAGGCCCACCCCTGAGGCCTTCTCGAAGCCACCTAGCGCCCCAGCGAACTCCAATGTCACCTGGATCGACCGACTTCCGCAACCCCCTATCCCTTCAGAACCAGCCCCCAGATCTTCGCAAGCAACATGCCTCTTCTTGTCGTCTCATTCTCACCCTTGCCAAACATAACGCCTGCCCCGATTCCCAAACCAAACGCATGGCCCGCCAAGCTGGCACAGATGATCTTGCTCTCTCGAAGCGGCAGGTCTTACCGTGGGAGAGTGCATGGTGCTCTCGTAAGGCTTTTGGGTCAGAGGAGGGGTGCTCAGACTTCTCTCATACTTCAGGTGCAGATCTGCTTCACAGCACTTGAACCAGGTTCGCAAAGTGCCCTGCCTGCCTGCTTCCAACAGGCAAACCGCCTGCCTGACATAGGTAGGTCAATTTGACGCCGACACCGCTGCTTTCTTGACCTAGCATTTTCAGTGAAATCGAGGAGGGGCTTGAAGCCAGGATTCAAGTGACATCGCTTCTGTCAGCAATCGGTGATTGCCATCACTCCCCTGGATGTCGTTTGATCGCCAGGAAGGAGATTCCATTCCCGACACGAGTTGTCGGCTCCTCGCCTACGATTGCATGTTCTGTCCCAAACGCTTCTCTGCGGAAGCTTAAGGAATCGCAAGAACGCTTCCAGCCGCGAGAAAGCCTCCTGAAAAGCCTCCTCCACCCACGACCCGGTCAAAAAGTCAAGTCCCAGCTTCCACACCTGACTTATCCATCCCAACTCTGTCGCCAGCGCGCGCCTTCGTGGCTCATCATAAAAGACCTTTTCGCAGTCTGTTTGCGAGATCCCGTGGCTCCGAGGCCGGGCCGAGGAAACGCCAAGAATAGAAGCGGAAGCCAACGGCTCTGTTTGTGCTGCTGACGGCGCCGAGGCTCGGGATGGGATGAAAGTTATTGCCACTCGGCAGTTCCGTTCACACAGCGCCTCTTCCATCGAAATCAAAGAAGCGGGGCCGGTGCAAACCGTATCGCACTTCGACGTATCACTATGGTGTCCTCTGTGACTTCCATAGAGCAACGGTGTCATCGCTCTACCAGACTTGGCACGCTTCGTGAGCCTCCGAAGGTGCAGATAGGAGAACATGGCAATCTCTGCCTCCGAAGTCAAAGCTGCGCCCTATCCGCCAGGGACAGTCTATCGAGGGGCGCGTCATGTTCACCTGCGCTTCCAGACTGTCTGCCAGACTGAACATACATGACGACGGGATAATCCGTTCGGTTGCTCGGGTGGCCTGACTCATTATGACAGGGTAAAACCTTGGGTGAAGAAATGTACTCATGGTCGCCTTACGCTGCTCGGGATGATCTGCTGGGTACAGTCAATACGGTTGTATACTGGGAAACCCGGGCCGTTATCACCAAGTATCCAGCTCCAAACATTTTCCCTACCCTCCCTAGGTCTTTCAAGAAGTTCTGGTCCAGCTGCAGCTGGTTCTCAACCTCTCAACCTACTTCTTCCAAGCCGAGCATCGCCCACTTGGTCGCCCATTGGCAATGTGGCAGATCCTCCACGATTGCTCGCTCGCACGCCCTGAACCACAATATGCTCTTAATCTATCGCACATTGCCTAGTAGGAAAGGAACTTGATGTGACCAAATTGGGCCAGCTTGGCATTTAGATATAAATACGTAACGCTCGACCCTTTCAGCCAAAGACGGTTGGTAAAGAGTAGCTTGAACTGACCAGTGAAGCCCTTGATTAGGAAGCAGCGAACTTCTCCTGAATCTGGACTTTCTTCGAACTCTAGCCTGCGATCGCAAGCTTGACCGCCGCATATCTGCCCATCCTATCGTCTTGTGCCAGCTAGATCCTCAGGTACAACCCATGCCCGCGGCTTTCGACGCTTGAGTAGTGCAACTACATTGGGTCGTACCGGACGTGTTGAGCTATGTCGAGTGAATCGATGACACCACGTGCCAATATCGCGGTACTTCGGTAGTCATCTTTCGTGGCCATTCCCGTAGCGTAGCGAGTTTGCTCTCGATTGTCACGTAGGAGTGCAACGTTGGGTATTGTTTCGCAGAAAATGAGCTCGCACACAACCGCGTTCTCTCCACTAGATCCACTCTAGTAGAGGACATCAAGATATCGAAGGCCCGCAATGTTAGCAAGTGCAAGAGAATGGCGGGACAAATAATGATTGCCTTTCCCAGATTTCCAGTACGTGACTCGAGGCTGAATAGGAATGCCGTGCATGCATGGTGTCTAACTAAATGGCCTCAAAGCGCTGTCGGTGACCGAAACGTTCCGGGAAGGTAGGCTTCGATGCCAGAGGCGACTGTTTGCGGCGCCCGTGGTGGCCCGGGGGCAACTATTTTAACCTCTCAACCTCATGCCCCCTTAAAAAAAGGCATAATCTTCATAGGGTTTCCGCTGGAAGGCTCCGCGACTTTGCTCATATCATTCATATCAACGACCCTTTACGTATTCAGAATCTCCCTTTCGCATTGAAATTGGTATCTTCTCTTCAGCTCTTGGACAAAACATATCGTCACAGCAGACACCACCTGATAGAAATACCAACCCGCTATTACACAGCAATCAATGGCTCGGCCTCCCTTCTCTCAGCCGGCTGGTCGTTGCCTTGCTGACCATCAGCAGGCCCTGCCGAGGCCGGTGTCTCATTTTGCGCGGCTTCTCCACCCGTATTAGCCTCTGCGTTCTCAACAGCGGGCTCCGGTTCGCCGTTGGCGGCAGCGGCGGCGGCTGTCGCAGCAGCCTCGGCCTCTTCTCTGCGCCGCCTTTCAACCCGCTCTTGTTCCTCCAGGTGGGCAATGTGCCGCTCGGCCACGCCAGGAGCGATGCTGGCCAGGAACAGCAGGCCAGCTCTTTCGAGACGGCGTGCCTGTTCCATCAGCCAGGTCGTGTTATCATGGCGTCTTCGAGCTACGAGTCGGGCAGCAGCTTGGGCAGGGTCAAGTGGACCGTTGTGTTGTGCCGCTACTGGCGCACGTTGGTCATTGGGATTACCAGGAAGGTCTGCGTTGTTTGGCGGGTTATTGTTGTGGTTGTGGTTGTGGTTGTTGTTGGCGAGTGGCAGGAGGTTATCGAGATGCCGCCTGATAGGCGCAACAATTCGATCGAAGTAGGCGTCAAAGAGACCAGTGTTCACAATAAAGATGCTAATGGCAATGGCTATCACTGTCGCCCAACGGGACCAGTTAGAGTTGGGGGAGGTGAACCACCAGATGAAAACCCCCAAGCGGACCACAAGCCAGAAGTGTGGCAGCATCTGGGCTATGAGGGGTGCAAGCCGTGGATTGTTTGGATGAGCAGGCAGGGCTCCGATGGGAACTTCATTCAGACCATGAGGCGGTGCTTGCCACTGAGGGTTGTGAGGTTGTTGTTGCTGTTGCTGCTGCTGGTTCTGCGGCTGTGGCTGAATTTCTTGCTGTTGCGGGGCTTGAAATGGCTGTGTTGTGGGCGGTATGGTAAACGGGCCAGTTGGCCACGGCGAATGCTGTGGTGAGCGACCATGAGGTACGAATCTGGCAAAGGCAGCTGCAGGGTCCGGGACAGGAAGGCGGAGGCTTGGCGTGTAGTACGTTTCGTTGCTGGTGTTGTTGATGAGCAGGGCACGAGGCCCTTGCGGAGATGACAAGATATAGACTTCGGGGCCAGAAGATTGCGCTGGCGGTTGTGCAGAGCTCGCGTGCGCGTTTGCGGTGTGCCCTTCGCTAACGGATCGTGACACGGGATCAGGTGTACCCCTCCGGCTGCTACGGCTTCGACTGGCAGCCCGAGAACCCATGGCGGGATAGTAAGGGGTGCTCGCGCCCGGCTGTAGTCCGAAAGGCAGGGCGCCTGGGCCCGGTGACTCGCTTCTTTGCATGGCGTTAGTCATGGCTTGCGTTGCCTGCCCGGCGTCGGCTCCTCTGAGGATACCCTGAACATCTGAGACCGACAAAGGAGTCCAAGTCTCCGTGTTTGTAACTCGATAGGGCTGCCCATCACCCAATGTGCCTTCCCTGACAACCGTCCTCGTGTACGGCTGCCCTCCGGGACTCCTGCCACGCGAGACATCCCGATGGCTTGGTCCGGTCGTTGGCGCGCCGTTATCCCCAATGCCATGCATTCCCATAGCAGCCCTCGCTGACTGGTTGTGATTTATCTGATGGTTGGCCATGGCCCTGTTGACAGCCTCTCGCTGTAGACCACTCGACCAGGCGCTCATGCTTTGGTGCAGTTGTGAATGCATCTGCTGAACCTGCTGCGGCGTGAAATTTGGCGCTGTCGGTATCGCAAAGCCTCCCGTTCTCCTTGCTGCTTCAGGTATCGGAGCACCGAGTGGCGATTGCTGTCGAGGGTTCTGGGGTTGGGCTTGTGTCGCGAAGGGGCGGGCTTCGCCTGGTGTAGGAATGCGACCACGCAGGACCGAGGGTGTTGGTGCAGGTGCATCGGGAATGCCGCGGAGGACAAGATGAAAGGCTTGCAGGCTGTGTTCACGGATCTGCAGGCCGTTAGCACGTATCGCAGGATGAATATGAGACGGAGGGACTGACCGTGGCTTCCCCGATAATCTGCCCCAGGGTATCATTGTCGGCCTGGAGATGTCTTCCTCGATATATCAAGCGTTGCTGGGTGTCGGCGGGCTTGGAGGGAATGGCGTTGCGGATCTTTTCCTTCAGCTGGCTGATAGTTGTCGAAATGGAAAGGTCCGGGAAGCTCAAGGGCCCGCCCGAGGTGGCGGTCGTCGTGGGCGAAATGATGTTGAGGCTGACGGTAAGCTGATCGTATGGAAGGTTGGCGGGCACGGGTGCTGATGTTGGGGTCGGCGCAGGCGGCTCATCCGCAACGGAAGACGAGGAACTGTCGGAGGACATGACTCGAAGAGCTCGTGAAGCTTCGTCGACAGGCTGTGTGAGGTGCGTATGTTATAGTATAGATCGATCGTTGTAGAGATGATTCAGTTAACTTGGTGGCGGTGTCTCACGGCTGGTCGCCCTAGCGAAGTGCAAAGCAACGCGAGAAGGTCATGTCAATGAAAAGGTGCGCGCGGTGGAAATGGGAGCTCGAGAACCGAGTAATCCGACCAGTTGATCAATCGAACAGAGGTACAGCTTCTCGCAGCGGGGCAGGACGGGTGCTAGCTGTTGATGTTCGTGATGCTTGTTGAGGTGGTCGACGTGTTCTTTCCTTCTGGGTTGCAGTCTCACAATGACAAGTAGTGGGTCACCACTTCCACGTCTGCCACTTCGCAAATGCGGCAGGTGGCACTCGGACCTACGTCTACCGATTGACAGCTGGTCGAATGAACTGGTCCACTTTAATTCGAGAGTGGCCTCATCATCCCTGGAAGTTCTTACCGAGAGTACACCGACTTACCGAGCCCCCTCCCCGGTCGTGCTGATTCGTTCGAAAGAACGCTTGGGGAATTGCTCTGTCCTGCTGCTGTTGGATGCAGCTACTTGACATCATACCTCTCCGCCTTGGCAATTGGAGTCCTTCATCACACCACACCATCCGGGCCGTCGTGTACTCGGACTCGACTTGGCATATCGTTCGACTTTGCGGCTTCTGAATGATCGCAATTCACTGACGACTTAATCATGGCCTCGCTGTTCGGCCCGGTCCCTCTGCGGACCAGCGCCTTGAGCAGGTCCATCAGCGCGCCATGCTCCTCCTGCATGACCACGACCCGCGCCCGCTACGTTGCTCAGCGGTACTCTCGAGCTACGCAACCTTCGGCTCGCCTCTACTCGCAGAAGTCGCAGCAACGCCCGCGCTCCAAAATCACATGGTATCAACTGCCTATCGGAGTCGGCATCGGCTTCATGGGTCTGATGCAGTTCTACAAAACGTCGACTCGGGAAGCTGAGAAGCAGAAGGAGCTCGGCGAGATGGAGGGCGGCACCCCCAAGAAGAGGGAGCGCATTAGGCCAGAGGGGCCTTGGCAGGTTCGCGTCATGTCTACGCTTCCGCTGAAGGCCATGTCGAGGCTTTGGGGACGGTTCAACGAGATTGACATTCCCTACTACCTGCGTGTCCCTGGGTTCAAGCTGTACGCCTGGATTTTCGGCGTCAAGTAAGCTCCGACCCGTCCTCGCAGAAGCACTGTCAAAACACTGACTAACATGTTTGCAGCCTTGACGAAGTCTCCGAACCTGACCTGCACACATATCCCAACCTCGCCGCCTTCTTCTACCGCACACTCAAGCCAGGCTCACGCCCGCTGGACCCCCACCCGAACGCCCTGCTCTCTCCTTCCGACGGTCGTATCCTTCAGTTTGGGCAGATTGAGGGTGGCGACATTGAACAGGTCAAGGGCATGACGTACAGCATCGACGCTCTGCTAGGCAAGCGCACGCCGACGCCAAGTATCGCCAGTGACCTCTCGAACGGCGATATCAAAACCCCGCTCCGCCAGATCACCGAAAACGAAGACTTGGTGAAGACGGACGAGGAGTTTGCGCGCGTGAACGGCATCCCTTACACCCTTCCCGATCTTTTCTCCGGCGACAAGGACAAGTCCACCAGGCTCTCCAGACCGCACGACGAATCGATACGCCCCGCCTCTCCCGCCACCGAGCGCGCCGTCCACGCTGATCTCGCCCTCGGCGACAAGCCCTGGTATGCCTACCTGGCGCCGGAGGAGAAGAAGACGGCCCTCTACTACGCCGTCATCTACCTCGCACCCGGTGACTACCATCGCTTCCACTCGCCCGCCAACTGGGTGGTCGAGCGCCGCCGCCACTTCGCGGGCGAGCTCTTCTCCGTGTCCCCGTACCTCCAGCGCACCCTCCCCGGCCTCTTCACCCTCAACGAGCGCGTCGTGCTCCTCGGCCGCTGGCGCTGGGGCTTCTTCTCCTACATCCCCGTCGGCGCCACCAACGTCGGCTCCATCATGATCAACTTTGACCGCGAGCTGCGCACCAACAGCCTGACGACGGACACGGAGGCCGACCGCGCCGCCGAGGCGGCGGCCAAGAACGGCGAGCCCTACCTCGGCTTTTCGGAGGCGACGTACGCCAGCTCGAGCGCCGTGCTCGGCGGCCAGGCACTGCGCAAGGGCGAGGAGATGGGTGGGTTCAAGCTCGGCAGCACCGTCGTGCTCGTCTTCGAGGCGCCGGCGGAGAAGGGCTCCGGCAAGGGCGATGTGCTCAAGGGCGGATGGAGGTGGAATGTCGAGAAGGGACAAACACTGCGCATGGGACAGGCGTTGGGTTATGTGGACGAGGAGGTGTAAGAGTTAACTTGTGGGCCAGCACATGTAGTTCCTAGTGTATACCGACTTTTGCGCATGTTCATCAATCTTTATACCAACAGATGGTTCCGACTGTTCATCCATGTTCAGGCGCATTTGAATGAAGGGTTGTCATGAAAATTTTACTGTATTGTGTTGTGTATCTGAATCCACCGATGTATATCTTGTCTACGTCAAGTGTATATTCTCCAACGTCTTCGTCTTTCTAAAAAAGCAGGCTAAAACTCCTCTGCAGCAAATCCGTCGTCAATGCGTCGTGAGAAACAAAAAAGAGAGGGCCCACGCCCCCACGGTGCAGGAAGGGAGGTGACGCCGTTAGTTGAAGGACTTGAAGGTCTCCTCGAGGGGCTTGAAGTCCTTGGGTCCGGCCTCGCCGGTCTTGCCGCCAAAGACGAGCTGGGCGTTGAGCTTCCAGCTCGCGGGGACGCTCCACTCGGCGGCGACCTTCTCGTCGATGAGGGGGTTGTAGTGCTGGAGGTTGGCGCCGAAGCCCTCGGCCTCGAGGGCGGTCCAGACGGAGAACTGGAGCATGGCGTCGGACTGGTTGGCCCAGATGGGGAACTTGTCGGCGTAGGCGGCGAACTTCTGCTGCATGCCGTTGACGACGTCCTGGTCCTCGAAGAAGAGGACGGTGCCGGCGGCGCCGGAGAAGAGGTCCATCTTGCCCTTGGTGGACTCCCAGGCGTCGGTGGGGACGATGGCCTTGAGGATGTCCGAGGTGATGGACCAGAGCTTGGTGTGGTGGTCGCCGTGGAGGACGACGACGCGGTTGGACTGCGAGTTGAAGGACGAGGGGGTGGCCTTGAGGGCGGTCTGGACAATGGTGTCGACCTCCTTGGCGGAGAGGGGGGTGTCCTTGGTCAGGGGGTAGTGGGAGCGGCGGTTCTCAATGTGAGAGAGGTAGGTGGAGGCAGACAGAGAGGAAGACATCTTGGCGGTGATTGTGGGGGTGAGGTTGGCTTTGGTGGAAGAGTGGACTGTGGTGGACGTTGGTTTGAGGAAAGCGGTGAGCGGTCTGAGGAGTCTGAGTGATCTGCTGAAGCTGGCCATTGCAAAGAGATCTGGTGTTATCGTAGGGCGGGGTGGCTGGCTCTTAAGTAGTCTCGCGCGCCATTGTCGTGGGTGTCCGAATTATTCCCCTCCTCCTCTCCCTCGCTCACCCGTGCGTGGTGGGGCAATTCGTCATGGATGGTTCCATCGAAAAGTCAGGCACAATGGCGCCAGATGAACGCCGTGCCTGTACCTGCGCATGCGTTAGTCAAATGCTTGGTGAGGACCACGACGGAGATGCCGCGCGCGGCGTTGGCAATGGATGAGTGAGGGTTGGATAAGCAGCGCGACCAATGACGTGTGCTAGCGGAGCGGGCTCGGCGTCTTCGTGATGGATCGGTGACGGCTGATTCATACGCCCGGGGGTGGCCGCTTGCCTGGATTGGGGTAGGGTGATTCTGGAATGGGGAGATAGCCGAAAAACTCGGACCCGCCAGTCGCGCCTGCCTTCTGCCCCTCCACCGACTGTATCGCCCCCGCCTCTGTCGATGCCAGGTCCGTCGCCCCGTCCTGGCGCTCGGAAAGGACGCAGAGCGTTCCGTTCCTGCCTCTGCGAATGTCTGACTGGGTAGGAAACAATCGCCAGTTGACTCCCATGGTGCCTGCTACATGAGCAGTCGTCGAATGCCTGTTGTACCTACGACCTTGAAGCACCTACAACATCTTGACACGGTTACTGATGCAACATGCAGCCGTTCAAACGCATCCCACCGCCAAGAAGCAGATCATACTCTGACAGCCTTTCATGGGCCCTGCCATGCGGCGACCCTCCTTGGGGGCCGGCGCTGCAGTCAGCACTCAAATCCACGACCCCTGCTGGGCATATCACTCGAGACGCTCGCTGTCTGTCGGTCAGGCAGTTACGATCGGGGTTTCATCACGCCAGACACGGCCGAATGATCGAGACCAAGTCCGCTCCGTCAAGCCCTATCGCTGTCGGGCCTGTCGTCGAAAGAAGTCCGATCCGACGCAACCTTTGTATTTCCAATCGTGATTTGTAGGGCATGCAGGATCAAAATAGCTGCCCGCTGAGCAAGCACAGCAATGGACCGTTGGCGTGGGTCTTCTCTGCTCCGTACAGTATCTTAGTCAACACCCGCGCGGGTAGCTCCACTTTGCACTTCGATACGTACCGCCCGCGCGACAGCCCAAGCCACCCCACCAACGGCCGTCAGTCGGATCCCGGACGATTACATCCTGCTCAACACCACACCAACAGACTGACATACTCGAGACATTCAGCACGTCAGATGCAAGCCGACTGACCTCGCACAAAGAAATTGACATTTCGGCTCCTACACACTAGCTGCCTATTGCTGCAATGAGCTATCTCCCAGGATCACCCGCCCGCATTGTCGTCCGAACCCTGGGCCAAGGCCTGCCACAGGAACGGCAGCCAGACAGCCAGTATCGCAAAGAGGAACTGCCCCAGGTCGGTGCCCCAACTGGCTACAAACTTACCGTACAGGATCGTCGCAACGGATACGGGCACCACTGCTATGGACAGCAGTTGAAGTATGTACATCTCGCTGACCTTCTCGTTAATTCGAATACCCCAGCCAACGCATGGCTCGCGACCACTGACGCCGCCGCGTCTTACCAGGGGTTCTCTCAGTTTCGTTGGAAACGTCGTCAGCCAAAAGTCGTCAAGGTGCTGTCCCGGTTTCATGAGGTGATTCAGGGGTATGTCATAATACTCGACCTCTATCACCCATGGTTCATAAACATAGCGCAGTTCTTCAATCTCCTTCTGCGGCGGCAATTGTTTTGTCTTGAAGTTCCGAGGCGAGAGTCGCAGCCGGATGGGTACCAGGGTGAACTGTGTGACGCGTCAGCGGCTTGCAGCTGTTTGCGAAGGCTGCGTCTTACCTGCACGAAATCGCCGTTGGAAACCTGGTATAGACACCCCGTCCAAGCCTTTTTTATAAGTTTGAACAACGCTGCCACGCGCGGAATGTCCGGAAGAGAGGCCACAAAGCGGTGCCAGAATTTGCTCAACCACTTTGGTGAAGGTATCGAGACGTGCCACGGGTTGTTCCTTCGAGCCGCTTCATACTCTTCGCGGATACGTCTGAACATTTGCTCGTCGTTCGTCAACATTCCTACACTGATCTGTACCAAGACCATCAGGTCGGATCTGATGCAGAGAAGCAAGTACCGTGCACAGCTCGTTTGAGGCTGCTGTAGCTGCGCAGCAGTTCTGACTGTAGGCTGGCCTGGCGTTTGTGCCTGGAGTGAAGATCCCGCGGCGCCAACGCCACTGTCGACGATTCCTGAATAAGCCCCAAACGCTGAAGGAGTAAATCCACTGAGATGTGCTGGTGGCGGTACTGTAGGATGCTCGCTACTCGATGAACCCGTAGTTACTGCCCGCGATCTGACGTTAGCTGCACTCCTCTCGAGTCTCTGGCGCAGACGGTCAATGCCCCCTGGCACAATCTCGCGCAAATCCATCGAAAGTAGCTCTCCGCAGCCCTGAAAACGTTAGCTTCCTTCAAACCATTGGCCTTGGTTCCACGTACGCATCGAAAATACAATCTTTCATACCCCGCAGCTGGTGGTGAGAAATATGTGACCCAGCGTTGCCAGAGAGAAGGTACGCCCGTTGTTGCGGGCCGTCCGAGAATTCCCACATCCTCTTGTTTTGCGAATCCCTCGGGATCGCCTTTTTCCCAAAGAAGCAGGGAAGATGGACTTTTCCTCAGAGTCGGATCACCGTTATCAAAGGCACCCTCCAGCACCTTGATGCACTCGCTCAACATAACCACCGAGTGTTCCCGTCGTCCATACTTCCGGATTTTGAATGCCAGTCTGATCAGGGCTTCCAGAATTTCAGGGTGTATTTTGCCTTTTTTCCATGCCTCTGCGTCCATTATTTGCTTGACGGCGACTTCAAACTCCGTCCAGCGAGCCTGGTCTCCCAAGGCATATACAGATGCCAGCCGAGCCATACTCCAAATAACATCTGGATCGTCACGCCGCAAAGATGTGCTGCTTCTCTTAATGACATCGATCAGAATATACTCAGCCTCATCCCACCACGCACAGTTGTTCAGGAGGCGTCCGAGTTGCGTCATAGTCGCCAGTGTCCCGTGGTGGCTCTCGTCGAAGACTCGCTCATTGTCTCTGACCAATCTACGGAGCAAAGCATCAGCTTCTTCCCACTGTTGTTGTCCCACAGACGTCATCGCATGTTCCATCCTGATCGATAGCGTATCGGGATGCTCCTCTCCCAGGGTTTCTCGCATTGCTTCGACGATACCCAGACTTATTTTTTGGGCTTTCCACCATTTGCGGTACTTCAAAAATGTGCTGACAAGGGCTGCTCTGCACGTGACGGTCAAAGAATCAGTGGCCCCAAGAGTGTTTTCGGAAAGGCTGATGGCCCGTACAAGCAATCTCTCGACTTGCGGGAGCGTTTCATATGTCGACAAAAGCATTGCAAGGCGGTATAGTTTCTGTGCCGTTTCTGAGCCCAGCTCAATGTAAGTTCTGTACTGCAGCTCGATCATTTCCTCGACCAGGCACGCCGCATCGGACATGCTCGAGCTGAGAGGTTTCCTTTTGCCTACAATAAGGGGTGACATGCTTAGTTCGTTAAGCAGTCTCCCAAACTGTTCAATAGCGTTTTCCAAGATCCATTTCTCACCAGCTGACTGTTCTTTATCGGATGATGTCTCCTTCTGTGAGGGGCTGTGGCCAAGGTTGCGTTCCTTCGCGAGCACCATCTGCTCCGAAACCTTCGATTGCCATTGGTTCTTGCCGTTTTCGCGAAGGAGGCGTACCAGTACGTTTAAGGTTGAAAGAGTTTTATCGTGGGCCAGTTCGAGACGTGACTTCGTGTCCCATTCGAGAGGTGACTCCGGGTCCGATTCGAGAGGTGACTCCGGGTCCGATTCGAGAGATGAGTTACGAATATAAGCCACCTCCTCCATCATTGGAAACATGTTGCCCACCGGCAGCTGGTTTTCTTGAATACAACGACCAGTGTTGTAGATGACGGATTCCCAGTCATCCCGAGCATCCTTCCCTTCAGGGAAAAGACCAAACGCATTTTGCCCATGAGGAACGAGTCTCAGATGACGGAACCCAGGGGTCACAGCTTCAAGGTCCTTTGAATGCGAATCAAAGGCTTTGGCGAGCCGCGCAAGAAATAAAGCTCGGTGTTTCTCCAGTCTCCCTGATGTTTCCAGATACCAGAGCACGAAGGCTTCTATACCAGGAAGAATCTCGAGGCCGCGCTGAAAGACCTCGCAACCGAACTCGACATCGCAGTACGTGTAACTTGTCGTGATCAGATGTAGGCGTCTCAGAATACCGAATTCTTCATCCTTGTCTGTCTCCAATGTCGAAGGAGACGCACCGGACCGCGCCGCAACTAAGCAGAGAGGTATATCTCTGTGGTGAAAACAACACAATAAGGCGAGGAGATCGAACGCCGAAGCTTCAGTTACCTCGAGTACTTGAAGCACGGCAGCCAGGTCTGGGTCCGCGGGTTTTTTCCGGAGCCATATCTTGTGTAGATAATCCATGCGCGTATCCGACAGCTCCCAGAGCGTGCGTTTCCGGCTATCAATGATCTCTCGGATAGCGAGAGGGTTGAAGTTTAGCGCGTGGACGCGCCAGATTGATGAATACCCGCTGTGGCTAAACTTTCCATGGCCCTGTAACATGGTGATGGCGTCCCTCATCCTTGACGATTCTAGGCGCACATAATGAAATCTCGTGAAGGAATGGCGCAAGGTTTCAAATTCCCTTGTTGTCCATGTTGTCCTTGTGGTGAAGACATGGAAAACGTTTTTGCCTTGAGGGAGGTAATCCGCGATCCCCCGCTCATCCATGGCGGCATTCCCTTTACTTCCAAACAGCACTTCTTCGTTGTCCGCTCGGTCCACGATAACACACCACATCTGACTTTCGTCTTCGAACCACTTTTCGAACTGCTCCAAGTTCTCTCTTCTTGTCGCAAGACGCATACGGCGTCCCGATTCCTCGTATGGATCATGTCGGAGGAAGGGCGGCGCACTGCCAAAACTCGCCTTGGCCTTTCTAGCGAGCGCTTGAAATCCTCCCTCAAAGTTCGTCCAGGCATCTGCGTGTATCTCGAGAGTCTTGAGTCCGGGATGGATGGTCTGCAGCCATTTTGCCGCTTCCCTGGCAACAAGGGTTTTGCTACACGCTCATCAGTTCGATTCCCAGATGAGGAGCGACAAGGCGGGTATACCCGACCCCTATTTTTCCATTGATCACGACACTGTGGTCGTGTGTAAAATGTTCCTGAATTCCTTTGAGGGCTCGCTTCTGGCTGCGTAAGAGTTGACGGTGCGGTGGCGCCTTGTCTGGGGGGCCAGGCTGTGTGGCCTTTTCGCTTGAAGCACCTGGAGCTTGTTCTGGGGAGGAATCGTCCTTTCCCATTGTTTTTCTTTTCTTATTGTACGTAGCGTTCCTGACTGACACGAAGATGGAAGGTGGAGAGAGGTCGAGAAGATGAGGGGTTGTCGATACGGCGGTCAGCATCCAGCCTCGTTCAAGAAGCCGACATGTTGTCATGTGACTGCCACGTAAGTGAACAAGCAATTACACCCTGAATTTGATGCACAGATTTCATCAGTGTGTAGTACAGCCGCCAGAGGCTTTGATTGGGTCAGTGTGTGAGCACAACGGCAAATCGCCCTACGCGGCACCACGTCTGGCCTTATGAGCTGTCGGTCCAGCTTTCTCACCGGTGGCGTCACCAGTAAGGCAGCACGACCTGGATCCAATCTCACGCTTGAGCTTTCTGGAAATTCTTGGTAACAGATAATGTGAGGCCGCGGACGTGAATCGTTCACAGGGTTGAGCGGCACATCATTTTGAAGAACTCCATGTTCCCAGTTGTGGACGTTAGCACTATTTCTCCTGGAATGCGTGACGAACCTTCCCCGTAGATCCTGCGCTTTCGGAAATTGTGCAATGTCAAGTCAGGCGAGCCGTCGTGTTCCGAATGCGTGACCTTCAGGTAAAGGGTAACAGTTGGCCTTCGGCTCAGGGCCAGCATATAAGTGATCCCGCCAAGACATTGATTGCATGACCCAACAGCACAGGGCCAAGTGTTTGTAGTGCTCGATTGTTCTGGCTAGCTTCGAAGAGTATCAGACAAATGGCGCGGCATGAGCCATCATTCTGTTATACAAAGAGTAGAATAGCGAAATTTATATTTGAGACTTGCCAGTCTGGGCTCAAATGCGGCTTCGACGTACTGCTTACGCTTGTCGATACATCAGTGCGATGCGGGCGCACTGAGCGTGATGCTGGGGCACTTCATCTCGACGAGTTTGGATTGGGAAGTCTACATCAATTAAATAAGCGAGAGTCAAAGGCTGAACTCGGAATGTTAGGCTATCGTAAGGGTCAGAGCCCTTGGACACCGGCAGCAGACCGGCACGGCCGGGCGCACTATCTTCCTGCTGTCGCCATGTTCTGGGTTGTCATGCTCGACGCGGCCGGGGCACTGGACGGCGGCAACGGCGGAACGTGACGGTACCGGGGCTTGAGGTGCTGTGGGCGTCTACGCTCGCTTCTACGGTCTACGCTCGCTTTAACGGCCTCGGTCTAGGTGGACGGTCGGTGAAATTTCATGGTTGTTGGTTCGATGCCGGCGGGCTGCATAGAGTCTGTACTGGAGTTCACCGTGCTCATCAAAATGGATGACCTGGGGTATTATCAGGTGGTCCTACGGAGCAATTCATCAGCGGGGTGGATTAGGGGCTGAAGGCTATGAAGATGTATACAGAATGACTACGGAGGGCCCTCTAAGCTGCGGAGGGCTACAATTCAGATGTATTCCAACCCCCTACCTATCGTCTATTGCCTGCGGGACACGTATAGGAAACCTTTTCTCTCTACTCCAAATCAAGCACTAACAGGGACGGTGGTTGTGGAGTAATTGGTGTTTGCTGTCCTAGGAGGGCTGATGCGTTGTCGGTGATGCCCCTATCTGGCCGTACTCTGGCGAAGAAGAAGGAGAATAGATGTTAGATAAACACAATCTCAGGTTTGTCCAAGTGTCTGCCAAAAAGTGAATAGACAGAGGACAAGCACTGGAGAGGCTTCCTTGGGTCTTTTGACAGAATCATTCTACCCGCCTCATAGGTGGAGGCTCCATCAAGTCGCTGCTTGTCTTCCGTGCCTATGGACCTTCACGGCAGGCAAGCAAAAGTGCCAAGATTCTCGGCCACACCCTTACGAGCTTCATCCCGTCACCTCTCCAGCAGTTCCGTACATTGGCAGTGCAATCGTCTCCATATGTTACTCAAGGCCGTGACATTTGACCCATCTTCGTATTGACTACAGGATACAGCCACAAATCTAACCCCAAACGCCATCCATGCCAACAAGCATGCAGACTGAGCACCTCAAAATGTCAGCTGCAATCCAAAACATGCCCGACACCCATTTGTCTACCGTAATGCACCGATTGTGCAGTCAAAAAAAAATTGAAGGTCAGGCCCCCGAGGACCGACTCGATTCCCAACGCCGTCTAATCGATCCATGTCGATGATTCATTTGTTCTGTCAGACTTCGTTCACAGGCACCTCAGGCAAGTCCGGGCGGAGATAAGGCCCGGTCGCCAGAAATCCCCGAACCCCGACAACGTCAGTAATTGTGCGGCGCAGCACCCGTAAGCACTTGCTGCCCTCGTCATATATACTCCGATGCAACCGCTGCTTTCACGTCTCACCAAGTCTCGGCGATGTACTGACCGGCCTCCCTCTTGAGGTCCCAGTACTTCCTGGCCTCCTCGCGCTCGAGGTTGCCCTTGGACATGGCAACGTCGACGAGGGCATCCTCGACGCCCTCACCCATGCCCTTGCTGCTACCGCAGACAAAGACGCGACCGTCGACGGCGTTGGCAATGTACCAGACGAGATCGGCCTGGTTACGCACCTCCTCCTGCACATAGCGGCCCTCGCCGGTGCGACTCTGGATGACGCGCTTCACCTCGTCTTCGTGCACACCCCACTCGCCCGAGTAGATTTCGTCGACGAGCGAGTCACGAATGCCCTGCAGAACCCAGACCTTGTTGGCGCAGTTGGCCGTCTTGAGACGACGCTGGACAAAGCCGCGGAACGGAGCAATGCCGACGCCGGCACCGATAAGCAGCATGGGACCATCCGAGACAAACTGCTTGGCAAGGGGGTTGGCCATGAGGCCCTTGAACATGGGGACATAGAACTCGGGGCTGCTCTCGCCGGCCTTCTGGGCGGCGAGGAACTTCTGGGCCTGACGCTCAAAGAAGCCGGAGCCAATGCCGGTGCGGGTGCCGTGGAGCCAGTCAGCGGACTCATGAACCGTGACTGCAATCTCGACGAGACGGTGCACCTTGCCATCACGAGTCTTGTACGAGTCGTGGGGGTCGTTCGACAAGGAGTAGAAGCGCGGCATCAGAGGCTGCAGGACGGAGAGGAGGAGGTCGAGAGGCGGATGAGAGCTTGGGAAAGCGCTCAGCAGCTGGAAGAGGGAGACGTGGGGACCGGTGCGGAAGTCGCAGAAGACGCCCTGGCCTTCGGCGGCGCAGAGGTACATCAGAAGCTTCTTCTCGTTCTCGTCGGCGGCGTATTCTGCAAGGATGCGAAGAAGATTCTTGGTCGGAGGGTAGGACTGAATATCGGAGCACCAGGTGAGCAGGTCGCGTCGGGTGGTCAGGAGCTCTCTGGGCTCGTCCTCGCCCCAGACAGTAGGCCATCGGCCCCTGGACGTCTTCATGAGGACAGGCTTGTCGCGCACGAAGCGAGGCACCATCAGAGCGTCGAAGATCTCGTCGACCATGGCGGGGTCGTTGGGGGCCATGACGCCGATGGCGCCGCCGACCTTGAAGTCGGTGCCATCTTCCTCGGGGTACGAGGAGATGTCGATATCGAAGTGGTAGGTACGCTTCTCGGCACCAGGCTTGGTCAGCTCGCGCGTCGAGTCGATGCGGGCGGCAAAGACGTGGTGAGGAGGGTGGGGCTGGACGTAGTTGGGCGGTTGAATCTTGGTGTTGACGTCCGCGAGAGCAAGGCTCGCGACCTTGTCAGCCGGTGGGGTCGTTGGGCTGGCATCAGCGCCGACAGAAACACCCGAATCGGCAGTCGAGGGGGCAGGCGAAGTACGGCGCGGAGGCTCGAAGAAGACTGTCTGTTCGGGCAGGTCGGTGATCTTGGTGAGGAGGGTCGGGCAGTCGCCAATCCGAAGAGCGAGAGACTTGAAGGCGTGGTTGTCGGGGAGGGGAATGGACTCGTACTCAACGCCGGCCTTCTTGACACCCGCCTTCATACAGCAGCCGCCACCGCAGCACCGCTCGATCAATTGGGCGGTAGACTCGCCGGTGATGCGCTGAATATCAGCCGAGTTCTGCGCAATGAGCCTCGTAGACGCACGGCGACGACGCAGAGGCTCGACCGGCAGCTGCTCCTCCTGGTCCTCCGACTCTTCGGAGAAGGTCAAGGAGGGGGCAATGGAGGGGGTTCGGGGCTCCTCGGGAATGCATCCCGTGGCGGCGGCAATGAGGGCCGAGACCTTTGTTGTCGCGGCCATTGCGGTTCTGTTGGGGAGGAAATACAGAGGGCGACTGGCGTAGGAACGGAATTGAAGAGGTCGACAGAGGTGAGGCCTGTCGAGGGGAGGAGAGGGTCGTGTCGAGTGTGGAGGTTGTCGGGAGAAGGGTCTTGATGTAGGGTGGCGTAAAGTGGGTGGGTTTACATTTACGCGAGTCGTCAGGAAGCCGAGGGCATGACGATGGGGGGGCGTTGAAGTGCCGGTAGGTAGGGGAGGCACGGCGGTGGTATTGGGCTCGGACTGTTGGTAATGGTCTTGGTCGATGACGAGTTTCTTGTCGAGACAAGAAAAGGCGACGGCAGTGTGTGTTGGGTTGGGTTGGAACAGTCGAGGAGGTGAAAGGAAACAGTCTGAAAAAAGTGGCAGACCGAGGGGACAAAAGAGAGGCGACACGGGCACGGTACGGCTATGCTGTTGCCCGTGCTCGTGCCATGGTCGCTACTGCTACTGCTACTGCCACTGTCATCGCTGGGTTCGGATTTGGGGAAGGGAAGGCGAGACTGACTTGGGACCCATGTCCTGGGGACACTTTGCTGGGACAGGAGTGGCCAGGAGCGATGGCGAGGGGTGGCAATAGTGACAGCATGTGGTCATTGCACGCTCAGCACTTGAGCATTGGTGATCATGAGTGGACAAGACCGCTATAATCAGCGATTGATGAGCTAATGATTGTCAGCCGTTCATCAGCCCACCCCTTTTCTTTTACTAAGATCGCCCTCTCCCCCCCCCCCCCAACTTCTCCTCCGGTGCTCGCCGACCGACCCCAATGCATGTCAAGTGCTAGTGAGCCAGCCCCAGCCCAAACGAGCCCAGCCCCAGTAGTGCGTGGCTACCATTCCGAGGCGCTGGAAAGCAAGAGCAGAGAAAAAAAGTTTTGGGCAGACCAGGCAAATAGGCTCGGCTTGTCGACAAGTCGAGGGGCTGTCGCTTGTCCTTCGTCTCTCAGTGTCTATTCTCCCTCTCGGTCCCCTTCACCCACGCCCCCTCATCGTGATCCACCAGAGGGCCCTCTCTCAGGCGTCTCTTTTGCCTTCGATTACACTCGATATTGTGGGGGGGGGGCAGCGGCGAGAGGGACACAGCATCGCTCGTGCATAGGTACATTGCACCATTGCGCGTGCGATTGCGCGCAGCCAGCGATTCGCGGACCCTTTCCTCCACAATTCCCTAATGGCTTGCAGCCCTTCCTTGTTGGTTCCGTGATAGGAGATGCCCAACTCGCGAGTGCATTCCCGGACGGGTTGTCGCGCGGAAAACCACAATGCCTTACCCCCCCATGCCAAAAAGCAAACTGGGCATTATCAGATGGTCGCGCATCAGATAAGCCCAAACCACCCACCCCCCCAAAAAAGGGTTCACCCTGGCTGGACGGGCAAGGCGTTTGCGTCAGGCCACTCAACCTACCTGACCACTCTCAGCCCAGACGTGACCCGACAACAGGCGACGCCAATTTCCGCCCCCCTTGTGTAATTCATATTTTTTTTCTGCTCGATTCGATGCCGATCACCCACCTTTCGTTTGCTTCTCCGTCCCCTCAGGCCTCTCTTCTCCTGCTTCGATGATGAAGGCTCTCCGCTTCCCAACCGAATCGAGATAACGTGCGCACCCAACAAGGCAGGGGTGGAGAGCCAGGCCAGGATGCGGTGGATTCGTGGCCCTCCCCGGCAATGCAGCAGAATGAAATCCTGGCAGGGAGCGCAGCAGGTTTCCCAGGCCTCACAGGGCCTAGCACTGCCCCGCGGTCCAGTCCCGGTACAGTCCCGGCCCCAGTTCGCGCCGCCGAACCGAGCTGGCCCGATGCGCCAAGCCGAGGGCACATGCATCGTTTCGTTGTCATGAATGAGTGCAGAACAAGTCGGGGAGATTGGGGCTGGCCTGGATGGGGTTGGCCTGGGTGGTGTTCAGCTGAATCTTCGTCCCGCATCGAAGCAATACCAGCCATGATGGTGATCACCGCTGCGCCATCAGAGGGTCGTGGGCCACAGACTGCTCTGTCGGTAAGACAAAGAAAGTGGGTGGTGGTACGCCTCCGAAGCCTGAAGGACCACGGCTCCATAGCTCCAGAGCCAGAGCAGCCTACCTCTACCTGTACATGTAGCCTCTCGCCAAGCAAGAACAATTGCAGAGCAGGTGAGACAGCATGCGGGTAGCCACGGCGATCCACCCCATCATTCCAGCCACTCATACCGTGTTGTGCGCCCCCTGCGACTCACAGACGCCCAGAACGCCTGAGGGCCTTCTATTCGGACGCTGCTGCACCGTGTGCCGTGCCATGGGATAATCTTATCAATCTCATCTCATCAAATCAATCACATCTAATCGGTCACAAATAACGACATGTCCTCCGAAACCGGCCAGCCCACCGAGCATGCCTGCCTCAATGCCTGTCTCTATGCCTGTCTCTATGCCTGTCTCTATGCCTGTCTCTATGCCTGACGCCGCCTCCTTTCCTCGTCATCTCCACTCACTCTTCGTTCTCCTCCTGCCGCGGCACACCCCAAGGCGAGCATCCGTCCCACACACCCACCAGCCTTTGATCTGATAACTCTATTGCCCCCCTGTCGCCCCCTGGCCTCGCGCCTCTCGCTATTTTTTTTATCTGATGAAACGGGCGCGGACGGTCGACGACGCATTCCGGTTCGTCGGTTCTCCTCGCCCCGGATCCTAGTCCTTCTTTCATTTCCTTGACCCAACGACGCGTCGCCCCCTCGAGTTCCATGTTTTCTCGTGTTCCTCGTCTACTGGGCCCTTGTCTCGTTTCGGCATGAAGGACGGCGATCAGGAGAGACAGGGAGACACGCAGGCAGAACAATCCCAAGCCACTTGCGTCGATTCGCCGAGCAACTGAAGAAGCGAGGCAGAAACCTTTCGTTCCTTGGGCTCATCTCGGTGCCTACCTTCGATTTCCGAGCCTTGCTCCCTCCGTGTCTTCCTCGCAGCTTGCTTCATTCATCCCAACGGAAATCTAGTCCATCCTCCGAGAGGAGCATCTCAGACTAAAGAAGAATGCCAGCCCGTCCTTTTCCGCTCGGGCTTCTCAGCAAAACATATCGGCCACACTCGGACGCCGAAGCAGGTCGTCAGCGCAAGACGAGGTGTGAGCGGCCCGGGGCCTCGGCTCGCGCTAAGGAGATCCTCTTGCCCTGAATGTGATGAGAGCCGGGTAGTCCGCGCCTGGTCTTCGTCATGTGATGTTCCTGCTTTCCCGGACGTCGGGGATCGTGATGGCCCCATTGACAGGGAGGCGGCTGACTCGGACCACTCTTTCAGGTCCCGGAGGCTCGTCGTTTGTTGGGACAGCTTAGCTGTAGGGGGAAATAAACCCCTGAGCTACATGGGTGCCGGAGTGTGTGTTTTGGGGTGGAGCATGACGCGCGACGATCTAATCGCGCCCTGCTCATAATGAAGGGCGAGCATTGTTCGGGCATTGCTATCGTGGGCTTGAGCTCGTGTTCTTCATCTGCCGGTAGGGAATGAAACCCTCCTTTTGCATCTGGCTCTCATTTCTGTGGGCACTATAACAAGGTCAAGGAAAGTTCGGCCTTGAACAAGCACTGTGCCAGTGCCGTGTACAGTTTTGATCTCACAGGAAGACTACATCCTCGTCGTGCCGATAATGAAACGAACAGACTATGCATGAGCGCATGGGGATTTCAAATCAAAATGACAAACAGTCACTTCCTGTCTGCCGCACAGCGGTCATATTCGCCACAACGGTTCATAGCATTCTGATTTCTGAACCTGGCTAAGCAAGTAATAAGACGAGACTCGTGGCGCATTGTCCTGACAATGGAAGGAAGTCAATGGTGTACCTCGTAGTACGAAGCAGAAAAAGTCAATGCGAGAAAAGACCTGAAAAGAATCGTCTCGACTTCGCAGCCGACGCTTGGGCTGCAACTCCCGGCAACGAGCCACCGAACTTCGGACACTGTGATGAGTCTCCTCTTTGGTAGCTCTGTCCTGAATCCAGCTCTGGGGAGCCTCCTGACATTGCCTGGATGGAAAATGCACTGAAGGCAGAGTAGAAAATTGGCATGAGGTGGGTTCTCCAGGGTCCCTCCGCAACAGCTCCGAGCCTTCTTGGCAATGCCCTCATTGACAACCTTCGTGGAAAGGGGACTCATGAACTCAATGCAAGGGTAGGTGTCAAGATGCCGGCTGTTCGACATATGAAACTGCAATCATCAATTCATCGCCTCAAAGCCTGTTGCTGTCTCGAGAGCCATTCGAGATAGTACAGTGCCTGAATGACAACATTCAAAAGAGGGCATATCAGAATGTTTGCTCGACGCCCCCTCCCAGTTCATTACGATTCCTCCTTGAGTGAGCTTCGCCCCTTCCGGATGACATGTATCAAAGTCCAGCGCGACAGGCTCGTCGCTGCTTCCCCACACAAACATGATATTGAGGGGGCTGAGGTCGTTGTGAGCCAGGCCGAGGTTGTGCAGGTGGCATATGGCCTCTTTCACAGTCTTCATCGTTTTGACCCGCGTGTCGTTCTCGTAAAATGCCGGATCGTGCGCCCGCTGGAACAGCGTCTTCTCGTAGCGCACGAGCTCGAGCCCTGTAATGAGTCCATCGTCGCTCACCACGCAGCCGAGGCACGTTCCCAGCGCAGGATGGGGTTTCTTCCGCAGAATCTCGTAGATTTTGGCTTCGTGGAGAGTCTACAACGCAATGGCACTCTCGCCATCGGGTGAATACGTGCTCAGCTGCGGTGTCTTGATATACAGCCCTGGGTTGCAGGTAAGTCCAGGCTCATCTGCCGGGCATATTTTCTTGGGCAGAATGAGAATGAGTTCGAGGCTCTCGTTGATAGCCTTTTTGTCTATCTTGTCAACCCGCGTCAGCACCGCCGCTTGATAGAACCGGCCAACGCGCTAAGCAATCATGGTCGTTTGGTGAAAGACTGGTTCATTGGATGCGTTCTCCTTGAAGACTTCGTTGACGAAGATAGTGCGAGGTAAATCATTCTGGCCTTTCTCGTTCTTGAAGGAGCTGAAGCTGCCGGCTGGCTTTGAGCCAGAAACTCTTGGCGAAGAGGATTTCGCAAAATAAGGAGGTCAAAGAGATCTTTCGAAGCATACCGTACATTTTCCGAGTGTATCGACATGGCTGGGTGCTTTGGGCGTTGGGCCTGGGAACCGGCGATTGAACCTGGGAACGAGAGCAAGTCTAGTTCCGATTCGTGATACATAAACCGGCCCCCTGCTTCGAGGCCTTTGATCCCATCTTAATCCTCCTCAACAGTCCTCCGGCACAAAAAGTGTGAGAAAGTGAGGCAACTCGACTTGGGCACAGATCTTCACCTGCTCAAATACAGATACTCCCTCCGACGCCTTTCAGGGCCAAAATGGCTGGAGAGAAGCGCCCAGCCTATCTTCATGACGTTTAATTGACGCATCATCCCGGTAATAGAATGGATCTTTTGTACGGGTACCCTGGTGATAGACGCCTTATGGCAGACTCGGCGGTGCCTTTCGAGCGTAGTTCCCCGGTGGATTCTTGTACCTTCGGCGAGATATACAGAGCGAGCGTCGGCGGCGTTAGGGTCCTCGCAAATGTCAAAAAGTCCGACTGTGAAAATTGATCCTAGAGAAACTCAAGTGGGTAACAAGAAAGCACAGAGCGCGATCTAAATTGACTGTGTTCCGCAATGTAACAACACCCAACACATATCGCTGTGATTTTTCATGGTTGTCAATATCGACCGAGTATGAAAGTTGCTAGCGTGAGATGGTACAACAACACTCGATTCCTCAGAACTCCCCTTCATGAGAGAATATGAACGACTGAACTCGGAGCTGAAGTAGTCGGGACCCACTCGAACACGCGTGCCGAGGTCGGCCACTTGTGGGGCTCTTGTCCGGCTAGGTTCCGGGCATCATAGTTCAATTTGCGTCTCGACGCGGGGGTGACGAGGATCAAAATTCAAAGGCCATTCAGTAGATCAAACGCTACAACGCGCAACTTATAGTGATATCGGTTTGTCGAGCCCTCTCATGCAGCCGCGCCTGCAATGGGACGTCCAGTTGGAGTTTCTGAAGCGGGACTTGTGAACACACATGCTCCCAATGGCATATCAACTAACACGTTTTGCCCAACCCAATTTACACAGTCGACCACTTACTCCTCTTCTCCGTCTTCCACTTCATAAATCTCCACTAGCATGGCATCAATAAACTGACGCTGAGTCTCAAGCCAGACCCGAATTTCGTCAACATCGAAAGATCGCTTTGACGCCGCTCGATAGTTCTCGCTTTTGCGTTTGGCGCGGATACGGTCCTCCAGTATCTCCAGGCGATATTCTGTATACTGAGTGTAAAGATCAGACACGTTACTGATACCACGGACTCCTGTCAACACCGATTCGTCCTTTACGAAAGGGGACCTGGCGCGGAAGGATGTGACCATGGTGATGCGCTCAGATCCACCGAATGCCTTGAGGGCCTGGTGCTCAATGTAACGACCTTGAAGGACAATGGCAGTGCCCTGAGAAGTAAGGGTTAGCCACGAATCGAACTTTGAACAGAATTCGTGAGGGCATTCCTACCATGGCAGGTCCACGTAGCTTCATCACTTCGCCACTCTGTGTGCGAATTGCAGTCTCGCCACCAATCATACCCTCGCAATCTGAGAGCATAGTCACGCAGACAAATGGAAAGCTATCATAGTGCCATGCGAAAGCTGGAACCTGTTCCGCAGCCGTCTCGTCCCCAGTTGTCGTGCCGGTTTGATCATCGAAGGAAATATTGACGTTGCCAATGTCAATGTCGAAGACTGGCACAATCTCGATCCCTGCAACTTCAGATATTCCGCTCAGGACCTCCGGCGAGTTCCACGCATCGTAGATGAAAGGTGCGATGCTGTAAGTGCGAGATTAGCCATCGAACCATGCGCTGATGATTGATCTTACGTACGCTGGCCCCATCGCGCGAATCATGTTCTTGCAGAAGGATGAGCTGTATTGGCAATTCTCGAGGCTGTCCTTGCTGAAGATTTCGGCCCGCATCTGGGCAATGGCCTCTCGCGTGAAAAGAGGGAAGGGTTCAGAGATTGCAGTGGCAGAGATCCCTGCGCCCTCTAGGCCAATATCTTTCATGCTGACGATCCTCTCTGGGCGCTGGTACGCCAAATGCTTTGCTGGGTTGAATCTCTCCCGTTTCGGGACTTTTGCCCCGTCAATCATAGCCTGCGGCAATGAAGTTGTTGGTCGAGTTGCCCTTTTTGTCTGTGAGCCCACTACTTCGGGAGGCTGATGAGGATCTCGAGCGGGAAAGTTGCCCTCGGGCATATTCTCCAAGATCATAGGCATAATGGGAAGCTACTGTTCAACTGGCGACTGTTCACCTGGCGTATATGATTGAAAGACCTTAAATGATGCAGAAGTATCTCGACCTATTTTGGCCACCCACGCTGGATTGCCTCAATCGTTATAACCTTTTAGGATCGCATTTTTGAGTCTTGAAGTAGAGTGTCGCCTTTAGTTTTCCGAATCCCGCCCTGCGTAAAAAGCAGTTTGAGGCCCTCGGGATCTCGCACCGACACCTATGGAAACTTCGCCAGACAGCCTTTGTAAGTGTGAGGTGCTCAAATCAATAAGATGAGCATGGCACTGAGAAAACCAACAAAGCCGATGACCAGTGCCGCCGACTCCGAAGTAGTCGCGTTCGGCACTCTCATCAATGTCATAAAATTCGGTTCTCGGGTCGCCATAGCAATTGATCAGCTTCGGCTCGGCATCGGCTTCATCTATGTCGTAGCCCGGAAGGTTTAGCAGCAAGACCTCGGCTACCGATACCGATCCATGTCAAGTGTACTATGGGTATGTTTGGATAGAGAAGGGAGACGAATGCTTGCCGTATGGTCGTGTTCACCCAAGGTATCAAGGATGTACCCAACTTCACGACAACATATGCTCGCAACGCCGTTGATTAACTTTTCTGAAAGTCGGTTGGTCTAGAAAAGGCAACATTTCGAACAAGATTTAGAAGACAATCAAATAAACTCAGGATCATATAGATGTGCTCATACTCAACCAAGACTTCGAGACGTGGATGGTGAGATGAAGTAGTGCTTTGAATGACTACTGGCCCAGAAGTTTGATAATGCCGCGTCTTTGGTCGCGACTAACGTACAAACTCATCCATAAGTACAGCTAACAACCTCAATTATCGGCCATGGCCTGAGCCCGCAATGCCAGTTTCCCTACAAGTGGGCACTGTATTTTGTGACTATACCACCCGTAACAATGGTTTTAGAAACCATGTAGTCATCCATGCCGTATCGACTTCCTTCACGGCCAAACCCAGACTGCTTGACACCCCCAAAGCTTTCGATTATTAGTCCTCTATTTCTTTCGAGGGCTAGGGAAAAACTTACGGTGCTGCGGGGTCCGAAATAACACCCGTGTTCAGAGCTACCATTCCGCATTCCAGCCTCTCTGATACACGTATAGATCGGCTGAGATCAGCGGTCATGAGGTACGAAGCAAGTCCAACTTCCGTTGAGTTCGCCCTCGCGATCACCTCTTCCTCGTTGTTAAACCTGGTCAACGCCGCCAATGGACCAAATGTCTCGTCGTGCATGACGGCCATTGTGTCATCGACATTGCCAAGAATGGTCGGCTCGAAGAACCTAGACCCAAGCTCGGGTAGACGATGCCCTCCGAGAAGAAGCTTTGCGTTTTTTCTCAGAGCGTCCTTTACGTGTTCTTCTACCTTGGCAACGCTTGTCGTAAGTGGCCCGTGAGTGACAGCTTCGATACTGCCGTTCCCGACCTTGAACTTCTTGACCTCCTTGACAAGACGCTCGCTGAAACGTTGGTAGATACCGTCTTGAACGTAGAATCTGTTGGCGCATACGCAGGTCTGACCCGAGACTTTGAATTTGCTGACGATAGCGCTGGACACAGCCGTTTCTAGGTCCGCATCGTCGAAAACAATGAAAGGGGCGTTCCCCCCCAGCTCGAGACTCAACTTCTTGAGCGTACTGCTGGACTGCTTCATGAGAAGCTTGCCGACTCTGGTTGACCCCGTGAAGGAAATCTTTTGGACGGTGGTGCTTTCACACAGGGCGAGGCCAAGCTGCGGGGTGTTGTCAAGCGCGGTGACAATATTGAGGACTCCCTTGGGAATGCCCGCCATCTCCCCCAAGACACCCAGGGCATTGGAAGAGAATGGCGTAAGGCCATCGGATTTGAGTACCACGGTACAACCAGCGGCAAGAGCCGCCGCTATCTTGCGTGCACCCATCGCCATGGGGAAGTTCCAAGGTGTGATAAGACCGCAGACTCCGATGGGCTGTTTCAATATTTGAATTCTTCCCTGAGGATTCATGTGCGGGACGATATCTCCATGACTCCTGGGAGCTTCTTCGGAGAACCACTCAAAGAAGCTGGCTGAGAAAAGAGCTTCACCCTCGGCATCGGCCCTGGCCTTCCCGTTCTCGGCAGTAATGATCCTGCCGATGTCGACCTTGTTTTCGGTGATGAGGTCGCCGAGACGGCGCAGAATGCGCCCTCGGGCACGCCCAGATTGAGCCCTCCATAGCGGGAATGCGGCGGAAGCGGCGTCGATTGCATCGCGTAAGTCGTCGACGGTCGACTCTGGACATGTCCCAATGACTTCGTCCGTGGCAGGATTCTGGACTTTGAATGTTTTGCATGGTTCAGAAAAGATCCAATGTCCGTCGATGAAAGATTTTCCAACGAAAAGACTTGGGTTTTCCAATGTTGTAGCGAAGTCGGCTGCCATTCCGCTCGACGAGTTTTTTCTCTTGATGTGACGAAGTAATTGAATTGTATCAGAACTTTCCATGTCAGATGATGGCTGACTTGCGCTTTGTGATCAAGAATGTCTGTGTTAAGAGTGGTCAATGTGGCGCTATTAGCTATCTGGTCGGCAAGACGCTTGTCGGCTTCACATCCCGAGCCGATCACACGCCTCAGCACACATCTACATTTGTGCAGCCACAGCACCAGTCGCGGATCACGGCTGAAGGCGCTAAATTTCAAAAATGGGTACTCTTGTTAAAGAGGCTTCTCGAACGATCACTCATGTAACCAAGTAGGCGATGTGCATTCACATGATAGCATAGAGGTCGAAAGCCAAGGTACAGAACCCTCTATAACCGGGCAGGTTTTGCTTGTGTAACTACTTAGCTAAGTGACTTCCAAGAAAGCTGAGCACTGTAAGCTTCCTCAATAGCATGCCAGAAGAACGAGTCAAGGATTGCTGAGTGACCCGTTGACTCTTCATCCAAGTTGACTGTCAAATTGAGAAGGTTAATTTATCATCCCTGATTCGCCTAACCCCATTGCTTCCTCTGGCGGACTTTCATGAGCAGCTCGAAAGATACATCAAGCTGGCTGATAATTTCTTGATACTCATATCGATCTAAGAGCCCCTTATGCTCATACAAGACGTCCACGACAATGTCGCGTAGGAGGCGGTCATTGCGTGCCGAGGTGCGGTAAACGTCTTGAATTGCCTCGAAGAAGTCGGGGTGCATCCAGTGTTTCTGAGCTTCGGAGCGGAACTTTGATGCAGCCAGGCCCTTTCAGCTCTATTATCTGGCAGTATTCTGCCAAAGCATAGACATTGCAGTGATCAAGAAGGTTGGTTTCCCCTTGTAGAGCCTGTGCCACACTGAGACTCTCCTCAGTAAAAGGGGCACTAAGGGGCGCCTCGCTTTTAGAATTTAAAGCTGATTTCTGCTTCTTGGAACGGCTTTGATTGTTCCATGAGCTGAATATCGGTTCTTCATCAGGCTCACTGTCTACCTCCAACGCTGAATGTAGCTCAGCACCCTTCAAATGTACCGCCGCAGTGTGGCGCGCTTCGTAATCGAGCTCATATAGAAACTTGATCAATGCGCTGACTGCGAAAGGATTTTGATCGGATAAATCGACTCGAGACGTATCTTTCTCCTGTATGGAGTCAGTTCTGACATGAGCTCAATGCACTGCAAGATTTGAGCCCATTTCCGAGGCATTCAGACGAACCTGCATAGCATGCGAGAACATGGCATCGAAGTATTTCGAGCGCGGACAGACGATAGCTTTGTGGACTTGATACTCAGTATCACCACAGATTATGGTTATGTCACTGTAGTCACCGCTAATGCGGAGCCTGTGAGCGATGCCGCCATCAGTCAATATGAATTCGGTGGCTGTAGTCTTTGTTGAACAATTGTCCGCACCTCTTCATCCCCTCTTTCAGGGCCTGCTCCGGAGTTTGATCCATGCCGAGAGAAATAGCTGGTTCAGCCAGCGCCACGTATAGGATGCTCAAGGTAGGTTTTGAAAAAGCGAGGAACCGTACACTAAACTTCTGGCAGATGCAGATTTATGTCCATAATTGTCCACGGACGATGGGTGGACGGATTTATGTCTTCAGTCTATTGAGCCTGGGCCACCTGGAAAACCAGATCAGGGACACCTTATGCGAAGGTGGTCGGCCTCCGGCATGTGCAGCTACACCGCTACGTAGGTTGTGTGCAGCATACGCAACAGAATATCCGAGACAGAAACCAGCCAATTAAATCTCATATGGAACAAACAGAGACCCCAAACCACGGTTCCTTGGAAAAGATGATCAGACTGCAGATTCAGCTTTGGCAGTACCTTACCCCAGTAACTACTCGATCGCAGCATCAGGTTTCTCTACGGTTTTCTTTGATTATCAAGCGAAATTTGGTCGTGATGTGTCTTGTCTCTTTGCATCACTTGCGCGGGCACAAGGAGCTTGCGAAATGTATCATCATTGGAATGTGAGTCTGCTCCAACTCTTTCTTCATGCTACTACCCATAGATTCGGCATATACCTCACGAGATCCCAAGAAACTATTCATATGAGTCAATTAGAAGAGCCTACAGCTTTGAAATAATACTGCCTTTAAGACCCCACCCACTCCGCAAGGCTTCCAAGACCTGCCGGGCCCCTGTTTCTCCTGAGCATAGTGCCCCCTCCATATATCCCTTCCACTCGTTGGAGTACTCAGTCCCTACGAAATGCAGGTTGCCTACCGGCTTGCCATAGACTGACTGAAACCTGGTGTAGTGACCTAGATGAGTGATGGGAGCAAGCGCCCCTTTGCTGTACTCCTCATGCTTCCATATCTGAACAAAGAACTCGATAGGTCGGAACACTTCCGACTCAGGCCCAACATTGTAAAGAATAGCAAGCTGTTGGAGTATAACCCGCCTGCGCTCGTGGTCATGCAGCTTTGACCACTTCTCTCCCTCTCGCCCGTTGACGAAACAGGTCAAGGCATAGCACTCTTTCTCATCGACGCTGGTGTCTCGGATCACGACCGCAGGGCCAACGAAACTCATGGCGAAACCGTTGAACCCAAGATCTCTCCACCACGGTTTGTCATAGCACACAATCGCCTTGTTGTAATGGCCTAGCTTGGTGGCCTCATACAGATGACGAGCTTGAGGTGGTAGTGGGGGTGAGATGTTCATGTCGCTGTACATGGTGCTTGGCAGGGAGATGATGCATCTGGATCCCGTGAAAACCTTCCCATCCCGCGTTGTGATTTCAACTTTGGACACTTTGTCCTCAATCGCCGCAACAGGACTTGAGAGGAAGATTCTCCCCGCGCCGATAAGGTCTGCGATCCCCTTTGAGATCTCTTGAGTTCCTAACAGCAGGTGTCAGCCCTGGGACAGAAAGTCTTTGCAATGAACACCTACCAGATATAATTCGCATGTGGTTCCCTCCAGTCTGATCATCAGCCCGCACGGCCAGGAGACCTTTGTTACGCCGACAGTAGTCAATAAACCAAGCAGCAGACTGCTCGGATGATTCCACGCCATGCATAACGCGAGACCAAAGGTTGACCATCTGGATCGTCTTTGGACCTGCGCCAAGCTCACGCACATACTGATCGAGGGTGACGTTGTCGTCCTGTGAGTTCGGGGGTTCCTTAATTAGGGACACCCGCTGAATGTGATCCCGGATCCTTTCCAGATTCACCTTCTCATCTTCCGTAAACTTTTTCGCTCATTGGGCGGGGTCAGTCTAGTTCATGACATGTAAAGTGATTGAAATATGTGGTTCTTCCACGCGTATAAGCTCTTACCTCTGGCGTGATCCCAAACGGATACACAACTCTTTCGGATTCAGATGACTGCATGATTGCCTTGCCTTCCAAACGCTGCCTCACAGTTTGAAGTCCGAATTTCTGCACATAGGCCCAGATCCGTGGTTGCAGTCGGTCGTTGATCCATGCAGCTCCGAGATCTGCGACGCCACGTCCCGAAGCCAAAGGCACAGTCCAGGTCTTGCCGCCGACGCGGTCGCGCGCCTCAATAACGGCTACTGAGAGGCCTGCTTGCTGCGCAGAATAGGCAGCTTGAAGGCCGCTGAGGCCGGCACCAACAACGATGAGGTCAAACATGGCGTAGAAAGTCAACCTGATGGGGGATGTGGGAGATAACGAGCTGAGACGCTCGTAGCGTGCTTTCTGCTGGATGTTTAGTCTCCAGAATCGTGATTCAAGTGATAACGAATCACGCAAGCATGCAAGAATCTCGAGCGCTACTATAAGGTAGAACTTCGATTGCTTTGCATTTCGTTGCTGCTGGACCTGAACCCAATTGCTGCGGTATCACAACGGCTTGAGAACCCGATCCTTGTCAAGGGTTGCTGCAAAATCGCGGGGATGCAACGAATCGCAGAGAAGTTGGGTGCTACAGTGAAGCCTTCATTGTCTCCATCCGGCGTCTCGGGATGGTGCCGCACTGACGACGGGATGGGATGCCGACGCTTACATCGGTTTGTGCGGGGAACCTCAAGATGCATGCACACCCTATGCTACCTGCGGAGCCTTCACATTATCGCGTCCATCAGCTTGAACTCGTGATCACATTTTCGACGGAATAGAATGCTCAAAATGAACGCAACTCTTAGCGTGAGCGACTACTACGAATGCTGCCTAGATGTGGTCACGGGCTGTAGGCCTTTGGAGGGAAAATCCAACTATTCTTCCATTCTGTACATTCGATGTGATTTGCAGTCCATCTCCAGGGCCCAAATCTGACAGGTCGGTGGTGTCCTCAGTCTGTGCCGATGCCCAAACAGCTCGCGCGTACTTCTGCCAATTCCCGAGCACATGACCGGCCTTTGCTCGACCTCCGCCGTGCGCTTCTGTTTAAGACCCCCTGGAGATTGAGGGGAAGGCGGCGACAGCGCTCGAGTGCCCCGAACAGCTGCACCTCTCGCTGGCCCGTAGACTGGATCAGCTGCTGGGGACGATGCCTCATGGACCCAATGACTCGTCCGAGGCCAGTTTCCATGACAAATTCCAATGTTGTTCGCGGGACAGAGGCTTTGGGCAGGTCTAGGCTTCGGTTTGCCACTTCATCATGTCCCTTGATGTCAAATATGGCCAGCGTCAAGACTAGAGCGGTAGACACGGGACGTTGAGTCAATACATCATGGCGCCAGAGGCTCCCCGAAGACAACAGCCCAAAACAAGGAGAACCGCAAATGCGTACGAGGTCCCCATCTCGGACAGAGTAGACTCTTGTCGTTACTGAGGATGGATTTGTAGATGCGTCGCATGTCGGCAAAGCAAAATCAAGTGCTCGGGGGATGTGCCATGCAACAACTGCATACGGCGCTTCACTCGTTGCCACTTTGCGGAGGCTGGCAACAAGGTTGTGGTTTCCGAAAGGTAAGACGAGTCCTCTTTTCTCGCAGATGCGCTTTCGCCTGAGATGAGCGATACCCTGACGGCATGGACAGGCTCCTGCAAGAGTTGAGACAGCAAGCCAGAGGACATCGAGGTAGCCCGAGTCCTGGCCATCACGAAGCTGGCGAACGGGCCCAGCCTCGAGGCAGTGTACAAAGAGCTAGGCAATTGGACGAACCCACAAACTGGAAGGAAAGGCAACGTAACGCGCCAAGGGGGCACCAAGAGGGTCATCAATTGGATCGAGGTTGGGAGCGGCAACGAAAGTCACTGACCAGCGAAAGTTGCAGCTCGCACAGCCATACCAGTCGCCAGGATCTTTCTCCAAGAATCCCGTCTCGCGTATCATTCAGTCCATCTGGAAGCCCCCTTGCGCATCCGCCACAGTTCACCCCATTCCATGCTCAGCGTCAGGTTTTTCCTGCGCTTGCCGCCGAAGGGGGCCCAAGACGTCGTCGCCGTATCGCAGAAGCCTGTCAGCTAGTCTTCGATGTTGACGATGACGACCTTGACTTCACCGAAACTCCGGCTCTCGTCCGAGGGAGGACGCACCCGGAGCGACACCTGCAGGAAACCCCGAAACCTGAACAGGAACAAGAAGTGCCCCCTTCACCACGGCCCTTGGTCTCTGTGCTAGACTCTGCAGGCCTGACATCCCAACGATTCAGTTTGCCTTCCAAGATCATCAAGAACAAGCATCCCAACGGGCAAGGCTGGAGTGAGTAGCCTTGAGGATACCTTCCACTTGGAATCTGACTAACCTTGGATAGTCTGGCTGGCACCGTGGTCCACTTGGTCCTTCACAGTCCGGCTGCGGTTTCTAATGAAGGAAAAGCTGTATCCGGACTCGGAAGAAGGCAGTGTTGATGTCTACGATGGAAAGATTTATCCCTTGCATTGGAAGCCGGCATCTAGCGACGCGCCAGACATGACCGGCTTGCCGTCCATGGACTACGCCATCTATCTCTTCAACGCCGTCAAGTTCCATCTCGGCAGAGCCTATCGGTTCTTTGAGGATGCGAGCTTTCTCAGTCGTATGAATGAGTTTTACGACGGCGAGGCACGAACCGTGGCAACGCAGCATCAGTTTTGGTTTGTCCAGTATCTCCTGATGCTGGCTTTTGGAAAGGCGTTCGTCTCGCGCTCGAGAGCGAGCAAAGATCCCCTGGGCGCCTGCTACTTCACTCGCGCCATGTCCCTGATGCCTGACCCTGCTGTGTTCCGGAGAGATAGCATCCTGGCGATTGAGCTGACGGCATTGGCGGGGCTGTACTTTTACGCCATTGACCATCGCGAGTCTGCACACGTCTATGTAAGTCTACCGTGAGGAGTCTTTGTCTGCTTTCGTCTCATCCAACTGAAACGCGGCAGCTGGGCCACGCCATTCGGATCGCGCAGCTTGAAGGCTTGCACACCCCGCTGCCTGAGAAGGAGCTGGGCGCGCAGATGGTCAAGCGCTGCCGGAATCTCTGGTGGACGCTGTACATCATGGACAGGCAGTTCTCCACGTCGCTGGGGCTGCCCATGTCCATCCAGGACGGCGGCATCACGACGCACCTGAGTGTCCCCGGCGAGAACTCGCAAGAGGACACGGCCGTGGTCCTCCAGGTCAAGCTCTCACAGCTTCTGTCGCACATTCTGTCTTGTACGTGGGTATGATGCCCCGGTGAAACTATTTGAAATCTGATGACGAGACAGCGATTTACCAAACCGACCAGACGCAGCTTGGGCCTTTTCTCGAGATGACTGGGTCCATACTACGAACCTTGGCGGGACATGCGCAAGACATTGAGGAAGTCATTGCCCAGAAGTTTAAGAATTCAGTCGATACCATGCCAAAAGGCATATGGCACATCTCTCTTCTTTACCATCAGGTCAGATCACGCCGTCCTCTGGTGTGTTCTTTTCTTTTCAGATCAGATCCATGAAAGCTGATGCTTGAGCAGTGCGTCATGGTCGCCACGCGTCCGTTGCTGCTGTTCGTGCTCCAAGACCGACTCAACAGCCCAGAACACGGCGACAAGGACTGGGAGCCATTTTTGAGCACGACGACATCGTTGATCTCGACCGGGATCAAGTCTGCCGTCAAGACGCTCCAAATTCTCACAGACGAGGAATATCTACTCGGTGCGCCCACACCCCCTGCCTGCCTGTTAACCCTAAGTCTGCTGCTTGTCCTTGTCGAGTCTAACCCGGGAGTCGCAGAGGTCTTTCTCGTCTTCGACCTCGAGTTCGTCTACAGCGCAGCGATCCACCTGACCATGGCCGACGCCCTCTTCCCAAGCGTGGCCGAGGACGCCCGCGGGCACAGCCAGGCGGCGCACTCAATCATGGACGACATGATGGCCAAAGGCAACAAGGTCGCGGCGACGCGCAAGGAGGACCTCACGCAGCTCGAGGATCTCTGCCGCGAGCTCGCCGCGCGCACGGATGCACGCGGCCTGCAGATGCTGACGCTGACGCTGCCGGGTCTCGATGACTCGATCGCAGGGTCCCTCTCGTCGGCAGGGTCCACGCTCGAGGCCGTGGCTGGCGTGGAGGAGGACGTGGGCCTGCAGAGGGGACTTGGCGATAGTGCCATGGCGGAGGAGACGCCGATGCTGTGGGCGTCGCTGCCGGCGGCGACGACGAATCTGGAGTTTATGGACACTATTGGGATATCGTCGGAGGAGGTGTTTTCGATTCTGGATGAGATTGGCAACATGGATGATCAGGGAGTTGTGTACCACTGGCCCGATGCGGGGTGATGTAGCATGTTGTGTTCGTGGGATGAAAGGAGAGCATCAGTTATGAGACCAAGGTAAGGCACCTCAGTATCGTGCCAAGGTACCACCTACCTTAGGCACCTTAGGAACGTAGGTATCCAACACTGCTGTCGATCGAACGCCTGCCTCTGTGAGAAAGATGCAGACCACTGTTGCTGCCTCTTTGAGAAAGAAAGACCACTGTTGCTGCCTCTTTGAGAAAGAAAGACCACTGTTGCTTCCTCTTTGAGGAGAGAAGACAACTGCTGCTTCCTCTTTGAGAAGAGAAGAAAATTGTTACTGCCTATTGAAGAAAGACAGACCACCGTTGCTGCCTCTGTGAAAGACAGACACCATTGCTGCTTCCCGTAAGAGAGACGTAGACGGTGAGCGCGTTATCGGCCCCGTCAGGGTCCAGATAAGCGAGACGGCAGGCCGGCGGCGGGCAGGCTTGCAGGGCCCCGCCAATCACGCACTTGACGGACGACCCCATCCTCCGCCTTGCCAAAATACCAAAATTCCCACCTCCACCAAAGAATCGTCGCCGATGGCCGCCACAGCCATGAGCCATCATCACTCGTCTGCATCTCGCCATATTTGTCCAGGGGCCGGCTCGCCCTCCCCTCCGCCATCGCCCATGTCCCATGTCCGCCATGCGATAGCATTGCTGCGAACCCCGTCTTTCCTTGTCGAAGCTCGTTCCGTTGCCCCGCGCCAAGTGCTAGGAAGCACCTAACCCTGTCGAGGTTATTGCAACCCCACCATCATCATCACCACCACCACCACACAGGCGCAGAACAAAACAGGATTCAGTATGGCCGCGGCCGAAGACGGGTCCTGGGACCAGACTGGCCACGAGATGTTTGAGGACCCGGAGGAAAAGAAGGTTGTCTGCTGTGCCCTCGACTCCTACCTGTACGTTGCTTGCCGCCCAACAACGCTTTGGGCACGTCTTCACATGATGCTTCCTCCCCGTGCCGTGACTCACCGCACCTCGTCGTGAGAGCGACCTGCCAGCCCACGACGGGCATGGGTGGTTACACAACAACCACAGCATCTTGACTGCTGACCCTAAGCTCATTGACACCCCTCTTCAGCATCCCTCTTCAGCATCTCTCTCCCCTGCACATGCGCACAGCAACCAGGCTCTCGCTGACCAGACATCAGCCAATATGCCAAGGTGGCACATTTCAACGTCACCCACCTGCGCCGCCAGAGCTTCTACGCCCTGCCCCAGGCCCAATGGCAGATGCTCGCGGCACCCCCCTTCAACTTTCTGGAGACTCTCGACCGCACCGACGAAGCCATCGACGCCAACGCACAACTGGCCCGTGCCATAGCCCACCACGGCATCAAGTCCTTTGGTCTTGCCAATCCTGACCCTGCTGCCTCGGCCTCAGCCGACGAGCCGGCCCTCGCCCGCGAGTGGGTGGGCATTGCCAAGCACAGCGACATTGACAAGGCTCGCAGCACCCTGCGCCAGTTCTTCCGCGACTGGACCGCCGCTGGCGCCTCCGAGCGCCAGGCTTCCTATAGCCCCGTCTTCGCCGCCGTCGAGAGCCAGCGCGCGCGCCTCAGCAGCAGCAGCAGTGGCAACGACAGCGGCCCAAATCTCAGCGTCCTCGTCCCCGGCGCCGGTCTCGGCCGACTCGTCTTCGAACTCTGCCGCGCCGGCTGTGACGTCGAGGGGAACGAGATCTCCTACCACCAGCTCCTCGCCTCGGACTTCATCCTCAACCATACCAAGACCGCCGGCCAGTTCACCATCTTCCCCTGGGTCCACACCTTCTCGAACCACCGCACGCGCGAGAACCACCTCCGCAGCTACGCCGTGCCCGACCTGCACCCAGGCACCGCCCTCGCCTCGGTGTCGTCGCCGTCGTCGTCGTCCCCCGCCGCCCAGCCAGGCACCATGTCCATGTGCGCCGCCGATTTCCTCTGCCTCTACGGCGACGAGGCGCGGCGCGCAACCTACGACGTCGTCGCCACCGTCTTCTTCCTCGACACGGCGCCTAACCTCGTGCGCTACCTCGAGACCATCCTCAGCTGCCTCAAGCCCGGCGGCATCCTCGTCAACGTCGGGCCCCTGCTGTGGCACTTTGAGAACAACGCGCCCGGCAACCACGGCCGCGACGACGACGGTGACGGCGAGCACGACTACAACAACTCGTCCGGCATCGCCGACCCGGGCTCCTTCGAGCTCGCCGACGACGAGGTCATGGCCCTCGTCGAGCGCGTCGGCTTCGTCGTCGAGGCCCGCGAGACGGACCGCCCGGCGCCCTACATCCAGGACGACGAGTCGATGATGCAGACGCTGTACCGCGCGAGCACGTGGGTCGCGAGAAAGCCTCTTGCCGGGTGATCGAATCTAGTGGACGGGACATGATAAATGGTTATGCATAGTAGACGCAAAGCAGCAGCAAGATGTTTAGAGTGTCGAGATGTTTCGCCTGACGGCCCCCGTCGCCACACAAATCGTAATACAAGAGAAACGTTATTTTATTTCATCAGTGACACTGCCTCGATCTTTATTCATCCCAGGTCATCCAAGTGTATACAACTTGACTGCCTCACTCGTCCATCCACGCCATCCTCGTCTACAGCTTCACGTTCAGCTCGCCCCGCGCCCACAGCGCGCCACCGTCAATGGCAATCGTCTCGCCGTTGACGTGCGACCCGGCGCGGCTCGCCAGGTAGACGACGGCGCCGGCAATGTCCTCGGGCCGTCCGAGGCGGCCCATGGGGTTGCCCTTGCCGACGACCTCGGGCCCGCCCGCCATGTCGAGCAGGCCGTTGGACATTTTGCTGGGGAAGAAGCCGGGCGCGATCGAGTTGACCGTGATGCCGCGGCCGCCGAGCTCGAGCGCGAGGTTGCGGCCGAGGTGGATGACGGCGGCCTTGCTGGCGCTGTAGCCGTAGGTGCCGGCCTCGCCGAGGGAGCCGACGCCGAGGCCGGCGACCGACGCCGTGATGATGACGCGGCTGGGGTCGTCGCGCGACGCGCGCACCTGCAGCAGCGGCGCGAAGTCGCGGATCGTCGCGAAGACGGCCTTGACGTTGAGGTCCATGACCTTGGCGAAGGCGCCGTCGGGGTGGCTGTCAAAGGCCTCGCCCCACGTCGCGCCGGCGTTGGCGAGCAGCAGGTCGACGTGCGGCGTGTGCTTCTTGACCGTCGCCAGCAGCGAGGCGACGCCCTCGGGGGTGGCAATGTCGGCGGGCGCCGAGATGGCGACGGCGCCGGGCGCGAGGTTCGGGAGCGCGTTGAGCTCTTTGCAGGCCGAGTCGCAGGCTGCCGCTTTGCGGGACGAGATGAAGACCTTGGAGGCGCCGGCTTGCAGGATGCTGGAGGGTTCGCGTGGCACAGGTCAGCGTGTGATGGGACCGAGTTGCCGGCTGGCATGACGAAGGGAGGGAAGGCAGGAAACACGATGCTTACGCGGAGGCTGCGTGCAGGCCGAGGCCGCGGGAGCCACCCGTGATGACGGCGACCTTGCCCTTGAGGGAGAAGAGGGAGGGGTAGTCGTGGAGATCCGTCTCGGAAACCATGATTGCGGTCGCGACGTGTTCGAGGATCGAATGGGTCAAGGTCGGCAGCGGGCGGGGAGCTCGAGGATGGAGGATTGGGGGAGAGATTGGAAAGGATGGATGCAAGAAAGAGGATGAGCCAGTCGACAGAATGCAGGCTCTCTCAATCGTTTTGTCGTCGGGTATCGGCTTAGTCGAGAAGGTTGCTTACCAGATCAACGGGGCTCAGACGCTGGATCTGGAGAAAGTGTCCTGCATTGCTAAACAGAAGCCACGCAGAATCCAGGCCTCTCCACACCGATTGGGCCATTGGAACATGACGTTTGCGGGGGGGAGATACCGAGGCTCGGCTCACAACTGCTGAGAAGAAGCGAACATGGACTTGGTCCGGGGAAGCTAACCCTTGTCGTCCCCCATCTCCGAGCCAAGTCTGAGCGGGGGTTCACCTTTGCCACACCGAAATACGGCGTGGGGTTTCACCGACGCGGCCCATCGACATCTCCTCGTCCTCATCGGTTGTGAAGCTTGTCTGAGGGGAACCGACATTGTCCTTATTTCCATTCGGTGCTAGGTGCCTTGAACAGGGCCGCCTTGTTCGGGCGTCGCGCCACGCTAGGCAACCAGGGACCCACCAAATCCCAAAACATTGGAAACTGCACATTCGCTGCAGGAACAGCCTGCGCCTCAGATTCGGCGACGCGTCGTGGCGTCGCTTCTCAGTCTTCGCTTTCTGATTTTCTTCTTCTACCAGTCAATCTTGGCTTCCAAGCTGCCGTAGGTCGTCGTGGCGAGAAGCACTCGAGTCATGTGGTCTCAGAGGCCTCACCACGAAGCTATGTAGCCGTCCAGAGGCCATTATGAAACGGCGTCGTCGCGGCCCTGACTCCTTCAAGGACATGGGGCAGTTTAAGTGAAGGAACAAGAGGCACGTGTGCTGAGAAGCGAAAGGAACAGTTGACAATGGCATTCTGCGTGTACATATCGGTCGGTTCAGTCCTCGGGTACCCTGGAAACAACTATCTCATAACACTTCCCTAACGTGCTTCTCTCATGTCATGACGCAGTAGCTAGCCCTTCAACCATGCTGGCTGTTGCCCGTGCTCTCCGCCCAACGTATAGAACCTCATATCGTAAATCATAATCGCAATCGGCAAGGGAGCACACAGCTTGGGAAGAACCCGCATGCTGCGCGCACACGTACTGCCTCCATAAACGGTGACGCTGTTGCGACGGCTTGGTGTGGTGAAGGGAAACCTCCTCACAAAACGTATTAATATCGCGGCATTGAACCGGAGACGCTGACTCGGGCGCCTCGGTCTCCGCAGGTCAGGGGTGCACGCAACAACCTTTAATGTTGCGCTGCCGGCCCATCGTCGTTGCCCTGCCTGTGGTGATCCTTGTTATCCCAGCAGTCATTGATGGCAGTATAGACAACTGGATAGTCAGCTCCGATTCGTCCAATGAACATCACTTTGACGTTGTGTTCAACGGTCATCATCTTGGAGTAATTAGCGCGAGAAGACTTCGAGAGCTTCTCCCCCCGTGTCGTGACCTCCATTTTTGCTGGAGGCGCACCAAGCGGCGGCTCGCCTTCAAGCATCAGGGGTTTGGTTGACGTGTAGATAATTCCGTGGTGCCGGGGCTTGACACCTCTTTTCCTACAGCCTTGACCTCCGTATGTAAGGATGGGCCTGTTTCCGGGATCAGCAACAAGCGACACATGCTCCACGTAGAACGAGCAACGTACACACAAGTACTGTGACCCTCATCTGTCGCTATCACAATGAATCTTCGAAAACCGACATGTACCAGCCCGCCATATCGATCTCTGAGCGCGTCTCTATCAGAAAGTGTAGCGGCGCCTGGCATGACTCCCATAGGTTCTGGCCATAGCACTTTGAACACCTGCTTACATGTTAACGATCTTCCACGTGTTGATGACTGCGTTGTTGTGCCCTACCTCGCCAACTTGAAAGTATTTAGACTTGTGAACCTTATAGCCTGAACAAGACGTCAGTTTCGTTTCTGAACAAAGGTTCGAGTAGCCTACGTTTGTCCAGGACTTCTCTGTCGCCGACCTGACCATCGCCTGAAATGTGATCCTGTTGGGCGGCCTGGTGATCGAGTGAAATGACGGATGCTGGCCTGGTCAGCATAGTCGCGTTTGAGTAGTTTCATGAGCGCCGGCAAAGTACGCACCATACGCTCCACTGCTGGAGGGGGCCCCTTCTTGAGCATAGAGCGTTGATAGCTCGGGGTTTTGTTCCAGCAGTTGCGCTATTTCGGGGTCGTTGGATATGTCAAGCGCACCATATACAGACGTTGGGTTGACTTCAGGGCCGGGGTTTGGTTCATAGGCGCCGGCGCCCTCCGGCTCAGGGACCTGTTCCTGCTCCAAAACGGCTTCGTAGGAAACGTGCTTGTTCTTCCCCTTTTGCCGATGACGACGGGAACGATCAGACTCGTGCGTTGCATTGGTGAATTGATATTCCGTCTCTGCGACCAGTAGTAACGCGTTAGATTGGAAGCTCTCCTGACGGTGATAGGTCAATCAACCAACGTTGGGTAGAGGCTTCGCCAAGGCCATCATCAGCTTCGGAGTCGTCTCCGGCATTGGTGGACAAGGTACTCAAACCCTGCACTAGGTCGTCCATATCCTGTCGAGGAGTTGCAGAGTCTTCCGCGGCAGCACCACCCAAGGCCTGGCCATCTTGGTCTTCATACAACCACTCGCCTGGGCATGTGTAAGCGCTGAATTTGCCTGAGGGAGGGGAGAATATATCATGGTTTCATACCATTTGATCGCTGTCGTCCATGGTAGTAGGTACCATGCTCTTCGGACCAAATCCATTCGCTCCACTCAGACCGTGGCCTGTGTTTGTCGGATCTATGTTTGCGCATGGCGAGAAGTGCTGCATGAAGTTGCGAGTGAGTTGTCGTACGTCAGAGCAAGTTTGCACAAGACCAGCACCACAGCTGGCTGGGGCATTTGTCGTGTCCCGACGATCGGGGAGGGTGAAAGCAAAAGGACGCAAAATTCGAGGCTGACGCAAGTCGATGTGGAGGAAGAAAGGTGCCGAACGAGGTTCTGGTCATGTGGCCGCAGCCCGACGAAACAAGGCAGCGAACGACAAGATAGATAAGGCGAGGGACATCGGGCCTTGGGCCTTGAGCTTTGAGCATACAACCTCTTCCTTTGAGTTGATGGCGGTGGGCTCGGGTTCGTTGGAGCATGCGCTGTAGCATAACCCGTGACGGTTCGAGGGAGATTTGACTGGCAGACTGCACCGATATGCACGCGCTGTCGGTCTAATTCGAGGGGGGTGGGGACGGCATGCCATGCGACGTGGGCAGGCTGCACAGTGATGACCTGGACGACGGAGGCTCGATTTGACCCGACTGGATTGGGACGCAACAGGGTGCGAAAGCGGGCAGACGGGTTGTGCTGGCAGAATGACTCCATGCGGACCTATGCACCAGTACGTGGCTCATAGACAAAATGCTGGACGTGGTTCGATCTGGGTGACCGAATGAACCGGCCAGACCATGATGCGATGGGTCATGGACGGAAGGAGAGGCGCGGCTCATCGAAGCATGGTGCTGTTCAGACGCAATTCGAGCCCAAACTTCATGGGCAGACAGACACGCATGCGATGCACATGGCTTCAGCTGCGGTGTCCCTTGTCCGTCGGCGTATGGGCTGTTTGAAAGTTGACATGTGTCGGTGCCCAAATTCGTTGTGACGGCCTGCCTTGATGGTGGTGGCCTGGTTGGCCAAATGTTCTCGGGGTGGGTTGCGAGGCGGACGTATCTGTACATGGATTATGCGGAACAGTGAGATGGGGAAGGTGGGATGAGGGGTAAGGTGTGAAACACACACTACACATTTGAGAGTGGTAGCAACACGTAAAGAGGAACAAGCAGTGGCGGGGCAGGCTGTCACATCGTACTTCCTACCTCACCTTACCTTAGATACCTCCCCAAGGTACTTGCCTTCCGGCCGGTATGCGTGTGTCCCTTCCAGTTGGATGGAGCGCAGAAACGGCAGGTGCGCCACCCGTGGGTTGTGAATGCACTTTCCCTTCCTCTCCCGAATTCCTGGCGCCATCTCATCATCCATCGTATTACCACAAAGCTACCGTACAGCTACCTAGTAGGTAGACAAGGTAGATAGCTAGCTGCCTTCTCGGGAAGTGGGCCCTCGGGTCTTGCCCCCTGTAGTCCCCCACCTTGGGCGTATAGTAGTTGGCATGCGGCCAGCGCAATTCTAGCGCTCGGGGCTTCCCTAGCTTGGGGGGGCTCAACCTAGCTCCCGTCGCTGCTTCCTGGCGACGGCAGAGAGAAACGTGGGGCTTTGCTCGAAAAGCCGTCACAGTCCGATTAGTTGCCGTCCACATGATGATAACGTGGGTATCATGCTTGACCGACTGTCATGCATACTCGTTGAGCTGTTGTTTTGTCCGCCAGATTGGGGGCACTTTGGAGACGAAAGACGAGGCAGAGCCTCCTGTCCTGTAATTTCCTCACCCGCTCTTCTTGGCATCCAAGCTGTAATCATCCGAGAGCCCAGTCCGTACCTCCAGCTCAAATGCCACACACCAGCCGGCCACATACTTCTCAATACCACCGGCGTGGTCTGTCTCTCACCGAGTGAGACGGACGCCTCGCTCGCGGGCTCCGTCCTTTCCCATTTGTCTCTCCTGCACATGCTCTGCGTAGGGATGAATCTCTCGAATGACTCACTATACAACTGCCGTACCAGCATGCCAGCTCTGTGCAACGCGTACACAACATAAGCTTGTCATTATCGCATTTGCACCATCGCTAGATGGCAACCACGTGCCGAACAACCTATTGCTTTCCTAGCCCCCCGTTCCTCGACCAACGCGTCCAGACGCCCATCCTCACCTCCGCCTTTCCACGACAGTCGCGACTCGTCAACACAACGACTTGGCCAGCGGATGGCTCGTCGCGATCTTCCAACGAGGCTCCCTTGCCCACATCGACAACAAAACTACGGGACACCGACGGTATGCTTCCAGGGGCTTTGGCGATTTCCCATCGTCCACCCACGGCGTCGCCGTTGTCGCCGCCCTTGCCGCTGCCTCCAGCACCACCACCTCGACCGAACCAACAGATAAGCATTAATGTACCCAACTCAAAGCCAAATCTTCCAAGGGTTTCCCTTTCTCGACCCTTGCTGCTTACCTCGCAACCCCGAAACGAGCCACTTCTCGATAGGAGACGCCTTGGGCTGCCAGCTGAGCAGCTGGCACCCCAGTCCTGGCGGCTCGACCAGCACAATGAGCTGCACGAACTTGGCGCGCGTCGTTCTTCTTTGACCACGACGCTGACGCCTTCCTTGCCCTTACAGGCAGAGTATTCCGAAAAACACGACAATCTCACCGATGCCGACTCGACAGAACGCGAAAGCGACCACGACCATGCCTTCCCACCACTGCCACCAACCGCAGGAACGCCCGCCGCCATCATGCGGAAAAGGAAAGAAATCACAGCAAAAATACGCAATCACATGGCACGCTTTACACAAAACGATCCAACATCAAGTCCTCACACAGCTGAATCCGAGGCGAATTATGAGCACTACTCCGATGTTGAGATACAAGGATTGTGGATGCTTTTGAAACAGAAGCGACAGCAAGCCGAGCGATCGCGAGTGTCAATGGCTGGCAACAGGAAACAATTGAGAGACCTTCGTCGACGCAAAGACGAGGCCGATAATGCGTTCATGGGCCTTGCCCGGAGACTGATTGCCAGCAGTCAGCGGACCGAACTTGATGCCTTGTCTACGCCACTTCAGATTCGCTTCCAGGAAATGCAGCTTCTCCGGACGGATTATCACACCAAGGAAACCGAGTACGAGGGTCTCGAGGTGGACTTAGATCAGCTGGAGGAAGATAGCAATCGGCTCGAGATTCGCTTTTTCAGAACGCTTGCTATGGCCGACATCACAACTGACAACACAAAGGGACATCATTTGCAAGCAAAAGCTGAAGCCCAAGACTCAGTGGGTATGCGTTCCATGTTGATGGGCATTCTGCCGGATCGCCCTTCGGTCGAGGTCCACCCACTCTGGACCGATCTATCGGATGCCATTGCCGAGATGAACATTGCCCAAGAAGAAGTGGAGGATATCCTTCTGGCTCAGCAAGAGCTCACGTACGATTTGGGTCTGAAGGAGCGCACCAATCGTACGGTCAGTGCCAGAGAACTCGAACTCCTGCGCAGCTTTCGAGCGGACGAACAAGCAGAGCTGGCACGTCTAGCAGAGGCGACCACCCGAGTTCGCGAGCTTTACAATCGTTGCGTGGCGGAAGCAGCACCTTATGAAGATCCACCTTACCATATAGCATTTGCACTTGGTCTACAAACGGACGACGAAATCATTCTAGATGATTCTACATCCGACACGGAGGAGACCTTCTTCTACCGTCGTTATCCCGCGCTACTATCTCAGCCTCACCATCTCCTCGGGCGCGAGCCTTTGACCGTATTGTCCAACTTGAAGCAGGTTGCCAAGTCGCCCATGAATACTGTTGACAGGGGAGATCAGATGCGTGCTGCATTCAAGGAGTACGAAATATCTCATTTACTCCGTGATACTAAGGCGATGAACAAGACCGACTATATCAATCGCTGGCTCCTTCAATATCTCCGCATCTCGCCGCTGCAGGTGGAGATTCTAGCCGCTGCCTTTACGGAAAGCACACACCTCCAGATTGTAGACAAACAGCGCTGGGAGCTGGATGTTCTATTCCAGTGGTGGAGAGACGAGGCAGCTATCCGATCCGTGGAACACATTTCGCAGCGTGCGTTGACCGCAACGGTTTCCAGCTCAGCGCATGGCCCAAAGGACGGGTTCTTATTCCTTGGGTCGTCTCATTCCTCTCAAATCAGAGGCATGGCGAGCGAACCGCCAAACAACACCTTTGCAAAGCACGATATTTGGGAGTCTCGATCCCGTTTGTCTGGTCATTTCGGTTCTGAGGCAGCTTCCGACGTTTTGCATCTTGGATCTTGGAGTGAAGAGTACCCCAACAAGGCGTCTGCCATAATGTCTGATTTCGGGCCAACTTTGGAAACATCAAGTTCAACCGGAGGATAACATTTGGGGGATAAGGAGGCGGTTTGTCTCTCGAGGAAAGAACTGTTGGTTTGTGAGCATGTATTTAGTATCTTTTTCCTGTCGTGGGAATGTAGAAAATTTAGCTAGAGAGCGGGCGATGCGAGAAGCCGGCGAGCTTCGATGGGCAGCTTAGCGTACACAAAGATACCCTGTCTGTTTGTGCTGAAATTTCGATCACCATCCTCGCGAATGGGCACATCTTCGTCCTTATATCTCAATCATGGATGGCTGTTAGTCATCCCTCGCATATCCAGTCCTACGCATGACTGTCCGCCAGCGTCCCCCACGATGACATCCTGCGTCAGGAGCGACAGCTCACTTCTTAGTTGTGACAGGTGACTCGTCGCGATTTGAAGACTTGCAAGCGACATCTCCCATGGCAATGTACCTGTACATGAACCTCATCGCGCACACCCGCGCACACCATTCCGCCCCGCCCATCTACCTACCAGCTTCTCCAGGCTAATGCAAGGCCACGCGCATTGCGCTGTTCTCGTCGACAAATGGCCGCACACCAGCGGCATGTGACGCTGCTTACAGCGTCCCCTCGCCTGCAGCAACCCGCTGCCGCTGCGCGACGCCGCCGAGGCCCCTGTTCCCCTCCTCGCACCCGCGACAGCAGCCGTGTCGGAATCGGAGACGCTGCCCTGTGCAGAAGGCGAGGCTTTGGAACTTCGGGAGAGAAAGGGAGGGGGCGCGCAATGTATCCCAGGCAAGTCGTGGTCGTTTCTTTTTGGAAATTCCAAAACTCGCTCTGTCGGTCGTACCACTTTTCTGCCTGCTCCCTCTCTACACACCTGCCGGTCTGGCGAATCGCTGCTTTCATCGCCCGTTGTTGGCTCAGCTTGAGACGGCTTTGGGGGAGGAGATTCAATCCTGGGCAGCGGCGGGGCCAATTGGTGCTCTCATTACTTTACCCCCTATCTACCATTGGGCCTTGCTCTTTTTCTTCTTACCGCTTCACTTCCTATGTGGCTTGCTCTGCTCGTGTGGATCACAGTCGTCTTCCCAAGACACAATGTCGTTGGCCGGGCTAATGGGGTTTGGATTGGCTTGACGTCCTCTGAGACGGGATGTCCCGGGGTGACTTGCCCCCCAGGATCAGGCCGCGGCGCAGCAGCATGGCAGCACAGCCCTACGGGACCCAGGGCGATGGGTCAGTTTCTAGACGATGGATTCGGTGCATGGGTGAAGGAGAGGGAGGGGGGGGGGGGGGGCGGGGGCGAGAAAGGATTAGGCCGAAAAGAAGGTTGGGCGTGATCGCGTGTGAGTTTTGACGATCTTGAAGATGCAGGCAGGCTGCGGAAAGGGGCCCGGCCGGGCCCGTTGGGTCAAGTCCGGGCAGGGATGTGGTTAGGACATGTTAGGGCTTGTCCGGCAGCGGCTCTCCAGCTCTCCCGGCAAGTCGCGGCAGCGCAAGCAGAAGACGTGGGCAAAGTGGAATTCCATGATAAACTGTTGAGACTGCTAATGCCCAAAGACACGTGTACAAAATAACCCCTACGTCGTCAGCTGGGAATGAGTGTGTCCCGATGTCCATGCTGTAGACTGATTCCGGCATCGTGCTTGCAGCCATAGCCTTGTACTAAAAGAAACCAAAAGTTCGCGAGCGCACGAGTCCCATAAACCCGTTGCCAAGGCTGTACCGCCAAACCTCCCACCAGTAACGCCCCCTTTCTTCCCAGCGAGCCAGACATTTTAAGTGACTCTGCAGATGATTCTAGCCGAAAGCAGCACCCACCCAACCTGAGCTTTCCCCCCAAAACCAGAGCAAAAATAAAGAAATCTGGAAAATGTCAGCACCGCATGTAGCATTGTTTGGGAGAAGAGCGGATTCTGTCCAGCAGGCATGCCCTAGACATTATGTAGCCATGATGCCGTTGCTGCTGCTGATCCCCGACGTACCCTGTCATGTTCCAAGTCAAACTCGTCTCCCGTATGTGTTGTTGACTTGCACCGTATACCTGCGCTGCCTAGCAGTCGCAGATGGTCCAGGCGGACCACTTAAGAGTCCGATAACGTATGTATATAGGTCAAAACCACGCATTAGTTGACGTGGGACCGCTTCTTCCCCTTACTCTCAGACGAGCCGCGGCTGGCCGTGGAGGGCTTGTCTTTCTTCTGGGGTTTGACGCTGCCAACGGCAGGCAAGGCAGGAAAGTCTTCATCGTTCAAGATAAGACTTGTGATGGACGCCTTGGCTAGGCTGGCGGTATGTTCATCGTCCGTGGCCTGCGCAACCCAGGAGAAGGTGGGCGCAGACGGAGAGGAGCGCGCTGACGGGAGTAGGATTTCCGGGACGGTACTTGCGCGCACCGTCTTTGGTTGACGGTCTTCGTCCATATCTGAAGTGCAGTCCGCAGACGATGAGTTGTAGAGACAGCAGGCCGTGCTATCGGTAATCTGTGCGGCAGAGGTACCGTCAGAGCCGAGAGGAGGCGAGCGCTGAATGGGGGATGGGGGCTTATTGTGGATTAGTGAGACGAGGCGAGGCTCGGTCTCATCGGATTCTTCAACCTTGGGTATTTCCTCGTCGGCATGACAAGACGAAGGCGCTGAAATACAATGTCTCGTGCGAAGAGATTGAGGATCGAGTCTGGAAGAAAAGTCGGCAGAACTGGAGCGAACCAAAGGGCGCGGTCGGGTGCCATCATCCACGAATGGTCGATTGGGCGTTAGATATACAACAGAAGAATGGTTGTCGGGAGCTTCGCCTTGAGACATGTTGTCCTCGGCCACTGACTCTGGATCTGGAGGTAGAGATGTGTGTTCCGCGATGGTAGACCAAGTTGGATGATTTTCAAGATCGAAGGAGGCAGAGCGATCTTCGCATTCCGACACGTCAGACACATTTTCAATGTCACCCGAGGCAGTCTTGTCTTCATCATCCGCGAAGTACTGGCCTGGCAGTCTGACCCTGGGACGAGGCTTGAGAGGAGTAGTTCGACTCTGATGTGAGCCGGGCTGATGATCCATATTGCTCTGGTGATCGGATGAAGGAAGCTCGTTGCCAATGACGTTTTCGCCATACCATGGTGCCGGTGCAGCAGCGTGACGTTCCCGCCGACGAGATCGAGTCTGACATGGAAGCCCCCGAACGTTGACCACCTGCTGGTTACTATCATGATGAGGGATAAACGGCATCACCGGAGGGCCGAACCATTCAGGCGGAGGCCCCACGGGTGACATGAGGTTGTAGAAGGGGGGGCCAGAGGCGAACGGCGGCGGGGGCAAGTAGTGGTTGCCGGCAATGCTATTATCCCAGTACTGAGGAGAGGAGGCCAAGGGCTGGGACCCTGCGGTGTAGTTGGGCCTGTAGCGGTGCACGATCTCCATGCCCCGGGGGTTCGGTGTGCCATCGGGGTAGCACAGGCTTATCCAGGCGTCGCCCTCGAGGATGCCGCTGGGGAGCCACATGTGTAGGCCGCAACTGAGGTCTGTGGTATGGCGTCCTTGGGCGTCAAGCTTGCGGCAGGGGAGCCTATGCGTCAAGGTCTGGCCATAGCTGTATGGGACGTTCTGGCCGCCTGGGTCCTGGCCGAAAGCGACGTGGAGGAACTTGCAGTGTTGGTAGGCATGGCAGCGACCATTCTGGTAGTGATCACAATAGGGTCTCTTGTTATGGCGATTTTCCCCATGCTTCTGGTTGCAAGGACCTAGGTAGATCGGCTCATGTAAGTCGACGTGAGTGTTACCGGGTGATCCATTGGTGATCATGGGCGGAGGAGCCATGTCTGGATACGGCAAAGCACCCGGGCCGTTTGCTGCTTTGTCCTCCATCCTGCGGAAAGCGTTATGGTTGGAAATGAGACGGGAGTAAGACAACAGCAGACAGGCTGTTAATGATCGAGCTGGTCAAGGATGGAGGGAGCGCAATCAGGACAGCCATTTTTGTGTGACGGAGCGAGAGGAAATATACTGTTACAATCACATTTCTCCGACAACCATATTCTCATCCCCGGATTGTGAAGTCAAATGGGCGAGGAAGAAAAGTATGGCCAGTGGAAGATTTGAAGCCATGTTGTAAGTTGATCAATCGCGCGAATCAGAGTCTGGTGTGGATAATGCACCAGGATGGCAGCAAAGCGTAGGCTGTCTCTCTTAAGGTAGAGAAGGAAGGATCCAGCGGAGATAGGCCCAAGGATCCAAACCTAGATGCTTTCCTGAGGTTGCCCATTTGCGAGATGGTTCTCGCCATGGAGGGCGAGTGGTTGTTCTTTTCAAACTCACCACGACGAGCCCGAACAACAAAACGCGTGCGTTGGGCTCGAGTTTGTATGGCTTGCCCCTGAAACTGACAGGCTGGGTTGTCATTACAATTACATAGTGAAATAAGATAGGTTGAATGTCCACGGAAGACGTTGCCATTGTTTGTTGCCTGAATTACAATGTTAAGCCTGCCGCGGTGGATGGCTCTGCCTGCTATTCGTCCGAGTGAGAGGCCAAGGCGGAATTGAAGTGCAAAAACAGAAGGTCATGCGTGAAGTGGTCGGATTGCAATACAAAGCCACCCAAGACTGAACAGCCCTGAGCATCGAGATTGGGAAGTGGTGGCGGTTGGTGGTTGTCGTCGAAACCTCGATGACTTGAAAGTTTAGGTAAGCAAACTCAATGTGCAGGGTGTTAGGGCGGCCGGGGCCAGCTGGGTTGGACATGTAGTGATATGCGGGTACAAGTTCATGAGGCGACGGGCACAGTGAGAATAGGACCCTTCCAGCACAACCGAGTGCCGTGGACTTGGGCCGGCATGCTGAAGCAATGCACAGAGACAGATTTTCGCAGGGGCGGGGGCGATTCGAGACGGGAACAGACTGCAGATAGTCAGGAATGTAGACAGACGGGAGGCCATATGAAACCATTTGACCAAGCGCGCGTCAGGTCTTGAAGGTCTTGAAACGAGTCTTCGCTAAGCGCCGACCGAGCAGAATAGCTGATGGGCGGAGCAGTTGTTGTGGAATGCTGGGAGCGAAATGCGGGAAATGAGGGCATCGTGAGATGAGGTGGCCGTTTCGTCCATCATGGTGATGTATTTTCAGCATGCTGTGGTTTGTCGCAAAAACGGGGGGCGTGTGATATGATCAGGAAGATGTGCCGATGAGCATTGCATGACTTCAGCTGGCAGGTTCCACCCAGTGCCATTGCCCACCACTGCATTGCCCACTACTGGCGGCGCAGCAGCAGCAGCAGAAGCAGCAATCCAAGAAGAAAGGTACCTTAGGTAGGAATAAGGGTAGGCAAGCACGGTGCCTGGAGGTGGGTGCCTACGTCCTGGAGTCAGGACCCAGGACAGGTGAGGTGAGGTACTTCCACAGTCTTTGGACTTGTTTGAGTTCCGATGGAAATGAGCTCTGGCTGCTAGCAAGAAAGGCACGTGCCTAGGTACCTGCCCTCGTGCTCTCGATTGGCAGGAGTACCCCGGCGAGGCCCTGGCACCTGAGGATGCGGCAGAGTGGGGACCGCTGGGTACTGTGTACATGGTCAGTAGCCAAGAGAGAAGGCAGGCAGATAGGCAGTGTTGGAGGTGCATTCCGTCTGTCTATCACTCAGGTACTGCTTCCGCTCTCTCCCCTCTCCTGTTTGGACCCAATGCATCCATCCCATCTTCCTACTTCCCTCTCACAACACCCGATAGGTGGTGCCTTTGATTCTTCTTTCCTTCCTTGCTGCGACTATAGTCGTCTGGTTGTCCAATATTCTTCTCCCTCCAGTGATACCCTGATTTTGCCTTCCCTTGGCCTCCTCCGTTGACGTCGACCCTGCGGTGCGGCCTTTCCTGATTGAGACCCCTTGGACAGCCCGATCTAGCCCCTCAGGCCACTATCGATACCGATATCAGCACAGAGTCAAGGGCGAATCCACGCAAGACGCAAGTGTCCCCCCGTTCCGTCCCCATCCGCCCGCAGCAGCCTAGCCCACCCAAGGCCCCAGCAGATCAGATCAGCAAAGCAGCAACAGCACCACCAGCCCAGCCAGCAGCAGCAGCAGCAGCAGCAGCAGCAGCAGCAGTGCTTCGGTCGGGCAAGCCGTGGAACCACAGCAACCAAGCGACACCACCCGCCGCCGACGCCGACTCGAACCCAGTCCACCCGTCACCTCACATCAGCACCAGCGCTCTGGTATCACACGAAACCTTTCCGCCATCGAGCCCTTCGTCATCTTTCTTTTCCTTTGTTCCATCATCGCACAGCACGGCGCCCAACACCGATTTTCCACACTTGAGCATCCTTAGCCGACGACCCCCAGCGAATGCTGCGTTTGCGGCGGTGACGCCAGTCGTCCCCTCGATCCCGACCATCCGGCCAGGGAATCGACGTCGCCACCCTCCTTCGACGACGCCAGTCACCTTCGACGACGCCAGCCTTCTTCAGATTCGACCACGATCCCACATACGAACCTTCTACACATCTATCAACGACATGTCGGCAACAAATCCCTCCTCCGCCCTTAACGGCGTCGTCATCGGCCTCCTGTCCTCTTTTGGCTCCGCCTTCCTTATCGCCGTCATCTTCCTCATCGTCTACTTCTTCCGCTACACAAGTAGCGGTCGCATCTTCCTTGACCGCATCGGCCGCCCCGGCGAATACGATGACGAGCAAGCATTCGCCCGCGAGGAGGCAGAGGCCCTCGAGTCCATGGAGGAACTTCAGCGCACAGAATACTTGAGAGCCAAGGGTACGTTTGTGGCGCCTTTCGTCCCGACACATGGGGCGTTCATCGTCGAGAAAGAGCCTCAACTGACGAATCAATCTCTTAGCTTTCGTGACTGCTAATCCGCCCGAGTCCCTCCAAACCGATATCTCGCTCTCCCAGTACCTTGCCATTCAAGAAAAAGGTGTCTCCGCCTGGGAATTCGAGCCCGAGCTCGAAATTGCCAACTGCTTCGTCGAGGGCCGCACCGAGATTGAGTTCTTCGACTCCGAATGCACTGTGCTCAGTAACCTGCCTGTGCCCAAACAGAACGAGGTCTACTACTGGGAGGCAAAGATCTACGACAAGCCTGAAAACACATTGCTCAGCATCGGCATGGCCACGAAGCCTTACCCGCTATTCAGGCTGCCAGGTATGTCCTGGCGTTTAGTTTGTATGTTTCGCGACCCTTGGCTGACGCATTTAGGCTTCCACAAATACTCTGCTGCATACACTTCGACTGGCCAGCGTCGCTACAACCAACCGTTCAACGGTACACAGTACGGCCCCCAATACGTGCAAGGCGATGTCATTGGTGTTGGCTATCGCCCTCGCACGGGCACAATCTTCTTCACTCGCAACGGAAAGAAGCTGGAGGATGTCGTCCATGGTCTCAAGTCCCAGAACTTTTTCCCTGCCGTCGGAGCCAATGGTCCCTGCGCCGTCCACGTTAACTTTGGCCAAGCCGGCTTCGTCTTCATCGAAGCCAACGTCAAGAAGTGGGGTCTCGCACCGATGACTGGCAGCCTGGCACCTCCGCCGCCATATGGATCTGAGCAGGGCGACATTCTCTTGGAGGCGGGACGGAAGGACGGATACTCGGCCAGCGTTCCTCAACACTCGCAGTCATACTCACAATCTGTGCAATCTACATCTCGCGGCGGTGGTAGTCAGGTGCTCAACCCCCAGACCGGACACAGTCGCACACGAAGCGGCAACTTTAGAGTCCTCCCTCCAAGGAGTCCAGGCCCCATTCGAAGCCCGACTGATATATCTCTGGCGCACTTCGTTCCCGCCGACGAGAGCGGTGAGCCCAGCGGCAGCGGGCACGGAGACCGTGACGATGACGAGGAGAGCGACATCGGCTTGGGAATGCAGGACGCATTGAACCCGCCCCCAGATTACACAAGCCCTGACCATTCGGACCAGGGCAGCCGCAGGAACAGCTCGGACAGTGAAGAAAACACGCCCCTTATTCGTGTGGTCAACCGGAGTCGCAGCAGCACAGCCACGCTGCTGACCGGGCCCTCGCATCCGCCAATCCCCAGCTACAGCGACGCCGTTCGGGACGGTGCCACGAGAGAGAGCAGCAGTAGCAACAGACCTGGGCTGAACCGACACGTCTCCCGGTCCAGGTCACACAGTGCTCAATAAGATGAACGGGCTGCTTCATATGTGATAGCTGCGGGTGTTGGAAGACTTAGCCGTTTCACGGGCCAAACGCCCTAGGCTGGCGCACCATCAAATCTGGCGAACTCGGCGTTGCGGTGCTTGTGATTTTCCTTTCTGTTTTTTCTTTGTCTTTTTTTTGGACTAGATGATGACGTCTCAACTGGCAGATGGGATGGCGACGCTGTATGGCTGGGCTGCTAGCGTCAACACGATACCTTGTTTCGATGGGTGGAACCGACGCGTCTATTTTATTCGAAGCTCACAAGTGGTTAAAGGGTTACAGCCATACGGGCTGTAGGCTCACAGGGCGAGGGGAAGAGGCTTGGAAAGCATGCAAGTATCGGTAGCATTGTGCGCTGAATATACCTCGATTGCATCAGTGGCTGTCACAGGGTATTGTCAGGGTATTGTGCTTCCGTGTTTTGCCATGACGCCCGCTAGTATGGACTATGTTGCGCATCGTCCTTAGGTACCAACGACACGCGGTCCTGCAGAGGCTTCACCTGACAATAGCATTCACGACCCCAAACCCCTGGACGTTGTTCGGGAAGCTCCATCATCCTTCCCAACCACAGATTTGGTAATTACGGCTCTCTCCTCGACGATCCCTGGTTTTTTTGGAAGCACGCAGCGTACTTGACTTTAAAAGAAACCTATTTTAGCGGAAAGGCATTATCGAAACTTATCCATTTCTTTTTTTTTTTTACCCCTCGTTATCCGCCCATGGCTCGGGGTTGTCCCTGCGGCTGAGACGCCAAATTTGCGGCTTGACACGACCAGCCGCCAATGCCCTGCGACCAAAGGATCCCTAGGGGGGACCACAGCAGTCAGGCCTTTTCTTTCCCCCTGGCGCGACGCCAGTTTCTGCCCGGCCGATGCTGTTCCGGGCACGGCTGGCGATGGCTCGCGGGGGATGGTTGGCTGGGAGTACGAAAGGGCGGTAAGTCAGAGGTCGGGCGGAGAGCAAGTGCCTGGAACGCCTTGCTCTTCTTTCAGCCACTATCATGGTACGTGCTGCATGGCCTGAAGGGGTGCGAGAAAGTAGGGTTCTTTCGTGGTCGTCGGGATTGATGACGGGTCCGGGCTCGCTCTCAGTCTCCGAGCGGGCCCCCGGACGCGGACGGGCCGCCGTGTTTTGCCCAGTTGTTCCTGAGCTGGGGGCTGAAGCTGCGTTGTGAGGGCGTTGTTGTATCGGATGCATTATGGCTCTGGCGTTTTGACCCGGTACCGCTTCAATGAGATGGGGGCAATATCGTTATATCGCTGGCTTTTAAGTTCTTCGGCCAACCCGGGAACAGGGAAGAGCCCTTGCTTGATATCAATTTCCCGGCCCCTGCTCAAGTTGACAGGCCTAAGAAGCGTCTTGCATACTGATGATCTTGCTCTGTCTTGCAACGGAAAGCGTCGAGCAAGACCTGGGTCTGAGAAGCTTCATTTAAATACAGGGCTCAGAAACACACCCATCCCGACGTCGAGGCTCAGGTTTAAGCACAACATACAGGTAGTTCGACGGCTTCTCCCGTCTTGCCTGAGAGTTGCGGGAGCTAGGCCGGTCATATCATGGAAGCTTGGCAGTGCGAAGCTCTTTCGACAGGATATCCTGGGCGCCCGGATGGTACGAACAGCGGTCACGGTGCCTGATCCTCAGCGACATTGTGCTCGGGGCCGCCTCGGCGGGAGACACAACAGGTCCGAGTCTATTTCTCGCCATGACGAGTGGAGAAGGATGTATAAGTAGGTGTAAATCTATCATCTTCTCACGAGTAAGTACGCCTTCACGAACAAATTCTAAATTCTACAGTGTGCCCCATGGTCCCTAGGCATGACAGATGTACGTGACTTGATTTTCCAGATCTGAACGCAAAGACCTGGGACCAAGAGACAATTTCTCAACGCCTTGGGCCAATTACCCGTCGCTGCTCATCCGAACGCTCGTCAGGGTGCCGACACAAGCTTCGGGTAACGTTCACGCCACCGATCAACAATGAACATCCCACCAGGAACCGCAATGACTTTACCGCCATCCGACAGCACCGCAGCCGAGGCATGTGTTCGATGAGCCGGATCGATGCGCAACTTTATCTGTGGCGACAACGCCAGGCCTTGCTTCCGTGCGACAGATCCAGCATGTCGAATCACGAAGCTGAAGAACCGATACCGGCCGGCTTCAACTTTTTTTTTTTTTTTCAACTACGCGTCTGGGGCATACTTTACCCTGATGTTGCCTTTTAGCTGGATGGTGATCCATCTGGCGTCCTTCGTCTTGCGCAAACCCTGTGATCAGTCCCGACGGAGTCTTTCTGTCCCCAGCAAAAGGTTCAGATGCATCTCAAACTTTTTGCATGAGTTTAGCGTTTTTAGATCCCATCTTAACGTCGATAATGCGACATCAGACATGAGATTCGAACAGGCTCTCCCCTATTTCAGGAAACACTCTCGAAGTTTCCCATCCATGTACCATGTAGTTTTCTGGCCCACCACTGCTCATAGGTAGAAATGAGCCGTCGGCTCTGGCAGCGCCGGATGATCCCTACACTTCTGCGGTATCAGCGGCGAAAGAGCATGCCAGGTCAACCATGATCTGAAGCACAGGGGCCGTTTTTAACCGTCGTCCGAATCATGAATCGCCAGCATGCGCGCGCCCTGGCAGCTTACCACCAAGGGGGGAGGGGGGACTCGTCCGGTCGTCCAGCGGGAGTGCGAGAGGCAGAACACCCTTCTAGAAATGCCCAGATCCTTGAAGCCCATGCGTCACTGTAGTATGAGAGGGTCTGCTCCCGGTGGGGAGAGGGTCGTGTAACATCAGCCTTGCGCAGGACAAGCCCAGGGCCCCGTTGGGACTGCTCCTCGTGGAAAAAAGCTATCAAGGGTATACACATCAGCCCACCGAAGCATCTAGCAGAGAGAATGACTGGCTCCCGGTGTCACCGTTGAGATTGGCATTGTAGCCCTCTAGCGTTCGAACACGTCACGCCGGGGTCGCAATACATCTCGAGCAGCCCGGCATACAAGCCTGCTGTCGGCTCGACTACCTCACCCAGCCCCGGGGGAGAGTGGCGGTCATCTTTATGCTATAGTGCAAAGCCCCTTAAGGGTTACGTGTACGCTGCGATGAGCCTGACACTGAGGACGAGAATGGCACGCAGCCCGAAGAAAGATAAAGTTTCTTGTAGAGGTACCGCCACAGCAGCGCCCCGAAAAACTCTCTCTGGCAGTCCATATCGGTCGAGGGGCATAACACATTACTCGCAACACCACAGCCCAAACACCGACCCCCTGCGAACTGTTTCGCCCCTCCTTGACAGCTTCCGTCTCCCCAAAAGCGGTTCCTCCCCCGCCGGAGGAGGGGGGGGGGGGGGGGGGGCGAATAGGGGCGGTATCCGGTCAGGACACACCAACCCCACCGGGGCGCTGCTCAAACCATATGCGCTAGGGAAGGGCGCGAAGTACGGTTGCAACGTGCAATACCCGCATAGCACAACATCCACAGCCTTCAAGGGCGAAGCCGCAATATAGGGGGGGAAATGGGGAGGACCAGGATCGGCCGCAAACGCAAAACACTATTCGTTCTCGCCAGAGGCACAACAGAATCAGTCCTACACATGACAGAGTGAGTCGCACCAACTACGTCCACGCCCCCGCTCCCTCCGCTCTTGCCCCTCCACCTGTCTGTGATCTATCCATCCACCTGTACCAGAGAGCCAACAGACGAGCCCTATAACGGCTCTGGAACCAATGGAGACTCAAAGCCAGATCGAGAGGCTATACTAAGAGGAAGGTCACCAAGGCTGGGAGAGAGATCAAGTATTGGGTGGGAGGCACACAGCCTCCAAGATCCATGAATTAATCCATCATGCTTTTGCGAAGGGAGCATCGCTTCCTTCGCACCAGAGCATGTTCATTCATCCATCCACTCACTACCTAGTCCATGTTTCCTTCGACAGTCTCGTCATCCTTCGACCTTCTCGCTTTCAACAAACCAAAGACTGAAACGCTAGGTGCTTTGCAAAATCCAGAAAGATCAAACAAGACCTTAAAACAGATCGCGTGCTCAACAGCATCAAGCCGCCAAAAAAAAGACCAATTCCAAAAACGAAAAAACGAGGGAGAAAAAAACATAAACCAAAAGCATGTAACAAAACGCCGCCCAATGCAATGTGTGTCCCGCGCCAAAGCGCCCCCAATGGGGACCGATGGATCCGACACGAATAGCAAGCCGCTATGCATCCGATTGACCCGAGATTTCCCAGCCAGCCAATGTTCTTTCTTTTTTCCCGTTTCCTCCCATCTTTCTTCTTTCATAAGGAGTGTAATATCTATTTCGTACCGCCGGCAGATGATGCCGGGTCGTGAGGTCGTGATAAGGAATGTGTCTGTGCAACCAATCTGTGCATACTTGAGGGGGTATCGCGTATCTGATCCGATGACCGTAAGGAATGTCTAGTGTTGGGTATCATTATAGTAAGGAGTGTCGTGAGATGGTATCCGTATTAGTGTAGCGGTCGTTGGTCAATGGTGATGACGTGTTAAGGAATGTCGTGGGAGCAGGCGAGACTCGCTCGGCCGGCTTCCCGGGGTATCATTGAAGGAGTGTGGGTTACATTGGCGCTGGGTTGATATCGAATCAACAGTTGTTGTAAGAATGTGGTGCAAACTTGATGAGGAGTTGGATGAGTGGTGCGTGTGTGTGTGTGTGTGTGGTAGCAGAGACAGCCACAGAACGTCCGAAACTACAGCTCGCGCTCCTTGCCCTTCTCACTCCTGTGCAGGTATGCCGGCGGAGGGGACGGGCCAGGACCAAGCTGACGTGGGGGGAAGGGCGCGCTGATGGCACTGGGAGACTCTCCCTGCACGGAAGAGGAGGGCGGGGTCGGCCGGCGGTGGCGAGGCATCGAGGCGAGCAGGGGGATCGGCGACTCTGGAAGAGGCAGCATGCCCAGTTGCTCGGGCTGCAGGAAGGGGGAGGGAACTGTCGAGTGCGCCGTCGACGAGAGCAGGTAAGGGTCCTCAGGCGGAGGATAGCTGGGTGTCGTTGTCATCCTGGCCGTCGGTCAATCCCCGTGCTCGAAAGCTCAAAACGTTTTCGCCGGTGTGGTGTAGGTGCCATGGGTGGACGCTCCTAGTTCCACACGGACTGGATGGGAGAGACGAACCCGCTCAAGTTGCTGCCGGAGCCGAACATGTGGTGGCCGGAAGACATGCCGCCCATGTCGTACGAGCCGTACTCTTCAGTGTCGCTGTAGGCGATGGACCCCTCAAAGGTGGACGAGGCCGGGCTGTAACCGCCATAGTTGGGCGATGGGATGCTGAGGTACTGATGGTTGACAAAGGGCGAGGACAGAGTCAAGGGACTGACGGCGTTCTGGGGAATGCCCTCCGTGTTGAGCATGGTACCAGTCAGCGACTCATGGCTGTAGCTAAAGGCCGGGTTGCCGTAGGGCATGAAGGACTCCGTAGCCTGGGGCAGGTTGGCCGGCTCGTTCGTGTAGAAGTTGGGCGGGTTGTACTGCGGGAACGAGGGCGTGCGGGCAGGCTCCAGGATACCGATGCGGTTGCGGAACTCATTGACCATGTCCAAAGGGAACTGCATCAGCTTCATCGGCGTAGAAAGATCACCCTCGATGGAACCAGAAATGTTGATGGACAACAGGCAGCGGGCGATCTCCTCGACGGGCGCAATGGAAAGGTTGCCAAAGTATGCAGCACCGATCTCAGGGAACAGGCGCTCCATCAGAACGGCAACCGTGTAGTAATGGGCGATGGTCACCAGGGAATTGACGGAGCAACCACTCTGCTGGAGGGCCATGACGGGCAGGTAGAAAAGCCAGGTACGCAGGGGACGGAGGCGTTCAAACTGCTGGGCGACGGACAAGGTCGGGCTGACTTTGCGGGATCCCTTGAGAAAGCTGATGAGCTGCTGGATGTGCTTTGTGTCCTCCTTGTTGTGTTTCTGGTGGGCCTCGACCTTCTGCAACTGAGCGAGAGTCCGGTTCAGGGCATCCAGGTCTTCCTTGCGCGGCTGGCTGGGCCTGTGATCCGGGGTGGGCGAAGGAGGGGCCGTTGGGAACGTGCCGGTTTCCCTGATCCAGTCGTAAAACTGAGAGTCGTGGCTCCAGGAAGCCATGGCATCGACAACCTTTGATGAGTTAGATTGACCTCTTGTAGACGAGCGGGAATTTACGCTGATGCGAAAGGGGGTCGGGAGCTTACCGATGAGGTTCCTTGCATGAGCTGGGTCCAGCTCCGCCTGATTCTCGTGTTAGAAAAGCCCGTCTCCCTCAGGATAGTAGAGTATTGCTTACCAGTCAGTGGCTTGCCAGGAGAGAACCAGCGAAGCAGCCAAGACAGCATCAGAGGTTTCCGGGCCAAATGAGCCGATGCCCTCCTGCAGGCCCTTGAGAGCAATACCGCGGTGCTCGTACGCTAGGTTACCAACGATGGGACAGTCGGTGAGGAAAGCAATGTGCATGGCGGAGAAAGCCAGCAGGGAGTGCATCACATAACGGTGCGTCGAGCCGAGCTTGATGATGCTAAGGGAGCCAAGTTAGTGTCATGTCCAAGAATGGCCCAGTGGGCATGGTTCTGAACATACGCAGGAATCTGGCGTGTCCAGAGCGTGAAGTTGGTGGCACCCAAACCTTCCATCTCGTTGCTGATCGAGGCAACGTGGTAGATCAGGCGAAGATCTTCCAGGCTGTACTCGGCCGGGTTGGGGGTTGAGGAGATGGAGAGGTTGGGGAAGGGAAAGATTCCGGTGCGCTGCCACTGCTCGATGTCGGCAACGATGCTGGGCGTCCACATGAGATCCGGCTTGTCAGGGGTCGTTGACCGGTCTTCCATGGCGGGCATGTCATTGTAGGGGCAGCGAATCTTGTGCTTGGTGCAGTTTCGGCTGAAAACCCCGTGTTAGTCGAGGCCCGTGGCGTTTGTGCGCGCCAGCCATGTTCACGTACCATTGAGGGAAGTTTTCATCACAACGAATATGCCGACGCTTGCAGGTTTCGCAGCCCTTGCGCGACTTGGTGTGGCTGCGACGGGGAGGACCGCCTCCGGGACCAGCCATTTTTTCAAGAGTGGTGAGGAGTGTGTGTTGGGCGAGAAAACTGCAGGCCGTGTTAGTGCAACGCTGCCACCGTTGTCCTGGCGCAGAATCTTACGTGGTGAGTAGGTATACACGGACAGATGAGCCGCGTGTGCAATTCGGGGTAGCGAGCGTGGTGGGGAGTGTCGAAACGGGAACGTGCGGACGATTGCGTTGTTCCCGAGTTTGATACTGAAAGCGATTGTTGGTTGGAGTGGGCGGTTTTCCCTTTTCCCTTCTTCTTTTTCTGTTCCTTTTGTCTGAGACGGGTTGGAAAGCGAGCGTGATTGTTGATTTGGGGACTTCAATTATCGAGCCGAGACATCTGCTACAGAGTAGTGAATCAAGTACACGATGCCTTGGCTGCGGTTCGATACGAAGACGTTTGAGTTTTGGTGATGAGGCCGGGATGGTTGCTGTCGCGGGAGTACGCTTCGTTTTCCGGGAATCGACTCGAACAAAAGAACAACGAACGCAAAAGCGAATGACAGGAGTCAACGAGGACTTCCTAAAGGTGGGAGGAGGGGGGGCGGTTAGCGAATGTGGGTGGTGAGCGAGAGTGCGCAACGAGGCTGGTGATGTCTTGCTGGATGTGATATTGGGGGGAGACAGAAAGGTAGACGTTGAGGCTGGGGGGGAGGGCCAACTAGTTAAATACAGAGGGTCATAAGGTGACTGGCAGCACGAGAGTGACCCGAACGGGACGAGAGGACCGGCCGGGGCGGGCACGTTCGGCTTCACCCATTAGGGTGGGAGGAGTGGGCAGGGCAAAAAGCAATGAGGACAGGAAAAGAACAGGCCGGCTGTGCTGTGCCAGCGAGCCAGCGAGTGCGCCAACGAAAGGCCGGCCGAACAAGCCCCAGGAAGGGTGGGAGTGAGAAACCAAGACCAAGCAAGCCCAAGCCCAAGCCCAGGTTCACGCCCCAGAGCCCCCAGCACAGGGCAGGCCGGGGGGTGTTGCGACAGGAAGGGCAACACCAGCATCAGCGTGCCACCACGCATGAGGGACCAGTGCGGCCATGCTCGCCCATGCTCGCCCATGCTCGCCCCCAGCCAAGCTCGAGTGGAGGGGGGAGGGGGAGAGGGGCCGTCCGCGCCGCCGCCGTCCACGCCGTTGAGTGTGCCAGCCGATGACTTTGTGCCATGCGCACTAGAGCCAAAGCTGACAGCCAGATGGGCACAGGGAAGGTAAGGCAAGGCGAGGGTAAGGCAGGGTCAGTAGTCAGGCAAAGCCAGCTCTGCCCAGTGGGGCCTCCAGGCAGCCAGCTTTGCCAGGACAGGGTGTCATCGAAGTTGTGAGTCGGTGGACGAGAGGTGGGCCGTAGGTTGAGCAGGGATCCACGGTAGTTCCTAGGATAAAGGGGGGGGGGGGGGTTGTGTTCTCTCTCTCTGTCGACCTCAGGTGTGTGTAGAAGGGGAAAGGTGAAAAGCGCATTGTACGTAACGCCCAAGCGTTGAGCTGCAGATCCATGTGTAAATAAGAGGTCGGGAGCCGTGTGAATCCTTGCGGAAACTCCTGTCCTCTGTCACCAAATACTGTGGGCTCACCAACCATCGATCGGTCCTCCTGCTTCAAGGTCGCGGCCAATCTGAAGCTGTGCGCAGGCGAAAGGACGCAGAAAAGGGGGGTTGCAGTCGTACCGACTACGTTCATCCATGTGCTTGGGATATACCAACGAGCGACAGGCGGCAAAATGTCCACGTTCTTCCGTCGGCTGACAATAGCCAGCCAGGAAGCTATCCGTCGACAGGTCTTCGCGGCACCATGACCTGGGCCATCGTCATCAGGGGAGCGAGCTGTGTCACTCGATTGAAGACGAGGAGAGCGACATGCTGATGAGAGCGCGCAGACATCTCGCTGTCGACAGACTCTGCCAGTCGCGTTCACTGAGACCATGAAGGCCACGACTGGGTGGCTATACGTCACGGCCCTGGAGGCCCTTGCTTGAGAGACTGCGACTGTATGTTGCTCCATCAGTCTCACTAGAGCCTCCAATGAAACAGTACGCCCTGTAGGACTTGACCCGAGTCTCTTGCTGGTCCTCTCTTGTCAAGTGCCAGGAAACCAAGATGTAAAAACAATAGCATCATGCTAAGATCGTGGAGCACGACGGGCGTGGCTGAAAATGGGGGCGGGCCTGCGCGCGGTCATGGTTTTAGTGCGCTGTCGACGTCGTGGTCCACGAGAACCATCCTGTGCGTCGGCCGTCCACCACATATTCGTCTGTGACAAAAAAGTATGAGCATGGGGACAAGTCAGCCAGCCAGAGACACCTCAACTCACCACACTGGTGCGGTTGCAGCCATCTCTCCCAGTGGCCGCATGACCTGACCATGGCCTCACTGGAGTCAAACTCTCACAGGTGCTTTGTCCTTATCAAGGTAGCGCACACGCCTCACCGTCAGACCAGGTCCATCCCCATCTCTCCACACCACACCAAGGGACCGATTGAACCTTACCACGGCCGACCACGCCGAATCAGGCCTACGCTCAGCTTTGTTGCTAAAAACTCACTCACTGCAGGCCGGCCCTGTCGAGGCATCCGTCTTCGTTGTTGCGCACCCACACCGCGGCTTGACCGAGCTAGCACCATCAGAGCCGCATTACCTCCGCATGAGACTGAGGAGCCTATGCGGGTCTGCTTCCCAACATCGAGAAAGGCGGATCGGGCACTGTGGCAGCGTTGTCTGCCATAGCTAGGCCCACCCAGGGTCGGTCGGCGTGCTGCCAGGCCCCGACCGAACCCATCGTGCTGGCAAGGTGCCGGTCAGTCCCAGTCACTCACCACATTGTATTGTGGGCGATAATACATATACAAAAACAAGCTGGTGGGGTGCCGGCAGAACAGCGTATGACATGCCAGGCCGGCAGCTTCAACCAGCTGGGCAATGAGACAACAGACGAACAATCCCGAGGTCGCACGACAAACCTTACACCAGGGTTTGAAGCTCCAATCACTGCCTGGGAGAGATTCTCGTCAGCGAAGAATCGTCCTCGATTCACACCAGGCCAGCGAACCCAGCCCTCAGCACGGACATCACCAGACGCCCTCAAGGCATGCAGTCGAATCCCGGACGGCTTGGTGGCTGGTAAAGGTATCCTAGGTTGAACATAAGGTCAAGTTGGCCTTCGGCATCGCGGAATAGCGGAAAGCATGCGCTGTTTCGCCGATGAACAATTTGATTGGCAGATGTGGAATCTTGCGTGCAGTGACCGTGGCGCCACGGCAGGGTTTACCAAGCGGTTTTTCATCAGGTCGAATCCAGCGACGTGCTGTGGATTGTGGTCAGGCAGTCTGGCATAATGTCCCCCACGCTACAACGCCTCCCTTCTTTGCGCCTTTGACACAATGAAAAGTCGTGGCCCAACGACTATGTTCGTCTCAACTTCTGTAGCCTTGCTGGCCTCGAGGCTTGAGAATGTCCAGCCAGATACCCGGTACCTCGCAGACTGGGTACTGGGGGGGTTGTGTCATGTGAAGACGCCAACCGCAGGCTCTTGACCAACCATGTGTCGCTGGATCGTGTGAATCGGGGAAGCTCTTTCAACTTGATACGCCGGCGAGCCCTATCATTCTCGACTTAACGAGATGATCCATGGGGTCAAAAGAGGCCGGGACGTACTGAATGACTGCCTGCATAGTGAGGACCCACCGACCGGCCATCCGAGTTCTTCGACCTGATTGAACAATGTGCTTCATTGGGGATCCTCCGTGTTGATTTACGTCGCTTCAATGAACCTGCAACCCCCTGCTTCCCATCTGTGCGAACCCCTCAGGGATACCATCAAGACCACACCCCGACAAAAAAAGCCCCTGGATCTAGAGACATCCCCTGCCCAGTGGACTCCAATGCTAGGGACCGGGTAGATCGGGGTCTACAGGGCTGCTGCTGCATCTGGTTGGCTGAAACAACGGTTTCTCGTGTCCGAATTTGGCAACTCATGTCCATGTGGCCATCTTCGCCTGTCCTGTCGAGGAATGACGAAGGTCCCATCAGTGCGGTTTGAGAAGTACGCCAAGCATTGTGCCGGAGTCGAGACGAAGAATTCACCAGTCAACAGTCAGTACACTCAAGGTGTTAGTTCGCCCATTCTTAGCCAGCGAGATCAGATCAGCCACAAGTTCTGTGCTCTTTGAAGCGCACCCTCAACACATGATCTAGGCTCCACATCCGTCGATAGGGTCCTCGGGGGGTATTACCGGTCATCTCTTCACCACAGCTGTTATCCGTCAAGTGATCGCTGCGCAGCAGATTTGGGCTGAGATCTGCGTCATTTTCAGAGTTGCGATCGCACGCTGCATTGTTCAGTCCTGGTCAGGAGCTCCAAATGAAGCTTCGCGACTTTGAATCGCCTCCGTGTCACGTTAGCATCGCTTGAAGTCTCATTCTCGGAATGAACACAGGGGCGCTCGGCTTTCTCGGTTTATGTTGCTGAGGACACTCCCGAACAAAGAATGACAGGCCTCTCGGTCTTTGATCGTCCATCGATCACACGAAGGGGAGTAAATGTTTCTCTGGTGTACGTACAGTGCTCAGATTCTCATTCGGGTGTTGGGTGGGAAACGGTGGCGCCAGGCCCAACAGGGCGTAGATCGTTTCTATTTTTGAACAACCCTTTTTCCGTGTGACCCCAACATCAATCGATTATCTTGCTTTCGCTCTGGTGCCAGACAGTCGTTCCGCCAACAGCTGTTGTATTATTGTGTGTGCACACTGCGCTCTGTTGACGCCTAGCTGGAGACTATGTTCACGTGGCCAGATTGGACTTTTGACATTTACTGTAGTCGTGCGAGTCGTGAATGGAAAGGCAACGTTCCATAGTGATCGACTGAGCTGCAACTGCGTGACTTTGCCGTACCAATCAATGTACCCGCTCCATAGAGTAGCGTGGCGTGGCTCGAGGCCAGGGCTGTCCCGACATGCGGAATGGATGGATGCGTGGAGTTCCGTTTGACGCACACCAGATCAATGGGAGACGT